GAATAAACATTCGATTATAAACAGATGTGAACAGCGTTTGGATAATGTTTCAAATCAAGCAAAATGTTAAGTTGACCCAGGACGTACAGAGAAAGTATCAAATCTAAGTTTATTTAGTTTAAGTTTCGTTTAACACTGTACAACAACCATTGGGTTGCAATTTTACTGAATAAATTATCATTATTATTATTATTAAAGATCTGCTTTAAGCTTGCCTCATAAGATCACTTTGCGCCTATCGCACTCGCCGGTTGTCTCTCGATCGTTAGGTTGTCTTATTCACGTAAAATATTTGTGTTTTCGTTTCTGTAACGTTCATATTCATTTTGTTTCAATAAAGTTGTAAATTTTCATCACTACCTGTAATAATTTCCTTGCAGATTAATATATATATATATATCAATTAATTTTTCAACAGGTGTTGGTGTCTGATGCGCAGGCTGCACCATGTGAGTATTTAAGTGTGTAACGGTTATTTGAAATTCTGTCCTGTTTCACGCATTGTCATGTTGAACTACATGTATGTAATGTAGTTTAGCGTGGGGTTGTGTGGGGTTGGGGACCCAAAAACTTTTGGTATTTTAGAGAGTGACCGGTTCCATTTGGTACGGTTTAGAACTACGAATACAGCTTGAATCAAAATTCTAATTTCAAGAGGGGACCATTGGCGTGATTTTTTTTTCAGAAATAGAAGAGGGGGGGTCAGGATCCCACTCAATTCGCCACTGTAATGTCACTGTAATGTCATGTAATGTCATGCTCTCAGGCCCGTAGGTAGAGGAGCTGCTCTGAACTTAACTTTTATCTAGGTTCAATGCCAATGATGAACCACATATAGGTTTCTAGGCAAAAAAGAACTTTTTTCAGAAAAACGGACCTCTATTAAATGAACTGTGCTATGTTGTAGGCTATTATGCCATGATATTATGCCATGTTATATATAATGTTTTGTTATATTATCTTATGTCGTGATCACGTCATGATTTGTATTAATGTCAGCAGATTCTAAAGAAAAAAACAACGATATTTGGTTGTGTAACATTCATTGATATTTCGTTCTTCGTTTCATTCTTCAGCTTTGTTTCAAGCATGCAACAACGCTCCACTTAGGACAGCAACGCCACCTATCTTCATAACAGGTCCAGCCAACTGCCCAGACGGCGTCACCGAGTGTGTGACCAACCCGTTCTTTATCAACTTCAATTCCAATGCGACAGGAGCGACACCTGCAGACTCAGCAGCCAGAGTTTGCCTGTGTCCCAGGACCCAGGTCCCAGTGTACCCGCTCGCAACTGCTGCCGGGGTCACTACGGCAAATCCGTCGTGCATGAACAGTAAGTTAAAAAAACACTGTCTGAATTGGGAAATAAAATATAACTTTTGTTATACGCAGTTCCCAAAAAATTGTCATCTCCCTGGCTTAGTTGACTAGGATCAGGGAATAATATCGGATAGGTCTTTAATTCCCTGCTAGGATTTATAAGAGACTGCTGTAACACTGTTCCTGATAGGTTAAAATGTGCAAATGTGACCATGTAACGTTGGGAGCGAAACCGGGGCCAGGATTGAAATATGGATGTTGGTTTTTTTTTCAAACGCGTGCATGATAACTTTAATATAAATGTCAGCAGCTGTAATATGCGGACGACATACTGGGGAGCGGTGCGCTTTTAGTTTGGGGTCGAGATCCCAGAATCATGCCACTAGAGGGCAACTGGTGGAATGTCCAGCTACTACCTGGTCAAACAGTTGTCGGACTTCGATTTGAATTTTTAGTTTAAAGTATTCTAGGTAGACCTTTTCGAAATGTATGTAATTAAGTAAATTACTGGTGAAGTAACCAGGAAAAAATATTGATTTTGCTTTATAAAGGTATGTCAGGATCCGTGTTCCCTCAATTAGAGGGAAACATAGTGACAGTAATGTCAATGAGGATCCTGATAATAATGAGAAAAGTGCTTAATTTGGTGATTCCGACTTGTATTATTGAAATGACAGAATCACATGTTTGTTTTGTCGGAAAATGCAAATTGTGGAAATTTTAGCCTTTTGACTGTTCCAGTTGCGGGAATGCCATGTGAGGTTCGAAACGATTGCGAGCTGCTAACCCAAGACTGTCTCGGTATTTCGCAGTGGACGGGAACTTTCATGTCTGACGCGCTCAGAGAGAAGTTGATTGTGCGTACATGATGCAAATTCTTTCTCCCTCCCTTCTTTCTCCGCCTGTTTGTCTTTTTATGAAATGAATTTCCTAGTTTATTTTAAGTAAAACAAAAATCTGCACACCCATTTCGGTACCACTCTTTTGCAGTCAATTAGATGAATTATAACTAGACATTTCTGATCTCTCTCTCTCTCTGACACATTTTCCTGTTTTCTTGCAGTTAACTACCAGCATAATATGCATTTTCGGTCTCGAGCATCAAGTGGCAGTACCATCTTTTGAGTGCATTGGTGGTTTGTGTGTGGATACTGGAGTACCTGTTGCCATAGGCTTGGTTACGCAACCCACCGTGACAGAAATTTTGAGCGTCTGAAGAATGGCGGGACTGAATCAAGCAGTTTAAAAATTTTCCATCTTTTAATACAATTTTAGAATAGCATAGTATCCCGTCTTTATACAAGGCATACAAACAGACAGACATATATACGGACAGACGGACAAACAGTAACTCCTAAGCACACATATTAGGATTTACTGGTGTTTTGTTTTAGGTTCAACCACAGACATCCCTTCAAGAAATTCACAGCTCTCCATTCAAACGTAGAGTCCGACCCTGATGTTACTGTAGTCACCCAACAGCAAACAAAAATGCCGGTGTTACAAGAATGGTAGTCCGTGGTCCCATATGATTGGTATAGGTTGGGGTTAGTCGAAGTATTGGTGTTACTATATGGGACGAATGTCGCCTGTGCAAAGTAATGGGGAACGGACTTTGGTTCCTAGCTGACTATCATGCCCGTCACACCCTGTCGATCGTGTACGAGAGAGCTCCCTGTGCCACAGGGTCTGGCTACTAATGATTTGTACAGCTTAGCCGCGTCCTAGATTTGGAATGACATACGTCACGCTAACCCTAGCCTGTACGAATCTATTGGAGGGCGGACTCTCAAACATCAGCATTGAATCCATTTAAAGAGAAAAGACCCACCTTCATTGAATCCATTTAAAGAGAAAAGACCGACCTTCATTGCTGTACAATATAAAGCGATGTACACCTAACTGGAGTTCGTAAAATTTTTGATCGAAATATCCTTTTTGAGAATTACATGTAGTATTTCCGACAATTTTTAACTTTAACATTAAAACGACCTCGTTGCCTTAAGGTATGAATGATATAAAATCACGTATATATATATTTCAGTGGGATATTGATGTGCAAGTAAAATTGGCATTATAATCATAGGTCTCTGTTGTGCTTACCTTTCTGTAAGAGTCTTCATCACCTATAAAGTGTTTAAATAGCACAAACGTTTTGGGAATAAAAATAATTATGACTTTAAAACAAGGAAATGTTATGCAAACTTCCACAACCGTGAATAAATAGGCGCCACCGTCTGGATTTTTGTGGGGGTTATTTTCAGTATTTTATAAAAAAAGGATTGTTTTAACGGCTGACAATGTTTTTGTTAATTTTAGTGGCAACATTTTCTCCAAATACACCAACAAACAAAAACAACACTTTTGCAACAGCTCAAACAAAATGACTATGATTATTTCAAATAAGGTATATTACTGTAGAAACGGGCTAATATCAAAAGAACTAAGGGAATTTATACGGTTCAACGGTCAAAGAAGCATTCTTGCTAAAAGAAAGTATTGTAAAAGGAAAAATAAGTCCAATCTTTTCATTCACTTGAATTAAGGACTACTTCAGTCTTTCAGTTTCCTTGAATAGCATTTGGCAAATTTACCGTTCGACTGCGCATCAAAATAAGAATACTTTCCCTTACGACTATGTATTCAATTCCATCAAATGATAGCCTGTAATTCACCGTGGCGAGAACACCAAATCTGAAGAAGGGGAACAGCTTTCATTTAATGGTATCGTTTTAACCAGTTTGTGCGAGGGACTGGTGGTCGTCACGTGGTCGTCACGTCAAACCCCAGCGACGAACTCTTCGTAGATGCACGCACAAGATGGTCGTCACCAGGAGAAAGAGCAGGGTCAGAACGCCGAGGATGCCGAGAAGAGAGATAATCTCGATGCTGTGGAGATCACACTCGTCACTGGCATAGTCTTCCTCATCCGGGAATTTAGAAATCTAACCTGAATAATTAAAATATATATAATAATAATGATGAAATCGTAATTTAGTCATGAAGACATTTTTCAAATATTTGGTCTTGTTGACTAAAATGTTTAATAAAGTGAAAATATATGTATAAAAAAATAATAATAAAAGAAGTAGAAACAAATTACAGAGACTACAAACTTGCTTCGTGAAATTATCGGTGTAAATGGATATAATACGTGCCCCCAGAGACCGCTTGGTTATATATATACCTCTCTATTTAAATAGACTATTGAAAACCCGTAACGAGAAGTTGCATTCACCACAGACTTAGTGAAAATGACAAATGTTGCTCTAACCGCTCTGCTTGTTCACATACATGTATAATACGCGATAGAGCGCTCACAAATAAAATAAATCATTAACTTTCATCTAATTTATCTTTTATCGTATCCTTTTTATTACACTAAGGTTTATTTTCACATCTTAAATTTGATGATTGTATTATTAGCATTACTACATTATTATTATTTCACTTTTAAATCATCTTCAAGGGCATACAAAAGAATACAATTTTTGACGTACATTTTACATATATATCAGCTGAATAAATTATTATCATTACATTATTTAAAAAAGTTAACGATTATTACTGGTGCTTGTTTGTAAATCACCTTTAGTTTGTGCCTGTGGCTTCTCTCTATCATCATACAGAACCATGATTAATTCTGAGACGCTCAAAACAGGTCGGTAGTCACCCTGGTCATTTTCGTTATTCCTTTCAGTTTCGGTATCATTCTCTTCTTTTCCTTTAGTCGGTGGGTCTTCAGTGTCTGAACTGCGTTTGTTAACTTCTGTGAAGACGAACAATACAGAAACACCAAGAGTGTTAAACCTTTATATAGAAAAACTTAATTTTCTGGGAAATTTCATTTCTTTTCTGTAAAACACTGAGGTGCATTGTAAGCAAAACCGTTGAAAGAATAGCGGTTCACAACCCCACTTTTGGGCCTTATGTTGCTGGTTTATCTCATAAAAGATACGAAGTCTCGTGATGTCATAATAGAAATGAACAAATCGTTAACTGGTTCACACTCTCTGTAACTGTTTTGGACATGATAAAGAGAATATTGCTGAAAGCGAACTCACATAATTAACAACTGAACATTTATAGAATTATTGTGACTTACTTCAAAATCACTTGAAAAGAAAACTCACTTGGTTGCTCTGTCTCTAGCCACCAACTTTCATTTTGAAAATTGTAAGGATGAACTCGTAACCAAGGAGGTAGGGTGGCGACCTTTGAATGACCTTGAAAACCATGATAAGACTCCTCTGTGTCCTTTGGTTGGCACTGATTCTTTTGAAACCGTAATGAAAATTGCAATGAAAATGTAGACATTTTCTATCACTTAATGGGAAATCCATTCAGATGATTACAATACATGTAACAAAAATTTCCATTTCCAAATGAAAGAAATAAAAAATGAACAAAAATCTTATTATAAAGTTGCCAATGCCTTGACTTTTAGCATTGTTGTTTAGCAATGGCTGATGGGACTGTCTCATTCTCAATGAAATGTGATGCTTTTTTTTGGCAGTGTGTTAGGTGTGACAGTGTGTTATATGTTGTAGTATGTCTGATGCGACATTGTGTTAGCTGTGACAGTACATGACATGTGACAGTGTCTTAACTATTGCTTACCCCGTCACACCTATTCCCAGGCAGTTGGCTTGCACACGTTGACACCTGGCATTCAAAATACAGAGTAATAAACTGCTCGTATTTGATCACTCTGAACTTGGGGGAGTACACACTCCTTACGGTGCTCTTTTCACCTGAACCAGACTGGAAACCTTGATTATGGGGAATCGGAGATTCCACACCACAACTGGAAACAATAATGTATGATCTTTAATTTGAAGAAAGCAGCTCTTTTGTTTTTATTGTTAGTGTGGATATATGGCAAAACGTATGATAACAGGAGTAATTGAAACAGATTTGAAACCACATTTTCTTTGGCTTTTTAGCAGAGTGAAAAGTAACAAGAGTGTGTGAAAAAGTACTGCTGCTGTTAAAGTAGAAAGTGGTTTACAGTGGTTTTGTCACTTATCAAGAGTTAACGGACCTCTGTAGGTCCATGGTTCAAGGAGACAGAATGGCACAAAACTATGACCTGTGGAGAGCTTTTGTTGGGGGGGGGGGGGGGGGGGCATGTCCGATCAGCTCCGACCCAACTGTTCTTGATGATTACAGGCTAATAGACTTATTGGCTCTATTCTTTTTTTTTTTTAATCAAAACAAGTAACTGATTATTACAAGTGATATTAGAGAGAATCTGTCCATGCACTCACAAGGCCTTGTGTTGGCTGTTGGAGTATAATAGCGCCCTCTTTTTCCTGCGGTCTAAGTGTACAATGGAGGGATCATGGAACTGAGTGAAGATGTAGTTGCCATCTTGGCTTCCTAACGGAACAAGCACATGCCACATTTTATATGACAAAGGAAAGCGCAAATTATACTTATATCTGTAACACTAGTCTGAACTCACTGATGCAAATGGCACTGGGACTGCCTTACACTGATAGATTATTGACTATCCTGATTCATTTGATGAAATAAATGAAATTTTCATCTCATCATTAATGTTGAGTATATGTGTGTTAACAATAAAACTGCTTAGATAGTATATTCATTATATTGTTTTGGATCGATGCTTACAAATGAGAAATATAGCTAAGATGTTCAGACTTCCTAAGGAAGAGAAAAAATTAGTAAAACACTGCCTCACACACAGACACAGAAACAAGCAGTTAGGGAAACACGCAGAGAGTCAGCCAGTCAGACAAACAAACAGATTGTACTGCACATTGTACTACACAACAGAATTCCGTAATAAGTTTACCACGGAGCTCTACACTGACCCAAGAGAACACTGAGAGAAAACTGATAGGGAAAATTAACCAACACAACACAGCAGCTTTGTTGCAAAATTAAAGGGATAACAACCGTACGTAAGATATCCGTATTTCACAATAAATACAATGTTAACAACTCATAGAAATACAATAAATTCTATTTTGCCCCCAAAACGGCAGTTAACACAATTATTTTGGAATTTGCACTTGCCATCACATCACGTGACCTTCATAGATGGCTACACACTGTAATAATCTCTTAAGCTTTTTATAGAAAAAAAAACAGGGACTATTTTGAATGTGGGAATGGATTCATTTACAATTGGTATGTATGGGAAAATTGTCCTTTACCCCAGGAAAATTCATTTTTTGGCCAAATAAGATTGATAATATAAAGAGACTAATTTCGATCGGTTTTCAAACGCATTTAGTTCACCAACATTTCAAAAAACTTACTATAAAGGGACAGCTGAATAACTACCAGTGCGTATACAAATATTCTACCTTTTCTGCATTTGGTCTTACACCATTCTTAACTATTCAAAGTGAGGAAAACTCGATCTATCTTGATGTAAAAAAAAACGTTTGGATAAAGTTTAAGCCTCGGTCACAACCGGACGCACGACTTTCATGATCGTACGTCCCCTGCGATTTTTGGGTGTTGCGGAGGCCGTGGAGTTCGTAGAGGTAGAGGAAAGTCTGCCTTGCTAGTCGCAAGGGCCACATGAGATGTCCTTTCAACCAGGGACGCTAATTGCAAGGAGCGATGGCCGTGGAAATTGTACTCATTTCTTGAGTTTGTCTTGCTTCCTGTGTGCGTGGCACACACACACCACTTACGAAGGGAATGCAACGCACGGCGAAAGTAGTGCCCTTTTCCGTCAGTTTTGCTTCACACTTGCCTCACACGTTTGTGGTGACGTACTGACGGCGNGAAGTATCTTAACAGACGTGTTTTGGTTATTTATATAAAAATATTTTCAAAACATTATATAATGTTTTTCCAGAATGTTATAAACACGCTGATAAAACTCCACAAAATGACGTTACATGTATCATAAAATTTTGTAGAAACGGTCTTCGAATCTTTTTACAAATTATAACGTTACTGTACATCATTTTGCATGGGGTTAAAACACCCATAACGTTACCATAATGTTCTTCTATACCATTACCAGCATGTAACCATCTGATAACGTCGTGAAAACGTTATTTGTTATTTGGATTATTACTTAAAGGTACATATGAATCGAGCATCGGTGGAGCTTGGGTTGCCAGTAACACATATAAACCACCTCTAGATTCTTATACGACTCAAATAAAGTCGACATGCCAAGCGACAAACTGAATAAATCACTCGATCAGCCATAAAAGAACTTTAGACTGCTCTTTAAATTTTTGGTCGGAAATTTAACCTACTTATCTGCCCCATGTATATACAGGATAGTAAGCTAACAGAAAAATCCATTCAAATATCATTTTTCGGGTAATATTAATCAATGCCTTCTGGCAATTTCCTTAATTATACTTTTTGAAACTATACTGGTATTTGGTTGGTTTTTGAGCAAAAAATTGACTTTGTATGCATCGTTAATAGGCCTATTTTAAATAAGCACGCGTTACTGCAAGGAAGGACACCAAGCGTTCGAGCAGACTGCTCCACGCCTTCAACAGCTCCTCAAGTTTACAAGGGGAAGTGTTAAGCCAAATTGTTGAGCCTTGAAATAAACTTATGGGACCGGTGAAACTAATCACATAGCTAAAAGTGCGACACTTCTCAGAATGTTAAACATTTTTATTTCTTATGAAAGAAGCTTGAAAAGCTAAACTTGTTGTTCAGCTACCCTCTACCAGGGCCACGGATTGATTTTTCACAGATATGTCTCTAGATAAATAGATAGTCAATTTGGTCTGATGTCGCCTCAGCAAAAAAAGTCCCCAAGAACTGCGGCCTTGATAGAGGATATTGTTCAGCAGCTCCACTCGTTTAGGAATTCCACACCTATAGCAGCTCCATATGTTTAGCAGCCTCACGCGCTTAGCAGGGGAAGTGCTTAGCCAATGTGCTTAGCTTGTGATAGACTTATTATAGATTCATATACCGGTGAAGCTAAGCACATAGCTAAACGTGTAACACTGCCAATGTGTCTAGCATTTTCTTCTGTGAAACGCTTGAAAAGCTATACGTGCTTAGCTTTTACACCTATTTCTAAATGCGTATAGGTGCTTTTCGTATGTTGTATGTATTTAAATGCTAAGCACTGTTTTTACAGTGTACCTTTACACGGGTGAAATAAACCACGCATGTTTTCATCATAACTAAATAAGTGTATTTATCCAAAAATATAATCAAGGTGGAAAAGAAACAACCCCTTCGTCACTTTTGGCAATTATTTTGTTACATTACATGTACCCCTGTATAGTACTGACATTGTTTATATCTTATGTATTATTATTGAAGAGTTTTGTGTTTTGTAATACGCTGTAGTTTTCTCTTAGTACATTCAAACACCTTGGCATCATAGGTTTTAAGATCAGTTTTTAGTCACTTAGTCAAATCATAAAATCTTACAGAAATTTATCAAAATATATAAAAAAACATACTTACAAGAAAAATTAGGAAAATAATCCTTTTTGCAAATGCTCCAAGCGGCATTTTTCGGCCAACAGGCATGGAAGCGCCTGTCTGTTGGTCACAAAAGCCCTGTGGCATGAATTTTGTCCCTTTTTTGCGTGCTGATTGCAAACAGGCAGATGAGACTGATCCAATGAATCCAAGAACAACGGGTGCAAGCATACTCCCGAGCAACAGACAGTACCATCTAAGTTTCTCGATTTTTTCAAAGTTTTCAACAACAAGTGCTGTAACATTGTCTGATATACTATCAGTGAAATGATAAGATGCATCTGTCCTGTTCTCTTTTATTTTCGAAATAGATACAACAATGAGAATCCTGTAGGAAGTAACACCAGCAATAATGATGACGAGAGTTACTATGCCAAACAGGAGCAGAGAAATCACAGAGCAATATTTGTCCACGGTACTTTCTTCGTCGTCGGGTTGTTCTTTAATCTTAGACTTCAGAAATTCATGAAAGTCGAACGTCTCTCTAAATTAAAAAACAAGAAGATATGTCATATTCAGACAGTTTTTTTATTTGATTTAAGTCATTAAATTCTTAACCTGGTGTATGTGAGATTTTTGCACATAATTCTTTTTTTTTTTTTTTCGTTTTCTCGAGCAAGAGGTACAGAGCAGCTGATTAATTGACAAAGGACCGGTGCGCCTGTTGGACAAAGGGAGAGGGCTCTCGTGAGTATGCACACACATTTATTCAGGAAGATTGAAGCGGGAGGGAGGGAGGTATACATGTATATGTATCTTGCTATTTCCTGCAAATCAGTGCTAATATAAATAATCTAAAAGAAATGTGCGATTTAAGCGATATTTATTTTTATCATGTTTTTGGATTTTATCTTGTCACTAAGGAAGTTACACGTATTGCATTTCACTTATGACTTGTTCTCGTTTTATATAATACGTTCTTATTTGTCATCATTCTCGCATTATCTTTCCTATACTTTGTCTGTATACTTACGTTGTAGCAGCAGTGCCGGTTACCTCGGTTGTAGCAGCTGTTGGGTTGTCTTCATCTACACCCCCCTCGGTACGGCCCTCATCAGACATTGTCCACGATTTCACCACCTAAAACAGTCCACTTGTATATTAATGTTTCTTCTCAAATGCTTGATGTCACGTTTTATTTGTACCTTAACGACGATTAATTGATAAGATTAAATACAGCATTTCTCTGCGTGACGAGGTAAACTTTAACGTTAGGCTAAGGAAAATATTATTTAATCCTGGTTACATGAACGCTTTCATATGAACTTCATTTGTATTATGGGTGCTCCATAAGACGCAGCGTGTGGTATTTATTAAACTTACCTTTCTGCCACCCGGTTGCTATTTGATGTAGTTCTCAATCGATAAGCTCATGAAAAACAGTCTCTTCCAAGAACTTCTTTATTTAAAACTGTTGGTAGCAACGAGTGCCCAATATACAATCAACATTACAATTGACATGCCGTTTGCATTTTTAACGCGTCATCGCACCTGAAAGGACGTGCCGTACCTTTTGATAATAAAAAAGCGCGCCTGCTGTATTTGCAAACCTACTATGCGACAGTGTATACCTATTAAACAAAAACGAGCTGAATCATTATCGCTTGACCTTACTCATGCATGAATATAAGAGTCTGCATTTAATTATATGATCAATAATAAATTTATAAGCAGGCATCGTATAACTCTACGTACGTGTTAGTCGAGAAAAAAAACGTATAAAATTATATTTTACGACAACGACGCATCACTGCACTAAACATACCCTTCACCCTGGTGCTGAATATAACTGAACTACGTGTTGACCGAATACCAATATAACAGAATATTTGTATTTACAACCCCATTGTGCGGCAGCGTATAAATCTAACAATCGAGAACGGACTTACACGTTATCGTTGTACATTTACAACGTATGAAAACAAGGTTTCACAACAGGTAACTTAGTAAATTAAAATGAATCTAAGGCAACATAATCAAACTCAAGAAAAAAATAATGATTCAATTAAAGCAACTTGATCTGTCATATTATTGCCCCTAAAGAATTTTAAACGCCTCGTCTAGTTTCATAGTGTGACGAAGTTATTGGCTTGTCTTCTTCATGTTATATAGCCTCGGTCACAACCGGACGCACGACTTTCATGATCGTACGTCCCCTGCGATTTTTGGGTGTTGCGGAGGACGTGGAGTTCGTAGAGGTAGAGGAAAGTCTGCCTTGCGAGTCGCAAGGGCCACATGAGATGTCCTTTCAAGCAGGGACGCTAATTGCAAGGAGCGATGGCCGTGGAAATTGTACTCATTTCTTGAGTTTGTCTTGCTTCCTGTGTGCGTGGCACACACTCACCACTTACGAAGGGAATGCAACGCACGGCGAAAGTAGTGCCCTTTTCCGTCAGTTTTGCTTCACACTTGCCTCACACGATTGTGGTGACGTACTGACGGCGTACGTCAGTTTTGCTTCCTGTTCTCCTCTTCTTTCTTCTTCCTCTTCCCTTTTTTCTACTATGTAAGCTTCTTTCTCTTGCCTTTTGGAGGCATATTAGAAAGTAAATCGAGCAAAAATTTGAAAATTTTGAAAATTGTTGTTCACGTAACACAGTCGACGTTCACTGTAAAGACAAGAGCGTGCGTCGTGAGCACGCCTCTTATACGCCAGGCGTGGGGGTGACGCACGTGCGACGCATTCCCGGTGTGTTCTCGATTTTGTTCGTTAGTTGAGAGGGCGTGCGCCTTACTCAACACGCAAAGGGCACTTGCTCCTTCATTGCTCGCGACGTGCGTCTTGCACAACGTGCGTCTCTCTTGCTAACTCCGTGCGAGAGGAGCAAGTTACGCTTGCGGCCTCGCTGTTCGCAGGTTATTCGTAGAATCTTTTGGACATGTCCAACATCCTCCGTACGTGCTTACGGGCTGTCTGCGAACTCGAAATTTCGTAAGAAGGACTTGCGTGGGACGTGAGATTCTGCGCAAAATTTGGACGTAAACAGCCCGTAAGAGCCCGTACGGCCGGTTGTGACCGAGGCTTTACGCGAGGTAGCAAATACAACTCAGATATTATCTTTCTTATTATTTATTGAACTACTGTCCAGTTATTACCCGCGCCGCTTCCTTCATTTCTTTTCCTACCTCATGCAATCTCTAGCGGCCTTCTCTCTGTTTACACTAAGCGCAGTTGTATAAGTACCATAAGAGCATGTCAATCAACTTAACTGCATGCTGTCACTAACTAACATTACAATAGTACAGGTATGACTTTAAGAAAAGCACAAATTTCATACATCATTTCCCGAATATAATTTTTGCTCAGGTTCTCTGCTTGAAGGACGTACACTCCAAGCGTCCAGGGTCTCTTGGGTCACATCAAATTTATGTATCATGTCAGAAAAAATTTTGCTTTCGGTCAATGTTTACGCATATGCGATAATTTTGTTGAGCAGTAAGTACAGTGGCTGCCAATAGAGTCTCTAGATTTCGATTTCCAAACTTTATTTTTCGGCTTTTCAACTAGTCACTTTCATTGTATTATTCCTATTTTTTTCTATTTTATTATTATCATAAAAAATCTTTTCTGTACTGTAGACTTATAAGGGAGCGAACGAGCGAATATGAATGCGCGTGCGTGGTTATTTGTGGGAGTGTATGAGAGGAGGTTCTTTACATTACTCTACTTTTTGTGTTAATTTTATTTTCACACTATGTACACGCTTTTATTTGTTTTATTTATTTCAATAGTCAGAATAAAATTTCAAAAAGAAAACAAGAAGAGGTGTGCTCGTATGTAAAACTAATTGCATTCAGTAAGAGTCCTCGCAGAGTTGAATCGTTTTACGCAGACCGATAGCTTCAATGGGAATGTATTTTAAGATCCATATTTAACTTATTTAACCAACCACCGGTATTTGTTAATGGAAAAATTGGATCACATCTGTTGTTAAAAACAAATGGGCTCATGTGCTTCGTTACATTAAAATGCCCATGTGTCGCTTAAAATGAATCGAAACTCGTCTATGAAGTTGCCCGATGAAAGAAAAAAATTTAGAGACCATTATACATAAAAATTAGTTTGATAATATGTATTTAAAGATGTGGTGTGAGCAAAGTCATACTCGATATACTTGCCCCATTTATCAGGTCTTTATGTAGATCTACCTGTCTAGTCACTGGCCGATCCAAATTTTACTGGGGAAGGGACACAAAGACAAAATACACATGCTTCGCTTATAAGTAAAAACCAAAATCGTTTCTGAAGTTATCCGATGAAACAATATTATTTAAAGATTAGAATAGATATAATAATAATAATAATAAGTGCGACCAACCCAAATGTTAAGGAAATGATATTTGCATCGCCCATTGAAGAGATAAGTGTGAAAATCTTACAACTGACCCCTGGAAAACCAATTGGCGTATTTGAAACCCCGAAATTCTTTCCCCCTAGTAGAGCGAAGGTCTGCCTGGTTTATGCTACTGCTGAATATAATCAAAAGGTTAAAGTAGGAACAATCAGAAACCAAAACATATTTTTGCGGTTCACAACTACATATACAAATGTACAGTGTTAAGCAAATAAAAGTTCTAAAATACTGAAAGACTTGAGATCAAAGTTGGTACATTGAACTCGTGCTGATTTTCTCAGCAATAGAAATATAATCTTGGTTGTAGTTAAATGCTTGCTTGACTTGAACGTAGAAAATATTGAGTATACGTTTGTACAGACCTCACACCTATGTATATAATTTTCATTTTGCATGTTAAGATACTTTTAAAAAACTTCTAAGATAGTAGAACCTTTTATATTTTCAACCAGATGATTAAGTAAATCAAACAGTCTACTACCGAGAAGCATGTTTCAAACAGACATGATAAATCTCTGGGGCCGAGCAAACAAACTCTCTGATCGCAATTTCTTCTCTCTAGTACAGTCAAAGTGGTGCTAACTAAAGGGACTAATGGGCATATTCAGAAACTACGAAAGACAAGAAAAACTAGAGAATCAGAGAGGCGGTACCGCCGACGGGTACTGTACCAACAGCTGGAGTAAGCGCATTCGTATGGAAAACAAAAAAGGGGATACCACCATCAGTGTTGTGCTTGAAAAGCTGTACGAAATAGAATAAACAAGAGTTTTCAATGTTTTTGATGAATATTACACTTTATAACAAAATCATGGGGAAAAGTAAAAGTTCAAGTCCAAATTTGGGCATGAGATCGTCCTCAACTGATTTAGGGGGTGGACTTTTAGTATGGGGCAACATCAGCTGTTCGCCACACTTCTGGGACACACCCTTCTCTCAGGGAAATATTATATATTGCACATATTGATTTTGCTTAGAAAGGTGCTTAATCGCGTAAAAACCAGTTAGGTATTTCATCTGGGCCACTTGCCTTATGAACCTTTTTTTTTCTCCACTTGAGCTACTGAGATGTATTTGTCAGGGATATGTTCAAGATGAGGAGGTATGATATTACTATTCAACGGGTTTAAGTCAGCAGAAACAGATTAAAAGAAACCATTGATATGATCAGCNCGTTTGTGGTGACGTACTGACGGCGTACGTCAGTTTTGCTTCCTGTTCTCCTCTCCTTTCTTTTTCCTCCTCCCTTTTTTCTACTATGTAAGCTTCTTTTTCTTGCCTTTTGGGGGCATATTAGAAAGTAAATCGCGCAAAAATTGAAAATTTTGAAAATTGTTGTACACGTAACACAGTCGACGTTCATTGTAAAGACAAGAGCGTGCGCCGTGAGCACGCCTTTTATACATCGGGCGTGGGGGTGACGCACGTGCGACGCATTCCCGGTGTGTTCTCGATTTTGTTCGTTAGTTGTGAGGGCGTGCGCCTTACCCAACACGCAAAGGGCACTTGCTCCTTCATTGCTTGCGACGTGCGTCTTGCACAACGCGCGTCTCTCTTGCTAACTCCGTTCGAGAGGAGCAAGTTACGCTTGCAGCCTCGCTGTTCGCAGGCTATTCGTAGAATCTTTTGGACATGTCCAACATCCTCCGTACGTGCTTACGGGCTGTCTGCAAATTTCGTAAGAAGGACTTGCGTGGGACGTAAGATTCTGCGCAAATTTTGGACGCAAACAGCCCGTAAGAGCCCGTACGGCCGGTTGTGACCGAGGCTTTAAAATAAAGTAGAATACTAATAGGTGCTTTTTTCAGCCAGCTTTATCCCCGCCCTCCAGTTTGTTCAGTTGCAAGATTCACATATAATAAGAATTTCAGTCACCTTGTGAAGTGACTGAAATTCTTATTATATATGAATTTCAGTCACCTTGTGAGGGCAGTCTGGATATTATTTTTCAGTATTTGAGTGGTTATTTTTAATACAAATTGGTAGGTAGCATTATCAGAAGGGACGTCTAGCCATTATCTTAGTCGCCCTTACGAGGTCACCTGCAACTGCGGTTAACGTTATCTCATATCAACCGAACCGCAAACAAAATGACACTTATTTTGAAAGATGATGATATACATTTACACTTCGTGTGTAATTAACAGTTTTAAATGACATAACATTTTTTCAACTATAAAAATGATAACACTTTTTTTAACATAAATGCTTATCACATTAGTTGCGTTATTTCCTTAATGTGTCTTATATAACACGGCGTCACATTGGATAAGAAGGTCTCAGGCGCGTTTTGTGACTTTACTCAGTACCACACCACGGGGTATCTACGGTTAAAATAAGAGGTAAGTTGTCACATCTATCTATTTCTATGAAAATTGGATACTTAACATCATCAGGCCAGATCATGAGCCTAGGTTTCAAAAAAAAAAAAAAAACTCTGAACATTTATCATGGGACCTAACACCTTACCGGTCGGAAATCTCAGGGATCATCAGTTTCCGCGGAAAAAGGTCATGTCTGTAAGATAATGCAAAGAGGGAGAAGAGCGTTACACTTATTCTGTACAGGTAGACATTTAGTTATTAATATGTTTAATTAATTTCCTCTGTAAAAACCTACAGACTTATGTAGGATGAAATTAAAAAAGGACTGTTAGGAAGCTTTATCAAAAATACCAGTTGTAATTTTTGTCGGTCAATAAATTTTTTATTTAAGGATTTTTTACTCTGCGTTCAAAGCAACATGCACATGTCGGTATAGGTCCGTATAAAGTATACATGCACTTAGCTGTTTGAACGATGCAAGGTTTATCATGAACTTTTTGTTTCTTTTCAGTTGTGGACATCACTCGCGCTGCCCTTTCTGCTACACACAATCACAATGAGGAAGTCAACAGTCCTGGGGATTCTTCTGATCATCGCTGGTCATCAGGTAGGGTAAAACACCACGTTTATTAACCTGATATGTCACCCAAGTCATGTTGTAAAAAAGGTTTCTTTAAGAGAGCCTAATAACAAGCGGATCCAGTACAAGGCGCAGAGATCACGTGTCACGTGCCACTCGGAAGTTTGTGCATAAATTTTAATTTCATTCTGAAATTTTAGTTAACCGATGTCCGACTGCAGGAATCCGCTTTTTGCTGTAATTCCCAAACCACTTACCCACTCCCCTTTTTGTTAGCCATTAAAAACCTATTTCACTTCAAAATCTATTTCATTCTTGCGAACATGTATAACGAGGTTCTATTGTTAGATTTTGTGGGCAAGCAGGTTCTGAATCCTTCTTAATTTGGCTCCCTGAAGACTTCATAAATTACAATCACGCGCAAAGGTTGTGAACTATTTCCTTACCTTGACCACTGGCATATCTTTGTCAATGCATGCCTTGATGAACTCTTCCAATATGGCCGTCAAAACCACTTCTGTAAATCTATCCGAAACAAATGTATATATAACCAACACCACTTGAAAAAAGAAAATGCCAAATGTGCCACACAGGAGTTATAGAGGATGAAAAGCACTTTTTAATTACCTGTCCTCTGTATATTGAATACAGAAAAGAACGCTTTCAAATATTTCAAAGCGGCCATACATGCTTTACACATTTAAACAACGAAGATAAATTCTCCTTCATAATGAACAACCCAAACGAGTCAGTTACAATATCCTTGGCCAAATTCCTTAACCTCGATTTTGGCAGAAGAAACTGTGCTAACTCTTCCACTTTGTGATGTCTATGGCTATAAATAATTTCTATAAATATGAAGGTTTGCTTCACATAGTAGAAAACAGGCTTGTGCATAATTAATATCTATGTCTTAGTCATGTATACAATACTTGTAGTATGATGCTAGCATATGATCAGTGTTGTGAGCAGTTGACTCGGCATTAAGACCATACCTAGCTTATCATTATGAAATACTGAACATGTATGTATAATAATGGTACATTTCTATATATGTAATTTTGGTGCTATTTATCTATGTATTATTATTATTATTAGGCCTTTCATTACTGTTGTTGCTATAACTTTAATTCTGTACATTCTCAGTCTGGTGTAGAAAGTACAGTATTAATAAAGCACATAATATATACGGGAGTATCAAACTTAGATGAAGTTTGTAAATAAGTGTTATTACGTGAATGTGTTTTGAGATGTAAACAAAAAATTTCTTTCAAATTGTACATGTATAACAACTGAACACACACACACACACACACACACGATAAAAGGAAGAAAAAAAGTAATTGTAATGTCTGAATTTGATAAAGCAGTTGACTCGGCATTAAGACCATACCTAGCTTATCATTATGAAATACTGAACATGTATGTATAGTAATGGTACATTTCTATATATGTAATTTTGGTGCTATTTATCTATGTATTATTATTATTATTATTAGGCCTTTCATTACTGTTGTTGCTATAACTTTAATTCTGTACATTCTCTGTCTGGTGTAGAAAGTACAGTATGAATAAAGCACATAATATATACGGGAGTATCAAACTTAGATGAAGTTTGTAAATAAGTGTTATTACGTGAATGTGTTTTGAGATGTAAACAAAAAGTTTCTTTCAAATTGTACATGTATAACAACTGAACACACACACACACACACACACACACACACACACGATAAAAGGAAGAAAAAAAGTAATTGTAATGTCTGAATTTGATAAAGCGCATGGGTGGTCGCAGTGACAGTGACGTAGGCCTACACTGTGGCCGAATAAACATTGTAAACAGATGTGAACAGCGTTTGGATAATGTTTCAAATCAAGCAAAATGTTAAGTTGACCAAGGACGTACAGAGAAAGTATCAAATCTAAGTTAATTTAGTTTAAGTTTCTTTTAACATTGTATAACAACCATCGGGTTGCAATTTTACTGAATAAACTGTTATTATTATTATTAAAGATATATGCTTTAAGCTTGCCTCATAAGATCACTTTGCGCCTATCGCACTCGCCGGTTGTCACTCATTCGTTAGGTTGTCTTATTCACGTAAAATATTTGTGTTTTCATTTCTGTAACGTTCATATTCATTTTGTTTCAATAAAGTTGTAAATTTTCATCACTAGCTGTAATCATTTCCTTGCAGATATATATATATATATATATATATATATATATATATATATATATATATATATATATATATATTTTTTTTTTTTTTTTCAACAGGTGTTGGTGTCCGATGCGCAGTCTGCACCATGTGAGTATTTAAGTGTGTAACGGTTATTTGAAATTCTGCCCTGTTTCACGCATTGTCATGTTGAACTACACACACTGGACAAAAGAAGTGTCACCCCTACTGAGCCAATACTATGGGGGAGATAAATGACTGTGGAATGATATGCTCCTGGTATCATTTTATTAACATCAAATTTCACAAAAAAATCACAAAATGAGAACAAAATATACATTCTAAAAAATATGTAGTTTCAAGTCCAAAATTAGTACTTAGTGGCATAGCCACGTGACCTAATAATAGGTGCCAGTCTACGAAGCAAGGATTCATTTAATTGCCTGATGCGTTCAGGGCTTATGCTGGCCCAAGCATGAAACACTGAATATAACAGAGTTTCTCTGCTGGTTAGACGGGCATTTGTAAAAAGTTTTGACATATCATTCCACACATTGTCTCTTATGTNATTCTTGCTAAAAGAAAGTATTGTAAAAGGAAAATAATTCCAATCTTTTCATTCACTTGAATTAAGGACTACTTCAGTCTTTCAGTTTCCTTGAATATCACTTGACAATTGATTGCGCATCAAAATAAGAATACTTTCCCTTACGACTATGTATTCAATTCCATCAATAAATGATAGCTCGTAATTCACCGTGGCGAGAACACCAAATCAGAAGAAGGGAAACTGCTTTCATTTAATGGTATCGTTTTAACCAGTTTGTGCGAGGGACTGGTGGTCGTCACGTCGCTGGCAGCGCTGAAGAAGCGGCGCCGCTGCGTCAAACTCCAGCGACGAACTCTTCGTAGACGCACGCACAAGATGGTGGTCACCAGGAGAAAGAGGAGGATCAGAACGCCGAGGATGCCGAGAAGAGAGATCATCTCGATGCTGTGGAGATCACACTCGTCACTGGCAGAGTCTTCCTCATCCGGGAATTTTGATATCTCACCTAAATAATTAAAAATATATAATAATAATAAAATCGTAATATAGTCATGAAGACAATTTTCAAATATTTGGTCTTGTTAACTAAAATGTTTAATAAAGTGAAAATATACGTATAAAAAAATAATAAAAGAAATAGAAACAAATTACAGAGACCACAAACTTGCTTCGTGAAATTATCGGTATAAATGGATATAATTCGTGCCCCCATAGACCGCTTGGTTATATATATACCTCTCTGTTTAAATAGACTATTGAAAACCCGTAACGAGAAGTTGAATTAACTGAAACTTAGTGAAACTGACAAATGTTGCTCTAACCGCTCTGCTTATTCACATACATGTATAATACGCGATAGAGCGCTCACAAACAAAATAAATCATTAACTTTCATCTAATTTATCTTTTATCGTATCCTTTTTCTTACACTAAGGTTTATTTTCACATCTTAAATTTGGTGATTGTATTATTATCATTACTACATTATTATTATTTCACTTTTAAATCACCTTCAAGGGCATACAAAAGAATACAATTTTTGACGTACATTTTACATATATATATCAGCTGAATAAATTATTATCATTAACATATTAATAAAAAAGTTAACAATTATTACTGGTGCCTGTTTGTAAATCACCTTTAGTTTGTGCCTGTGGCTTCTCTCTATCATCATCCAGAACCATGATTAACTCTGACACGCTCAAAACAGGTCGGTAGTCACCCTGGTCACTTTCGTTCTTCCTTTCAGTTTCGGTATCATTCTCTTCTTTTCCTTTAGTCGGTGGGTCTTCAGTGTCTGAACTGCGTTTGTTAACTTCTGTGAAGACGAACAATACAGAAACACCATGAGTGTTAAACCTTTATATAGCAAAACTTAATTTTCTGGGAAATTTCATTTCTTTTCTTTAAAACACCGAGGTGCATTGTATGTAAAACCGTTGAAAGAATTGCGGTCCGCAACCCCACTTTTGGGCTTTATGTTGCTGGTTTATCAGCAGATACGAAGTCTCGTGATGTCAAAATAGAAATGAACAAATCGTTCACTGGTTCACACTCTCTGCAACTGTTTTGGTCATGATAAAGAGAATATAGCTGAAAGTGAACTTACATAATAAACGACTGAACATTTATAGAATTATTATGACATACTTCAAAATCACTTGAAAAGAAAACTCACTTGGTTGCTCTGTCTCTGGCCACCAACTTTCATTTTGAAAATTGTAAGGATGAACTCGTAACCAAGGAGGCAGGGTGGCGACCTTTGAATGACCTTGAAAACCATGATAAGACTCCTCTGTGTCCTTTGGTTGGCACTGATTCTTTTGAAACCGTAATGAAAATTGCGGTCAAAAGCATGTGGAAAATACCTTACTGATATACATTTTTTTTCAAATTACATCTGCTAAAATGAAAGCTTTTTTTCTTATTTCTTTTATGTATGATGAAGAGAAGTAACTGAAAACGTAGATATTTTCTCTCAATGGGAAATCCATTCAGATGATTACAATGCACTTAACAAAAAAATTCATTTCACAAATGAAAGAAATGAAAAAAAACATGAACAAAAATCTTATTTAAAAAGTTGTCTATGCCTCGACATTTGGAAATTAAATAATGATGTTGAGCAATGGCTGATGGGACTGCCTCATTTTCATTGAAAAGGTGTGGTGATTTTTATGGTGTGTTAGGTGTTACAGTGTGTTAGGTGTGACAGTGTGTCTGATGCGACATTGTGTTAGCTGTGACAGTACATGACATGTGACAGTGTCTTAACTATTGCCTACCCCGTCACACCTATTCCCAGGCAGTTGGCTTGCACACGCTGATACCTGGCATTCAAAATACAGAGTATTAAACTGCTCGTATTTGATCACTCTGAACTTGGGGGAGTACACACTCCTTACGGTGCTCTTTTCACCTGAACCAGACTGGAAGCCTTGATTATGGGGAATCAGAGATTCTACACCACAACTGGAAACAATAATGTACGCTCTTTAATTCAAACAAAGCAACTCTTTTTCATTGTTAGTGTGGATATATGGTAAAGCTTAAGATAACAGGAGTAATTGAAACAAATTTGAAATAATATTTTCTTTGGCTTTTTAGCAGCGTAAAAAGTAGCAAGAGTGTGTGAACAAGTACTGCTGCAGTCAAATTAAAAGTGGTTTACAGTGGTTTTGTTATATAGAGTTAACAGACCTCTGTAGGTCCATTGTTCAAGCAGACCGAATGGCACAAAACTGTGACCAGTAGAGAGCTTTTGTTAGGGGGGCCACGGCGGATCAGCTCCGACCCAACTGTTCTTGATGATGATGATGATCAAGAGTTAATACTCTGGACACATTATACATACCCTTGGCTATCAATCAACTGCATCCGCCTCCTCTTCTGTAAGGATTCATACATAACACAGTTTGTTATATACAGGTCCTGAAGTACTGGGGAAACAGAAAAACAATGATCACTGTCTGTGCATCTTGCTGATAATTTGCCATTACCAGAGTAAACTTTTACCTATTCAGTAACTGAAGAGTTCCTCCAAAAATAATACTATATATATTTTTTTACATAAAAAAGTCACAATAATAAATAAATAAATAAATAAATAAATAAATAAATCATGAAATTTCATGCCAGGATTTAATTCATATTTTCATAAAATAAATACACTGGTATAAAAGAGAAGTAGAATAAAACATCTGCTGTTTTCTCAAGATATATAAATTCATAATACCATCTGAGGGTATCAGTGACACTTTCAGTCGAATCCAATCCCCAACTTTTGTCACTGTAATTTTCTTAGATGACACTCCCTGCACAACCTCCATGTGAATATTGGCGTCAGCCAAAAGGAGGCTGGAAAATGCAGAATATCCAGCAGTTTGTCTCAGGGAAGTTGGCTGACCTTGACCTTCAAATGACCTTTCAAAGGACCTTGGCTGAATATTGAAAAAATTTGGAGGTCCTATAGGTGCCATGCTGAAATAAATAAGGTAAAAAGTAATAAAATTTTGTGTATATCAACTTTGGTGAAAAATTACAAATACAATATACAATATATTCAAAATTCTAGCAGTTAAATAATGTACCAGGAAATTTGAGGAAACTAATTATTTAAAAATCTTACTGAATATAAGTTAACATAAATTACCATAAAGTACTAGTAAAAGAAATCTTTGTACTTCTTAACTTCAACTGCACAAAATGTTGAAAAGTTCAAACCATAAAAAAATTCACGTATACTAAACTCTTATCTGTATTTGCATAATTATTTATAACACAAAAGATGTGTTTTTACAAATTTCCATTGCTTAGTTTTGCATCCAGTAAAATATAACTACTAAAACACTGTATATGAATTTACATCAAATTAAGTACTAGACTTTTTTTTGCATATACTCACAAATCTACATCATATTTTGTATCAGCAACCACTTTATTTTCTATGTCAAATGTGCAGGTCATTGTGAAGGTTTTGTCATTTCCATATATGAGTAAGGCATGTCTGCGGGCCACAACATCCATGTGGTACACCATACGGTTCTGTGCTGTGACCTGTAATAGTCATCGCAATTTGGATTAACTTTCTCAATTTTGAGACTGAATTCTGCTCGTTAATTAAACAAGAACTGCAAAAGTACAATACATTTTGAACTGTTCACAAAAGCATTTTTAAAAGTATAATAGGTTTGAATATCCTGAAACATCTAAATTATATTTTTATTATCATTGCAATTTCACATTCCAGTTTTTATCATTCTTGGAAAAAAATCAGCTTAAATTTTTAATGTGACAATTTTCTCAAATGACTTAAAAATTTGATAGAAGAAAAATGCTAACCAATTTTACTCCGCAACGATTCAAGTCTGCAATCAGGTCAATGTCCAGCAAATACTCGCTGGCATAGTGATGATGGAAGGAGCAGGAATCCTCGTGTCCAAGGACATACACATTATTGACAGGACTTCCTTCATCATACATTATACTCATGGTGCGGGAGAAAGGCGTGGCCGTGCACACTATCCTTACAGGAGGCTTGATGCACATGGCGTCCGGGTTCTTTGCCAGATCTTCGTCAGTTCTCCCATCACCATCATCATCTAGAGAATTTTAATTAGAAAGCTAAAATAAATTTTATCTTCATAATGAGAATTAACAAAAATATTGACTATTATAACTTATTGGAATTTTATTCAATTTATTTAAAAGAGAAAATAGAACTTACTCAATACAAATTTCTTTTTGATTTTTCTTTCTATATATGGCTATTCTGCTTGATATCTGGCATATGTTCATAATACAAGTTTTCTACGCTTGCATACTTCCAAAAATTATTTTTCATGCACAATATGAAGTCAAGTAAATTTTTAATTGTATTCTCTCTAGATCTGTTTTTAAATATGATCAAAGATGTATCATTCTTGATAAAATGTATGTGATGAATAGCGCATTGTTATTTGCACGTGTCATTGTATAATTATGCTACAGAATTAAAGTAAAATAAAGTGAAATAACTATCTTTCAAAGCTAATCCATGTTTAAAAACAGTATATCTGTATATGTCTGCCTACCAAAATTGTTGGCAATCTCCTCATCTATCCTTCCGTCACAATCATTGTCCAACATGTCACCAAATACCGGGATGGAGGTACGGCACTCCTAGAAAGAAGACAGCTCTTTGTTAACTTCAAAGAATAATCACAAACCAGATACACTTAGGGTGCTTTCCCAGAGATTTAGATCGACCTAACTCCCTGGGAGTTCACGCTAAATTGCAGTCTGCCGAGCAGGCACCATAGTTTATTACCCCCTTACAGCTTTTAGTAGGCGGGACAGACGCTTAAGCTGGCCAAGCTGACAGTAATCTAGTGAGACTACCCAAAGGGATAGATCGATCTAAAAATCTATGGAAATGGGGTGTTACTGGCAGAACTGTTTTCTGTGATAACAAATAAAAAGAAAAATTCTCTCTTTCCATGTGTCCCCTTATTCCACACCTCCTGCCTTCAAAAAAATCCATATCGCCTTGGTCAAAGAGAGGAGCATGACAGAAAAACCAGAAAGTGAAAGTGAAACTGACTTACTGTATTAATCTTGGCAGCCCTGCCCCCAATGGAAGTGGCAGAGTAAGAATGGCTTGCCTGCAAATAATAATAATAATAATAATAATAATAATAATAATAATAATAATTAGAGATCACAAAGAAGTTCACTTTACTGAATTATAATTCAACTAATAAAAGCCTTTATCATTCTTAATATCATCCCATACTTATTACAAAGTCAACTTAAAAAATGTGATTGGAATCAGAGCATATATACAACTTGAAATTACATGCTGGCCAAGCTTTTTATAGAAAAAAATCTCAATCAAACGTCTTTTTAGTATAGTAATTCCCAATATGTAACAGGCCTTGCTAAATCAGATACATGAAATAAATACTAAACATTTTACTTACGCCTGAAAAAACATCTTTGAAGCCAAGGATAAAGAAAGTTGCCAAGGGATCCACATTATACAGATGTAGTGCAACACTCTCATCCTGATAATCAGAAACATCAACAAAAAGAATGTCAAAACTGCCCAAATCGGGTATTGTCACACTCTGGGCTGGTTGCTTGAGAGACAGGGGTTCCCCGTTTATCCTAAGACCCTCTCTGTCTACACTGTGCACGAGTATGGAGATATCAAACTGAGGCAATGTGAACCAATACTCATGTTGCATTTGACTCCAGTCTGGCAGAACATACTGTGACATCAGCAAGAGGCCCCCCTGGGATACATTCTGGTAACCAGTAAACCCTACAATCTGGGCATCTTTATCACAGAAAATGTGATTGATTCCATCTTCGGTAACCTTGTATGTGTCCCCACGATCATTGATATGGTAAGCCCCTCCCCCAGGTTTTGAATGACAGGTGGTGTTGTCTTCCAGGGCTTGAATGTGGTACCGAGTATCACCACCAGATGGCAGCAATGCATATCTCTTCCCGATGGCCGAGAGCGGAAACAGATGCTGATACATGGTGGTATCTGCGTCCAGTGTGCCCCCTGTGATAACAGAGACTGGTTTATCTGCAGTTATGTACAGACCATTTATGGAATAATCCATATCATCATCGACAATAATCGTTGCCTGGAAACGGCTCAGAACTCTTGTGTACGATTGGCCACGCAGGTAAGCCTCTCCATCTATCAATAAAGTACGATCAGGCTCCTTGACTGCTGGAATGAAAAAACTCACTCTTGTTTCATCATGCACTGCAACAATGGCTACCACATCGGACTTTGATATGTCTGGAGGGTACTCCGCAGCCAGTGCGCTGCTAGTCACTGCTATGTATCTTTCTCCCAAGGCATCCGTGGGTAGAACACTAAAAATATCATTTCCTGTGGAGTCGTCTTTCATCACAAAAACTGCTACATCGGCATCAGACTGCAGGTGGAGTCCATATTCTTTCACATCTTTACTATCAGCAGCTATGTCAAATAGCCCTGGAATTGTAAGGTATTCGGTGGCCCCAGGGGGTATGGCTATGGTGAGTTGGGTCTGTGGGGCAGGGTGCCGGGGTGCAGACAGTGTCACAGTGGCTGGATATGGGGAAGCTGACGTCACAATGACAGAGAAGTCCTCACCAGAATTACCACCGAAAACTGCAAACACAAAGTCCTTGCCAACTGAGTCACAGTATCCTGGAATGTGACAAAAAAAAAACAATAATTTAAAATAATTCTTTAAAAATCTGTTATCAATATATTGGGTTTCATACATCACGTTAAAAAATCAACATCACTCAGCTGAAGAAATATTTTTGAAAGCAGGAAATGTCCACTCTCTTCAAATACTTAAATGTGGCGAAATACATATGTACAGATGTATCACATCTTCCCATTGGGTGGCACATACAGACTTACCATCCGTGGCTGCCATTGGCTGGCAGGTACAGGGGGCACCACTGCCACTACATGTTGGCCTCTCTCCCCAGCACTGACAGAAATCTCTGTTACTGCATGGGTCAACTAGATTGAAAAAAATTAATGAATAATCAGTTAATATAAGTGAACCACTTTTGAGACAGACAAATGTAACTGAATGTATCATATAATATTTTTAATTAATTAAGGTTGTGTGCAGTCTTTGGAGATTGAGGTTGGCTAATTAACTGAGTGATGATAAGACTGCAAAACTGTTTTTATTATGTTTTATGTTTATCGCTAAATTTTAAATTTTAAACTGACACTGTTTAAGAGTAAATTAAGCAGGGGCAGATGGAGACCGTCTTCTGGGTCATTCGGAAAAAGTTTACATTGACAGACATTTATTTTATGGGAAGATGGTCAAACATGGAGGGTGGATCAACAAGGATATATAATTTAACAGACTATTCTGTCAGAAAATATCTCTGGATCCACCCTTGTAAGAGTTCAGTGATCACCGTTGCATTTTCCAGGTGAGATACGGAGGTCATCAAGTGCAATCTCTCCAAGACTATCTTGAACTCCTGTAGCCGCAAATTCAAATTCAATCTAAAATATTAATGATAAATAGGTATTTTTCTTATTTTTTATTTTATTCTGTCAAAACCAGACTCTCACCTGATCAGTTTAAAACAGGTTTTTGGAAAGACTTTACTAATTTATAAGTCAAACATGCACATCTGAGCTCATATATTTTATTTATAAAGTTTATTGATTTGAATTCTTAATTATGAAAAGTGCTGTAGACATAAAAAGGTGAGTAAGATGTCAAAAAAAAAAAAAAAACAGTTTTCAAATGTTTTTTTACTGGAAAGAGGTATATATGCAGTGCTGACATCTGGTAGTGATACCCAGTACTTATATATTATTATAGTACATGTACGCACCGTTTCTGGTGGCGTCAAGGTAACTTGGGCAAATAGCCACTTGTCTCCTTGGTTACCATCTCTCCTCCAGACCTCTGTCATCTCATTGTCAAATCCCAGCCTGTGCGTGTTGAGGGACAGTGTCCCAATGTCCTTGCCGTACATATGGTACCAGAATGTGAAGCACGACTGACGAGACAAATACACGGGGAAATACAACCTGCAAATTTTCATTTGAGATACTGAGTGTGAATTGACAAAACTTTAATTTATAGCAAATTTAATTTTCTTTTAATGTGATTTCATTGATAAATCTGGTTATATTTAATTAGAAAAAACTGCAGAATAAAAAAAACTTTTTCAATAAGATAAAAGGTAGAAGCATTAGAAAAATGACAAAATCAAGCCCTAAATATAAATTCACCAAATGTTCACAAAAGGTCAAGTAATGTGCAGACTAAATATAATATACTAAGTACCAATTTCAATGTAATCAACATCAAAAAAGCATATTTCTAAAAGTACCAAGTAAATGTTAAAACCAAACCATTTGTTTAAATGTGATATAATAGTTACATGCATTGCATTAACAAATAATTACAAATATCCTGCACGATATCAACACTCCCAAGGAAAGCGGCACTAGCAATATTTTTTTTATCAGAGCAAGTTGTTGATGTTACAAGTAATTAGAGAAAATATGTTCATGCACTCACAAGGCATCATGATGGTATGATAGTGCCCTCTTCTTCCTGCGGTCTACAATGGCGGGATGAAGGCACTGAGTGAAGATGTAGTTGTCATCTTGGCTTCCTAACGGAACAAGCACATGCCACATTTTATATAACAAAAGGAAAAAACAAATTATACTTACGTATATCTGTAACACTAGACTGAACTCACTGATGCAAATGGCACTCAGGGGCTGCCTTACACTGATAGATTATTGACTATCCTGATTCATTAGATGAAATAAAGGAAATTTTCATCTCATCATTTATGTTGAGTATATGTGTGTTAACAATAAAACTGCTTAGATAGTATTTATTCATTTTATTGTTTTGGATTCTTACAAATGAGAAATATAGCTAAGATGTTCAGACTTCCTAAGGAAGAGAAAAAATTAGTAAAACACTGCCTCACACACAGACACAGAAACAAGCAGTTCAGGAAACATGCAGAGTCAGCCAGATAGACAAACAAACAGATTGTACTTCACAGCAGGATTTCTTTTACGTAATAAGTTAACCAAGAAGCTCTACACTGACACAATTAGAGAACATTGAGAGAAAACTGAGAGGGGAAATTAACCAATAACACAGCAGCTCTGTTACAAAATAAAATCAAAAACACCTTATTAATCATTATTCCCAGGACTTTGCCTTGTTTTATAGTAGAAGGCAATGGCTGGCTGGCTGGACAGTTAGTCAGTCAGTCAGTCAGTCAGACAGACAGACAGACAGACAGACAGACAGACAGGAGAAAGCTAGTGGAGGTAGGGTACCTGTGGTATGGCCTTCCTTTGGCCCAGTATCCTGGAGATCCTCCAGGCCACGTCCTACTAACCAGTCGTACTCGTCACCATCTGAGTTCTGTGTGAACTCACATGTATCCTTACCCGATTCACCAAAACCAAAGTTACACTCCCAAACTAAGAGAGGAGAAAAACCATTTTTCATTATTTTAGAAACTTAACCTTTTACGCAACAATATTATTAAGATTCATATTTAATACATAATTTTTTAAATAATTAAACTACCTTTAATAATATAATTTGCATCTTCTGTGAACAAAGAATTAAACTTGTGAACTAAATGTAACATATCTTAACTGTCAGCTTTCATGTTTGGTAACTGAATTTTTTTTACACTGTTGAGTTAATTAATAGGAGCTCTAAGGGTTGTTAAGGCAACTCTCTGAGAGTTGCCTTAACAACCCTCAGAGCTCCTGACTCTAAAATAATCAGTCTAAATTAAGTTTTCAATCTCTCAAATACTGTATCCCCAGTATTTCTGCAGGCTGTTTCACTGAAAGTATATACATCTGTAGCTTGATGTGAAAATTAATTAAGGGCCTTATCAGGAGAATCTTTTCGGAGTAAGAGAACCACTTACTGGTGCAGTTCTCTGGTGATATCTTAATATCATCTAGTCCAAAGTCATAGGCTCCAGAAATGTAGGCATCCACTCTCAGATTGAGCTCCAGCTCCACCTACAGTGTAATGTCAAAACTAAGTCTGCCAGCAGAAAACAATTTGCTGCAGTTAAGCTGACTTAAAATTAAGCTTTTGCTCCTCTAATAAACCCCAGCCATTGAAATAAATCAAAAAGTTTATCAATAATTAGCAATTCAATATGAGTAACTGCAAACCACTGCCAATTAAGGCAGCTCAACTATCATTTTATTTAATGGTTCACCATGCATCAATATCTAATCAATTCTAAGTTGGCCCATTTCTGATCTTTCCTCAAAATTTTACGAAGATATGTTCATATCTACAATTAACCTTTTGAGTTAGGCCGTACATTGACTGTAATAAGTCGAACAAAGGCAAAAACTATCTCCTTAGGGCAGGTAAACTTACCTTGTCCCCAATATCAATAGGTATTTCCTGCTTGGTCCAGATATTCACTTCAGTGGTCCTGTTCAGTGTCCAGATGTTTTTGGGGACTTTCCCCGGCCTTGTCATTAAGAGGTTCACACTGAGGAAATCTGTTCCTACCATGTAGTACCAGAAACTAAAACAGCCACCAGATGTCAGCACAAAGGGGAACTTCAAGCTGGAAATTAAAAGTGAAACTACATATAAAAATAACAGTTATAACATACAAACTAAATACTTGAGGAAAAAGTATGTGAAAACAGAGACTGGATTGAATTTCTTTCATAGCATATGCAGTGACAGGCGTATGACCAGGTTTTTGAACTTGACACTAAAGGAGTTTTCAACTGGAAAATATGAAACTTCAATTGAAGGAATTAAAAATATACTGGAAATACATTTCATCACTAATTTTCTATAAAAGGTGCAAATGGATCTTCTTAATTTTATACACTAAAATACTTGAAAATTTACAGGCTTAATTACTGGGTTGAAGATAGTGACATCTACTTAGTAAACAGCAAATATCACAAGTGGCACAATCAAATTTATGCATTCATTGTCATCCTATTAAAGTGTAGAACACATTATGTAGAAAGTTCCATTTAGAAGAGAAGCGTGCTAGTTAACAGCTTATAGTGTTTAAAAATTTATCAAGCTAAAAGCCAAATATTGGTTAATCTATTTTAAATTCTCAACTTTCGCATATACATTTTTTTAGTAATATGGATTGTTTTGGAACAAAAATTATATACATGTAAGAATACCATCATTCTTTTAAACAAATTAATCAGTGGGCTAGCTAAAACACAGCTACATGTTTCTTAGCAACTGATACCAGCATTTTGTTTTAAAAAATCTCTTATTCATATTTTACAATTCTCTCTGACCTTTGGCTTTTCCCAGCCCTCACACTCTGGTGATTCAGTCTCAGAAACAGGTCACCAGATGTCCCCAGTGTATGCCCAAGACGAACCTCGCTTACAGTTGTGCTGAGCAGACGGGCCCCTGGTGTCAAAACAGCGTCCCCACTATTCACAACTGAGCAAGCTTGGTATGCATGTTTTACCTCTTCACTAGTAATTTCATCTGGAAAATAAAAAAAAAAAATTTTTTCACAGTGCTCATGTCTAATTAAAAAATCATTGCAAGAATTACTCTTACTGTTTGTATTAATTCTATGTGAAATATAACTCTATAGCTGTTTCCCATATCACAATTTGCAGTTTACTTTGAAAAAGTCTCTATATATGATTCTAATGAAATTAATTTATCAACTCTGACAATTTTTTTTAATAGTGCCAACTGACCTTGGGTGGGAGCCAACTGTTTGGATTTTCCAGGAGTGCTTGGTAGGAAGCCAAAGTTGCAGTAGAAGTAGGGAAACTCTGTGGATAAATGACAATGAAAATATATATGAAGAGGTGGATGCATATCTAATCTACAATTAAGGAGAAAATGCTGTACCTACGTATATTGTTTTTTGGCACACACACACACACACACACACACACACACAGAGAGAGAGAGAGAGAGAGAGAGAGAGAGAGAGAGAGAGAGAGAGAGAGAGAACTTGAGATTCACTTGGTGCATACCTGCACACAATGACTGACAAATAAATAAATGTGTGAATGTAATTTTTTTTCTTCTGTGAATGTCAAGTACTGACTGATTTCACACAGGTCAAATTTTAAACATCATCGAAAAAATTCTCATTATCAAGAAAACCTACTTCAAATGGAACCACTTAATCTAAAACTAATGAAATACCTGTTGGCAATTTGCATGTTGTTTAAAACATGAACCTACACATAATGACATGCCTCATATTAAAATACCTATTATTTATATGATGTACATCTTAGTCTTATCAGTTATTTTCCCACGGCTTAACACCCATTCTGCACCTGTTGCCACTACACTGGGTTAATTTCCATGACAATAGGTCACCATGACCTCTGGTTGCTATGACCACTGGGTCACCATGACATTGGTTGATAACTATGGCACAAACAGGGTTACCATGACCTTGGGTTGCTACGACACTGGGTAACTATGACCTTGGGTTGCCATGACACTGGGTCACTATGACCTTGGGGTGCCATGACACTGGGTCACCATGACCTTGGGGTGCCATGACACTGGGTCACCATGACCTTGGGCTACAAAGACAACAGGTCACCATGGCATGAAGTTACTAAATGGCCAGATCACTGCAGGTATGACATTGAGTTAACATGACACTAGCTTACCATGACACTTCCCTGTCTTCACATAGATGTCATCCAGTGCAATATCACCTAGGTTACTTCCATGGTCCACCATACAGAACTGCAGTCGCAGTGCCTCCTTGTACACTGGCACAGTGACAAACACCCTCTTCCACTCGTTCCCCTGGTCCCCCCTCAGGACCAGCAGCTCAGTGGTTTCACCCTCAGGGTTGACAGCGAGGACCTTCAGAGCGCCAACGTATATGCTAACTGTTCCATGCATGTGGAAGTGAAAGTCCAGACAGGATGTCTCGTGGAGGAGGACTGGCAAGTCTATCCTGGAGGTGGAATATAAAACAGTGATGCATGAGAAAAGAATATATTAAAAATAAAAAAGTGAATTTAAGGAAATTGATAAAGTGATGTTGCAGTGTGGATCACATGTCCCTTGTAAATTGCCAAAGTGCCACCTATACTTTGGTTTCAAAACAAATAGTGGGATACACACTGGACCCACTTATCCCAGGTTTGGTTGAGCCAGGTATTTTGTCCCAAATCTCTTCAATGACACACAAATAAACTATCAGCATTACTGACATATAACAATACTGACAAAATGAGCTTTGTGTGACAAATTGAGGATCCAGGGTGTTTTTGCAGTAGCTTTATCATACAGAATTTTACTGCACCAATGCAGTTTTAGAAGCCCCTATCCTCATAAAAGAGATTACGTAGCTCTCCCAGGCCACCAGTTTAAGCATATCTGTAAGTAAAACTGAAACAAAACTCAAAATTTCATTCTCCATTTATTCCAGTTCTGATATATAATTACCTGGCAGAATGCCCTATCTGCTCTCCTGTAATCTCTGTATAGATATAACAATCGTCCAGTTCTCCAGTGGTGTGGCCAGTTAAGGGTCCAGTGCCAACATCTGGGGTTGAGCCGCTGTGCAGTGTCCAGTTGAAGTTGTCCGTGGTGACATCTTGAGTTATTCCACACCAGCTGGACATTTCTCCCATACCAAAGTCACAGGTGAATGTTGAAACTGCAAGACATTTGTGAAATTTATACTTCTGCACACATATGCAAAAATAACTTTAAATCTGACATTATGTAGAAAACTGATAATAAGGTAACCTTTTTCATTCAACATAATTAAAAGGTTTCAGGATAAAAAGTGAAATCCTGTATCCATGCACCCTGATTTTATAGCATCCATTGGTTGCTATGGTTACACTTACACAAACATGCCCCTGGCTCCAGTTTGATGTCATCTAATGCAATGTCGCTGTGGAAACTTTTTCCTCTGTGGCTGGTGAAATCAATTTCTAACTGCAATAACAAAAGCATGAAATTCCAGTAATATTAATTTTGCATTTTACCTTTACAGAGGAGGTTTACAGTTTATATTCACAAAAAAATCTTCATATCACACCATTTTACCTTCTCTCTTGGTATAGGATGACTGACAAATAGATAGTAAGAGCCTTTGAGAGAAGGAGGGGGTTATAAGGAGTGTAGGGACACAGACATGACAGACAGACAGACAGACAAAGAGAGGGTGAGATATGGATGAAAAGGAAAGAAGACAGATGCACAGACATTCAGAGGACAGATGGACATACAGACATGACAGACAGATAGACAGACGAACAGACCACAGAAAAACTGACAGATCAACTTACATTATCTCCTGGCTTCACAGTCACCCTTGCCTCCTGCCATTCCACTGACTGCTCATGTGTCATAGTGTACAGGACTTCTCCCGCCTCCTCCATGTGGCTGCTCATGACTCTCAGGGTGCCGACATCGGCACCGTACATCATGTACCAGAAACTGAGGCAGGCCGTGTTGCCAACTTGGAACGGAAGGCGCAGTCTAGATAAAATGAGTGGTTTAACTAGATTAGAATAATGGAATTTTTAGAGTAATTTTTTCAACTTCATAGCCATACAGACCTGCCTGTGTAAATTTGATTTCTTGTTATAAATCGATTTTCCACTGGAAAAAACTGCTTACCTTGCCATATCTTCCTGTTGTTGGTTGCTTCCATCTGTATAAATGTACCAGTCCTCCGCACCCCCCGTTGTGTGCCCTGCCCTGGGTCCAGTCTGCCATGTCCTTGTGACCCCCCTGTTGAGGACCCACTGCATTTCATCATGAAGGTCCTGTTCTATACCGCAAAATTTACCCTTGGGACCCTCACCAAAGTTGCATTCAAACTTTGTGACTGGAAAAATAGGGCAAAATCATATAAAATCACTGTTTAACAAAACTGAAGTAGTGGGAACCTCGGGTTACTATATTGGTTCAATGACAAATATGACCTTATAACTTAAGTTTTCTTTGGCAAAATTATATATTACATAAATCACACACACAGGCTAATAAATACAGATTAAAAAATACATCATTAAATAAAAAATGGAATTTTTTTAAAGCAGTGTACCTTGACAGTGGCCAGGATACAAGTGGATGTCATCTATTGCCACGTCACTACGGTACGTGGAACCAACTGTCTTTTCATATTCAAAGTGCAGCTGAAATTAAGAGAGAAATGCATGTTAAAATATCATCATATAGGAAAAAAAACAACTCATATCATATTTGTTTGTTATAGCCATTACGTGCAGATGTGATCCCATTGTGTTTGGATGTTCAAAAGATTGCACTTGGTTGTGCATACTTTAAGGATTATGTTGTGTACAAAAAACAGCACAACACAAATGTACAAGTTTAACAACTTACCACCTTCCATCGACTGATCTGTACACTGCCATAATTCCATAAATTGCCCTGATTACCAGCCCGCATCCATACGGCCTGTCTAGGCTCTCCTGGAATGGAGGCCAGAATCCTCAGCGTTCCCTGATTAGTTCCATACATGTGGTACCAGAATGTCAGGCAAGAGTCAGCACCAACAGCGAATGGAAGTGTAGCACTAGATAAGGACATTAAGAAAAGATTTTATTTTTAGCCTGATATCCAAGATAAACTGACCAAGGTAACTTTAAAAAGAAGTAAATTACCAGCAACATGCGCTCTATTATGTACAAGTTAATTCAAAGCATTGGCATTTTTTCTAATTTAAACCATCCAAGAAATACCAGCTACAAGTATTTGAAATATCCACCCACTGCCATAGCAGTAAGATTTCTCCAAATTTATCACAATCTGCTGCCCTAAGAAGTTGGTCAAGTTCAAAGTAACAGGGCTTACCACCATATTTAGAAATATCATTTTCTAACCCTCATCCACACATCTCCATTTTGTTTATAAAGTACTGATTATATTTGTTATCTTTTTTCAAAACATCAAACGATGGCCCTCAAAATAGATTGATTAATAAACAACAACATGCCACTATTTAATACTCTTATACCTTGCTTTATGGCCTTGTGGAATCCCAGATGTCTCAGTGAACATGTAGAAATCTAGCAATCCTCCATCTGTGTGGCCCACAACTGGCCCAGTGCCAATGGACGGAGTTGACCCACATTTGAAGGACCAATCAAAGTCGTCCGTTTCAGCCTGCTCAATCCCACAGGTCTCTTGCTGGCCCTCGCCAAAATCACATTTGAATTCAATGACTGGAAAACGGGTAAATTGAAAAAAGTTTTTAGGCCAATAGCTGCTTTAATTGATTCAGTATTTTTATCTCTGCATTAATCAATGCAACTGACATCTAGATTGATCTCTGAGTCACTTAATCTCTTCCATTCCCTCATGTGCCTTTTGGATTAATTAAAAAAAAACAACTATTTTTCATTTATACATGCACTGACAGTAATATTTGCTCCATTAATTATCTTCCATTTCCTCATCAACCTTTTCATTTATCACTATTTATTAAAATATCTTATTCTGAAAAAGAAATAAAAAGGCTTTATAATGTACCTTCACAAGCACCTGCATGTATAAAGAGATCATCAATGGCAATATCACTGTTGAATCCATCAATCACTGCGATGAACTCTATGGATACCTGGAACAATTAAGAATCAAAGTTACTGGTGGAAAAAGTAGACATACTTTACATGGAAGAAAATATGTGACAGTTTTCCTTGACTATGTGTCCATTTGGGAATGTTTAATGTCTGTGGCTCGATCTCTAACTGTGGTGTGTGCTATCAAACAGAAATGACCAAAGGCTCAATTTTGATATCATTTTTTTTGAGAAAATGTACAGTGTAATATCAATTAAGGTGTTTGTGAAAAGTTGTGTGTAGCACCTGTGGATTCTATTTCTGAAGAATCTTCTTCAACACAAATATATGTTGAGCATTTTCAGATTGATCAAACTATACTGAACTGGCTTTGTGTCTTTATAAAGGATACCTAGCGCAGTATTCCCCTCACCTCAGTCTGTCTGTACAGAGTGACATTGGCCTGCTGCCAGTCATCACCTTGGCAACCGTGTCTTGACCACAGGACAGTGGTGTGTCCCTGGGTGCTGACCGTGCGGACCTTCAAATACATGCCCTCGTCTCCCTTCATGTGATACCAAAACTGAAGGCAGGTTTTACTGGACAGGACATAGGGAAGTCTTAAACTGAAAAAAAATTAAATGTGTACTAGTATTATCTATACTTCAGTTAGAATTCAATTCACGCCATTAATTTTTATTTAAAAAAAAACTACTCATATTTCACTATTCACAGTTGAACTACATGTATCGGTACATGTATTAATTACCTCTACCTAATACAAGACCATTGTGTGAATGATATTAATATCATTCGGTTGATATCTTACACTGCATAATCTCCATGTTTTCTTGGATGACTGCTTTCAGCATAAGCATAGAAGTCATATGCATTTCCTGTGTGACCGGAACTTGGTCCTGTCTTGGGTGTCAAAGTGCCATCTATGTTCAGGTCCCAGTCAAACCTGTCATTCTGCATGTTCACAATGCCACACCAATCGCTTCTGTTATTCTGTGAGAAGTCACAAGCAAACTGATCAACTGAAAAAAGGACATCTTTCAGTACACACCTTGTAATGAACATAGATTCCACATCTGTTAAAATATATGCTAAATTGTTGAGGAAAATTGGATGATTATGCAGCTAGGGCATAATTTTTTCTGGCCAAATGGTTTCTTGAACCTTTGCAAACAGGAATAATACACTCTACCTCGATATCCATGAAATGTTACTATCAGTGAATATTTTCTGTTATACCCTCCTAATTTCCTTCACAAACCACAACAACTTACATGTAAACAGTTATGATGGGCTGTTATGAGACCTTATAAGTCAAAACCCTATCTCACTTAACTGACCATGCAGTGACCATAAAATGACCTTTGACCTCGTGTCCTCACCTGAGCATTCTCCAGAAACCAGCAGCACATCATCGATGGCAATGTCCCCCTTCCAACCGTCTCCAACCACCCCCTCAAACAGAATCTGAGAAGGCAAAATCTTTGGAGTTAGCACGTAGATACCAGGGTTAACAGTGATCCTGGCCCGCCGCCATTCATTGCCTTGGTCCCCATGCATGCCCCAGATCTCAGTGGCCAAGCTCTCGAATGCTTTCAGAAAGATGCGAAGAGATCCAACCTGGCTGCCATGCATGTGGTACCAGAACTGCAGGCAGGAGATGGTGTAGATAGTGGGTGGTAACATGAATCTGAATAGCAGAACAATACTAATTAAGGTAAAACACAGAACAATATTCTTTAGGACAGGATAAATTATTCAAATTTTCGTCTCTAGGGGTAATTTCTTAAGGCACTATAATTTCAGTACAGTATATGGATGACATACTAGACCAGTCAATCTGACCAAAATATATATATAGGCCTATATTCAGCAGACAGTGTTATTCAGATACTGTACACAAGTAACATGGTACTACTTATAAATAACAAGAATGATACCAAGAAATCCAATAATTAACATATTATTATGTTGGCTTCATGTCACCATGCATACAGACGTGTACAGAATATACATTATCAGGGTATATGAGGATCAGCCGGAACTGGGACTGAAGCCTTATGAATCAGTTTCAATCTAGAAAATATATTCTAAAACAAAAAGTTCAATTTATATAGTTTAGTAAGCCTAGATGTGACGAAATATTTGTTGACACAATGAGCAGCTGCTCATGCAGGTAAGGCCATTTACGCACCCCTTCCCCCTCAAACAAATTCATATAATGCATGAACATTAACCATCTTACAATCACAATCAATTTACCTGGCATTTTCTCTCACCACTCGTGGACTGCTGGCTTCCAAATAGAAGTAGTTGTCCCCCACGTCCCCTGTGGTGTGACCCTGGGCTGGACCAGTCATCTTCGAGGTTGTCTCGCCATTATGTAATGTCCAGTCGAAATCGTCGTCCTGGGACTGAATTATGCCACACTTGCTGGCCCCTTCACCAGTGCCAAAGTTACAGTGGAACAGCTGCACTTTACCTAGAATTCAGTTGTTTGTGAAGTTGTGTTGTTGGTGATAAATAAAAGTATAATGCTTGGCCCTTATAGTATAATAATTATTATATAAATATACTAGTTGATTGGGGTCTTGGTCAGGATCACTTCTGGATCCAGGGGGGAGTGGGCATGAGCAGAGAAAATGTGCTTAAGTCCTACTTGCTAAAGCATGGGTTTTGCAAAGTCCGCCATCACTCTGAGAACTAGCTTCCGGATTTCATGTGATTCAGTTTTTTCAGATTTTTTGGCAAGGTAATGTAATTCTTGGTATTTGTCTGTTCAAAAAATGATGAAAAAAAACAAAAAAAAAACAGGTTGTATATGTACTTTATAATTAACAAAGTGTCTCAAATCTTTAAAATATTTAAAATGAAAGTATTCAGCAGCGATAAGTTATACAGCAGCCTACCATTTACTTACCTGCGTCAGTTTCATCACCAGGAGCAGGACCACCTGAAAGGAAAAAAGGAGAAGTAATGAACTAGTTTTACTTATTTGACTAAGACTAATCCCTGACTAAGAATTTAATTACCAAGGTTACCAGGTCACATGGGCACAGCTCACCCTATCAGGAGTAGTGTAACAGCACTCTCATGGGAATCCTAGGCTCTATTCCCATAGATTTTAGATCGATCTATCCCCGCGGGGAGTCTCACTAGATTACTTTCAGATAATCCGACTTAAATGAGTCAGTGTGGAACTTTTCCGCCCAAACGAGCGGTTCTTTCAATTTCCTCCCTTTCCAAACTTAATGTGTTTGTTGTTACAGTTCAATATGTCAAAATGCAATTTATTAAAAACGTTTTAACCGTCATAAAAATTGTTCAGTGTGCACCTATTTAAAATGTACTTTGGAAATTTTTATGGAACAAAAAATAACATCTATAAACATATACTACATTGTACACCGACTGTATGAACCTGTATAAGCTATACCTTGGAGACAGCGTTTTGCTCAAAGACGATTTACCTTTCACGGCAGCGAGCAGGAAGGCAAGCCACCTCAAATAATGCAGCATCTTTCCCGTCACTATCGTAGCGAGTCTGAGTTCCTGGGTCAGCCAAAGTAAGTGGCAAAAACTCAAGAAGCACAGGCAAGGAACTGACAGTTGAGTCGCACCCCAGTCGGTCGGCAAAGACGGGTGAAGATGGACAAAAAACCCGACTGCAACTCGGATACACCAGGAAAAATCGCCCTGCTACTACCGCCGACACGTTGGTCGGTAAGCGGTCACACTCAGGGCGAAGGAGAAAGCAGGAATGTCCGTAGTGTATCCGATCTCAGAAGATTACCTCTCAGTCATGTGACGTTGGAGTGAAGCATTCTTGAATTCTTGGAATCGGTTTCGTTCTGCTTCGCAGATTTCTTCATAAAAGGTGACGAGTAGTGATAATGCTGTTTGGCGAGGTCATTTTGAGATCGGTTCTTATGAGACTTAGAATAAAAATAACGACAGTAATAAAGACATGAAATAAAAGGATTTTATTGTTCAGTTTCTGTGGCGTTGTGTTCAAGACATTTTTAGGTTTGTTGAATGCCGTCCACAGAACCGAATTTTCACATTTTAGGACACCATGTTGACAAAAAAAAAACGTAATCGGAAGCCCGTTGACAGTATAGCAATATCGTAAATGCCATTGCACAATCCCCTTTTGAGGACTGTACTCTCTACCAGCTGTTACAAATTTATTCATTTAGTGTAACTGCAAAAGGATATCTTGGAGAGAAAGGGCGGGCATTGTTCGGTATTCGGTGATCGTGAAGCAACACAAGGTTTTCTTGTTAAAATTGTATCGGAGATAGGATTCTAATGGGACATTTACCCGGTGCATTAGCACGTACGGTTGTCGCTCCCTACCCGTTCTGCACCCTTTTACAAAGAATCTTTGCAGAAGCAGAAAAACATTAAGCTAAAAATCAATCATTTGGTTGCCCTTATCAGATAAATTGAGACGAAAATTACAGGGCTCAAATATTTCATTGAGATATATAGAAAGATTTGACAAGTTCATGATCCATTTTTAGTGAACCATGTTCGATACCGCCAGAAGTTTATAAGTGTGTTTTAAATATTTCATTTAGAAGATAAAGAGTACAGATAAATAGAAAAACATGCATTCCTCAATGTTTCACCATCATTGGGACGGTCGGTGACGTCCCATATTTTAAACTTAACAGTGAGCGACGAGACCAGGGTTCGAAAACACACTGCAGGTTTATATCACTCTTGAAGAAGGCATCATTGTGCTCTCGTCGATGGCTCAATCGTAATTATAGCCTTCATGTTCTAAACCAGTCGACCAATGTTGGGTACCGACAGAACGATGATCGATTCGTATTCCTTATTCAGAGCAGAGTAGTGAAATAAGCCCTTTAGCTGTATATACGATTCCATTAATGATTGACATATTATGTCAGGATTATTTACTGAACTGAACTCTTGCATCAAATTTACTGTACATTCATTCTTTTTTCATATTTACTAGCATTTCCGTTTTCTGGATGAGAGAGTATAATACAAGCTTAAAAATTTTGCCTCCACTATTCTTTGTGAAAAAATGTTGTTTAAAAATAATAAAAAAAATAGAACTTTGAAATAATCATTTCAAGATATAGTAGTACAATATACATAGTCATACATTTCCTATTTAAAATCTATTTGTTTCAGTTTTCATTTGGGCCTTTACAAGAGCTTAGACCACTTTAGTAAACAGCACTCGTTCCCACTTTTTCTATTTGTGCTGGTCTGGTTTAAAAAATCACATGTACATAAAATATTGAGTAATAAAGTGCAATATCTGCAAAAAGATTTTTATTTTGTAAATGTTCATTAGCAGCACATGTTACATGAAAGAAGCTTAACTTACAATTCAAACCATTTAACAAAGAAATATGTCTATAAAGTATATAAATATGGTAATAACTCATTAATTTGAGCAGAATTGATTAGTACTTAATCAATCAACACTTTTCCCTAAAAAGTGTCTAATCGTCAATACTAAAAATTGATTCAATATTTTTGAAATGTTAGTTTGCTTTATGTCAAAAAGGACATGTTTTAATTTGTCATTCACCATATATGATAAAACTTGAAAGTGTAAAATTCTGGAATAGGTAAGGTGTTTGTACCCTGAGTGTCAGAGAAACGTAAAAGCTAGCTTGCTAAATATACCTCGTGGTGGAGTCGCATTGTTGATATGGGTTATATATGAAATCAAGATCGAGCTGACAATACCGGAATCTAGAACCTAGGGTAGGTGTTTGGAAATTTTCAAAAATTAAAAGTACATAATAATAACCATAATAGAAGAAATATAATTTTCAAGGTGTTATGATGTTAACAAATTATCAACAAGAAAATCAATATCTTGAAAAAGGAAATAAACTCTGAATGAAACATCAAAATATAAAATATTGTCGTACTGTGTATAAATCACATCACAATACTCATGGAATCACAACTATGGTAAGTTCATGGAATGAAGTACATGTATATTTAACATTAAAAAGATGCCAAAAGAAGCATTAAATTAGTAATAAAATCTATAAACACGTACTTAAATCATAAATAAAAACAAATGATATTTTCAAATATTCTAATAAAATTAGTGCACCAAATATACACGGCACTTGACCACAACATATGTTATCCTTATCATGGTATATAAATCTCTGGCCACAAAGAATGACACTTACACTGAATGCTATTGTGCGCGATATGGCAGATCTCAGGTGGAGGGGGTGGAAGCACACAGAAGTTTTAGAGGTACCACCCCACCCCCCCCAAAAAAAGGCTAATAAGCCAAATGAGGCAAAACCAAGCATTATTTCCATCCCTCTCCCCTTCAAGCAACAGAAAAGGGCACAACTGATATGTCAACACAAATACAAGTTTAGAAAAAAGCTTACAAAGAAAAAAAATTCACACACTTAAGTACTCCGCCCCTTTTAAGTCACAGTCTACAAATTGCGATGCAAACCCTGGCACTGAGCAGATAATGGGATATATAATTTTCATATACATATAAACTTCTCCATGGTGACAGTGGTCTACTCTTTTTAGGAGCCAAACTCATAGAATGAAATATAAATAGTGATTAAAAAATTTTAAATCCTTAACTTTACATATCACCTCTGTTTCATGTAAAAATATAGCTAACAAATGACGTCAGACCATTGCATAGCAAACATTTTTCAAATCTACTGCTGGCCTTACAATTTAGTCATCCATGCAAATTACGTAACAAAACTGGGCAGTTCCACCTGCCTTCTCAACAGACTGAATAAAATCTCCAAGAGGGGGAGACAACATGGTGAATTACACTTAACTGTAAGAAATATTAGTATTAAAAAAAACTTAAGCTACGTATGGCATTGTTATCTTAATTAGAAAAATCTATCTTCCAGTTTACAAATGTCTATTCAGTACCAATTTCTTCAAGCTGTGGAATGTGCGGAAGATCCATAAGAGCTGATAAACTCTCCAACTTCTCATACAACATTTGCACCTAAAATGACACAAAAATATCACAAATATTTTAATATTTAAAAGTAATCAAAATCCATATTAGTATTTTTATATTGTTGTAACATAAGAAATAAATTAACCAAAAATGTTCATTAGCTTGGTAGTAAATAAATAAATGAAAATTATCAAACACAAGCCGAAAAACTTTCATTCCGTTAGGTTATGGCCACCTACATGTAGCAGTCAGTGAACGTCAACATCTGCTCACATCAGTCTGATGAAGGCCTACATCCAGGTTGGCCGTAAGCTAAAGGTATGAAAGTTTTTTTTGGCTTGTGTTTGATAATTTTAATTTTATGAAGAAAAAATTTGTTCAATGACTTCAAATTTGATATGTGCATATAGAAACTTATGAATCATGTATCCATCATTTATTTCATATAAGACTACAGTTAGTCACCTTTTCGTCTTCAGTTTTTTCTTCTTCTTGTTCTTCTTGTTCTTCTTCTTCAGGGGTTCCCTCTTTCTCCCCATCGGCACTATCCCCCTCAGAGGGTTGAAATTTTTGCGTGTCTGAATTTACCTTTAACAGCAAGGTCATCAAATCACTTAACTCCTCTGACTTGATATCAAGTCCCAGCAAATCCTTCACCTGGAAACATCATCACAAAAATTAATTAAAATCTCTGAATTTCAAACAAAAGGCAAAAGAAGCTGAAGAATATGAAACACATGATTCAGGTCTCTCAGTCCAATATTGAATGTCAGTCTGGGACACAAAACAAGCATAATGTAAACAATTCCTTGGTCCAGAAATGACAATGGACCTTTCAAAAAACTGCACATGCAAGTGCCAAAGGTGAACAGCTCTATTTGGCCACCTATTTTTTTTAATTTGTTTTTTACAAATGCCTGGATTTCAGGAAAACTTTCATATTTGCACGTTTGCAACTAGATGTATAAACATCTTCATTCATTTTTTTAACACTGCTGCTTCAGTACAATTAGAGAAAACACAAACAGCCAATTAATAACACGAAATCTAAGGGAGTGAGGGCACAACAGGCAGGCATATATACATGTATGCTTTGAAGTTCTCCTTCTTTACTCTCCCCATCCTCTCCAAAAAATGGAAGATATACATGTACCCTGTTAAAATGCACATGATGAATTAATCAATGACACTGCAGATGGATGGCATATCCTTTTGTTTGATATACTGTACCAGTGTGCAAGAATGACCAACACAGCCAGGAAAAATAAAAGAGGTATCCTTGTGCCCCCCTCCTCATTAGTAAAAGTCTGGTTTTGCCAATGGATACACTGTACACGTACCTTTATTATGTAGAATTCAACCCATGTCATCACATGTTGCAGTTGTGGAATCAATCTTTTGTCAATGGAAGCCAACACATCTGCACAGGAAAGACATGCCAATACACACAGGTCAACCTTAAACCAAAGATGAAAGTGAAGTTCAGAACATTAAAAAATACATGAAATTCATGCATTACTGTTGACAGTTCCGATTCAATAAAATACATTATTACAGCAAGTTAAGTTCAACTCGGAAAATTTTGGATAAAAATTTTCTATCACAAGTGTTGTAAAGAAATGAAGAATTCCACATACATTCAGCAAGGACTCAGGGGTGCCAGAAACATCTATCTTCTTCAGCTCCTGATGAGAAAGTGCAGCAATGGCCTGGGACAGGAACACCATCATAGTGTTGTACATTTCTGGGGCAAACAGCAGCCTTTCTTTGTAGAGGGTCAGCAGGGCTCCTCGGGCCTGGAGGTGAAAACAAGGCAGCAAAGCTGTCAAATGTACAGACCTAAAGTATAACTAAACAATGACAGTGCACAAAATAATAACACTTAGCCTAATGCTTTTCATTCACTATTTTGTAAGATATTCTTTTTTCTAGCTGTTAAGACAAGTTTCATTAAAATTTGTTTCAGTGATTTACATTTTTATATTAAAATTCATATTTATCTGACACTTCAATTGATAGGCCTTCAGTGTACATTACTCTAAATAGGCAGAGGAACAAACAAGCAGACAAACTAGGCAAATTGAAGAGAACATGTGGAGCTATGCTATATAGGTTTTCTCTTCAAGTACCTGTATGTCAAGCCAACCCAGGTCCACAGAATCAGGAATTCGTGTCATGCAATGTGCAGGCCTGCTACAGCTTAGATACTTAGTGATGTGGTCAAACTGCCATAAGTTCTTTTAAAAAAAGAAAGGAATTACTATAAAATGCTGTTTTTGTAATATAAAAGAGAGTAAACATTTAACACACAAAGTATGTATAACAGTCTAAAAGCACAAGGCAACACTGGCCACAATATGTATTTTGAATGAAAAAACATGCACAATTAAAATGTAAGCAAGTGATATAAATATACCTGGTATATTGTATATTTACCCTAATTGTCCTGGGCCCTCCAAAGTTATCTTCTTCCTCAAGTGAATTGTTACTGAAAGATGTTGCTTCTGGCTCCATCAATACATCACATCCCTTGGCAGGGCTGAAAGGATAAATACTCATTTCGTGCCTGCACAAGTGCTACACAACTGCTCTACATGTTATAGTTTGTAAAAGAAAAAAAATTCTCTTGATGTTTAAAGGCTTTCAATGCATATCAAATCTTAATATCTCAAAAAATAAAGGTAGTATACCCCAGTACAAAAATATACCAGTACAAGATAGTATACATACTGGTTCTCTGTATAAGGATGTTAAAATTTCCAGAAAAACTTTTTTTGCCATATAATAAGGTAAAATATGTGCATTGATGCATTTAAACTCATATTAACCTTATGATGACTGCCACTGCCTGGCACAATGGTTTACAGTACTCTATCAGTGGGTAAATAGGGAACTTTGGTGTCTCTTCTTTCCTCTGTCTCTCCCTCAGATATTTGGACATGAAGTAGGTGAAAAATCCGTGACCAATCTTTTTATAATGTAAAGCTCTCTGCATGCCACTGCAGGCTGCTACAATATGTGTAGTTACTTTCCCTGTTGATTCTTGGAGAAGACTTTCAGCTATTTGCCCTGGGGAAAAATGTATGCCTAATTATATGTAATTCTTTAGTATGTACATTAATCAATGAATAATCTTATGAAATATATGTCCCGTGCAGCATATAAATGAAAATATATCATGTCACCTACAAAATTTAAACAGACTGACATACCTTACTGACATATTTAACTTAACCATGCTTTAAAACACTATATATGGCAATATATGGCTGACACATGTTGACTAAAATTTAATTTTCAAAATACAGATGAAAATTAAACTTATATATAAATAAAAAATAAATAAATAAATAAATAAATAATCCCTTTAACTTACCTGCATAACAGCAGTCAGCTATGATGAGGAAATGCTTGACCTTGGTACCTTCAACACAGGAAGCTATGTCTGCTATAGACAGAGCAGAATCTTGGACATTGGGAGTAAAATCTGCAGGTACCAGATATACCTAATAATAAATAATACTGATTTATTCAGCTTATATATACACAAAATATACAAAAAAAATTAAAATTGGATTCTGTCTATTAAAAGTGATTCAAAAGTGAAATAAAAATGAATATGTAATAATAATTATAAATATTGTTAAGTGTGAGATGTGAAAATAACACAGTGTACCAGTATAAAAAAGATAATTAGAATTAAGCATTTGACAGAGTTTGATATCTCCTCATTAGGTCGTTCATTTCATTCGACAATTTTTTCCTACAAATACTTCACTGCATCCAAAGAACTATGGCACCTAGATATCTCACCTGTCCAGAGCGTTTCTTATCACAGTGACCAGAGAACTGGAACAGTAGTATTCCGTCCTCAGACACCTGTCTAGCTCTCCTCCGCAATGCCTCCTTTATGGCAGCACAGGTTGAAATATCTGGGCAGTCAGTGGTCAGCAGGGACGTTTGATCCTGAAAGGATTGTATTTAAAATGTTATATCAACTGTACTAAAATAAACATGGAATCAGAAATATTATTGCATATTTTGTTACACTGTACACTATTATAAAATATCTTCTATGTGAAATATCAAGAAAAGTACTTGTGAAAGTGTTTTAATTCTAAAACAAGCACAACCTTTGTTGAAAATGGAGGGAATAGCCTCGATCCATACATTTATAAGTTCAGCTGCATAATTCTCAATGTTGCATTTTACTGAAATACTATAGCTGTTCCCAATACCTCCAAAAATCCATAATGGTCTTGCAGCACTTCCCTTATCACTCTGGCATCATTGTTGGCTGACTGTCCTACATGGTTACTGCCCAATTCTAACTGCTCACCAACACCTGGGATATGAATTAATTGTAACTTTCTAATAAAAAAATCCATACACATGAATTCCAGATACATGATCCATATTAATATGTAATACTTGTATTGCTGTGTATTGTTTGCATGGACAAGGACATACCTACACAGACTGCAAAGCTGACCTTGGGGTCATAGGTCAAGGTCTCTGCTGGGGCCAGACTGACCATGACCCAGCGCCCTGTTCCACTGAGCTTGGTATCCAGTGGTTGCCTAGACTTCTCATTGCCCATTGCTTTGTTATGTCAGCTGTAGATTCCTTGTGTAAAAAGGTACCATTGGTAGACCTGTAGGGGGAATACGTGTTTGTCAAATTGAATACTGAACTACATACTCAGTATTATACAGTGTACATGTATATTTGAAATTAAACTACAAAAGAAGTAATCTGACAGTGGGCTGATCCAGCAAATAATCTTTTGACAATGAAATTCGACTTTATTACATAATGCAAATCTGTACAAGAACCAATACATATTATATATACAGCGTCTACTTGCACTACAAATAACAAAATCATACAATAATTATTAACTAAATTTTGCATGAATGGTTATATTAAAATGACGACTACTGTACATCACCATATAAATAAAAGACGTATCAAATATTCGTTAATATATAAAATTTAGCAATTTAAATGCAATCCCTAAAATTATTCTTTGTTGCAAAGTCGTTGCAGTGTTTACCTGTTCATTCCTGTGATCATCCGCTGAATTCTGACACTTCCTCTTTCATTTTCATATTGTTTTGGTACCTATACAGAGCTGTGTGTATTTTAAAAGATAGTTTTACACAACTAAAAGCTTCACGTATTTTGATACATGTAAATTTCATATAAGAAATTTATATATAGGAGGTTATTTTTGCACACATTTGTACATATTTCTTTTATTTGGTGGATTTAAATATTTAATCCAGTGTGCAGAATAAGCGAAACTACACATTATATAGAGATTGTACTTCGTATGAAGTATTTCCGTTTGTAAAGATTTTTATGCATTTCTCGTGCAGAAAAAATTTTTCCAAATGCAGCCATGAGTTGGTTTGGAGGAAAAGGTAAGAATTAGAGAGTAGTCTTAAAATGTCTTAGGAGCGTCTATATGTAATATGAAAAAAGTACCGGAACATGCTAGCAAACTAAAAGATCTATCTTCCAGTCGCAATTATCGGGCGAAACTTCGCTCAGTTCTCGGTCGCATATTTAACTTAGACCTGTATTTTCACTTAGCTTATGGGTAAACAGTGTTCTACAAGTTATGTAAAAAAGTTGATTGCAATTTAGTGAGAATCCCCTCGGAGATAGATTGATCCACAGTTAGTGTGAGAGGGTCTGGGAATGGTCCCTATGCCACATTTAATAAGTGATCATTTTACCTCTGCGTCCCGCGTCCCTGACGCATGTAGTGCCAGAGGTAGGTAGAACCGGCCAGGTAGCTCAGTAGGTAAGAGCACTCGCCCTGTAAGCGAAGGTCCCGGGTTGGATTCCTGGTCTGGTCGGTGATTTTTCTGCACTCACCCCAAATCGCTACAATGGTGGCAGCAGTGTTGCGAGATAGGGCTCGCGTCTTTCGGCATTTGGGGGGGGAGGAGTGTAGTGCCAGAAGCAGGTAGAACCGGCCGGGTAGCTCAGTAGGTAAGAGCACTCGCCCTGTAAGCGAGGGGTCCCGGGTTCGATTCCTGGTCTGGCTGGTGATTTTTCTGCACTCACCCCAAATCGCTACAAAAGTGGCAGAGGTTGTGCGAGATAGGGCTCGCGTCTTTCGGCGTTTGGGGGGGAGGAGTGTAGTGCCAGAGGCAGGTAGAACCGGCCGGGTAGCTCAGTAGGTAAGAGCACTCGCCCTGTAAGCGAGGGGTCCTGGGTTCGATTCTGGGTCTGGTTGGTGATTTTTCTGCACTCACCCCAAATCGCTACACGCACATATTTTTACCGTAGACGCAAAGTTTTATAGCATATGCGTCCCCATGGACGCAAAGATTTTAAATTGTGTTAACCTGTCCATATGCATAGCTGATCCGCATAAAATACTAGTCATTAAAGTAGGTTAATCATGTTCGTTTTCTCGTTGTTGTAATGTTACAATAGCTTCCAGTTAGACAGTAAGTGTTAAATGCCAGCTGATTGGCTGTTTACGCATCAAATAGCCAATAATATCAATCGTTAGTAATGGCAAAACTGTTCGTCTGCTTTGCACACTCCACTCTACACTTGACCTATTTTCCGGCCCCTATTTTTGGCTAAAATAGATTTTCCGCAGCATGTTCGTCTGCTCAGCGACCATCCGACCATGCCTCCAAAAAAGCAATTATTAATATAGAATATAGAATAGGCCTATATTTAAGGTGAGACAGAGTCAAGCCGAGTTAGAGAAAACTTCTGAGACAGTAATCGCTGTGACTGCCGTTGAGGCTGAGAGTGAGATTGACGCAGATGAATGTTTGTTGGAGGCAAAAACGGAGTCAAAAAGGAAAATCCGTTCCTTTAAACAACACTGGACAAAGCTCTAAACTTGGTTAAGGTATAAAAAATGAGAATGGAACTGTTTTTATGTATTGTGATGCATGTACATCGGCAAATAAACGTACTAGTAATGGGATGGTGAAAGATCCGTGGATAGGCCTATATGAACTGGAGTAAACTCGTCACTGTCATATCGCTTAAATAAAGAAACTTGAAAGAATAAAAGTAACAAATTGTTAGTTTATGGTAACCTTTATTGTTCAAATGACAGGGACCCATCACAATCGGCAGGGACCCATTGTTCAATATCATGTGCGTCCTGTTGGACTCATAATATTTAAAGGTAAAATGATCACTGAATTTTATTATTGAATGCATGCATTTTCTAAGCAATAACCATGCACTTGATTGAAAACTATATTTCAATGGAATCTGTATCTCTGGATTCAGATCCCACACCAGAAGAGTGTGCCAAAGAAAATGCCATAAAAAGAAGAATTACCAAAGAATTTTCCCTTGCTTTGAAGAGTTTAGAGAAAGAGTTTATCAACACAGAGGAACCAATCCATAGGTGTGTACTAGTACTAAAATCTCTCTCTCTCTCTCTCTCTCTCTAAATCTCTCTCTCTCTCTCTCTCTCTAAATCTCTCTCTCTCTCTCTCTCTCTCTCATATTAATTATTGTCTTCTGGCTCATGGAACATTTTCAAGCAGAAATTTTACATACTGTTCTCTTGTAGTGGGGATACAGCCAATGCAGTATGCAGTGCCCTAGAAGCTGTATTCCTGCATGGATTAAAAGGCTCCTTTGCTAAGAAGGCAAGTGTGTGCTTCTATAACAAAAACATCTGTTGCATGACTAAATATGTTGTATGTCTTGTATTGAAGATTATTTTTTATATTTTACTTTTTTCTTCAGAATTTGCCAGTTTGATACCCAACCCAAATAACATTTTGTGAATTTGAAGTCAAACACTGACTGTGTACTCAGTATAAGTTAATCACCCAATGTAGCTATATAATACTTATTTATAATTTAATTAAATTAATATTTATATTTATAATATGGCACATTATTGTTTGCCTGAAAGGTTCCTTCACTAGGAAGGCAAGTGTATGTTTAGATTTTTCTTTCTACTGCATGCTGTAGTTTTATTTTCTTTTACATTGTGATGTAATGTAAAAGACCATTTATGTTTTGCAGTTGCCGTTAATCAAAGTATATTTTGTGGAATTTGCATTGTTTTGTCTGTGGCTTGTGTTTTTGCATGTTACCGTTGTTCAGTTTTCCCGTACATTTCTTTCAGATGGTCAATTTTCTTGGTGGGACTCCTGATCAAAAAGCCCCCAGTGAACTGGTAGGCAGTTACATTTGATTACATCATTACTGCTGATCGTGGTCCTATGTAACAGTAACTGTTAAGTAATTGCAATTAACATTTTAGGTCTAAAATTTTATTCTTTTTATGGAGACACAGACAAAGCAATTTTCAATCAGTTTTAAAAGCTAAGGCATTTCTTTACTTTTCAACAAAGCGAAAAAAAAACTTCTCAGAATGCTGTTTTCTTCTCTACTTGAAAAGTGTTAGTACTGTTGAGCAGTATGTTGGTGGGATGTTTGATGTGCTAGGTTTTGTGTTTGTAAATTGGATCAGTTGTTTCTTTTGCTGCATTTTGGGGAAAAAAAGAAAATAAGTGATGTCAGATAGGGACAAAAGGGGGCACCTCTGTGCCTCTTCAAATTATATGTTTTTTTATTTCATATGACAAACCCTGCATGTAATTTGTTTTAGTTTTGCATAATAATTTCATTGGCCTAAATGTTGTTTTAATTATTATTATTTTTTTTTTTTTAGAAAATTTTGCTGTTGTTTGTTGATAATTACTTCCATTTACTAGTAGTAATTTCTGAATAGTTCAAGTTTACTAAAAGCTGTGTTACAACTATTAGATTCTGAACATGTTGATGTAGTATATACTGTGGCATGATTTGACTGTCCTTAATTGTTTAAATATATCAATGTGCCTGTGGTGTACTAGTTGGCACAATAAGGACAAGTACAGACAAAGAATATGTGTCTCTGTAGATCAGTATCTCAGTCAACTATTCATAACCCAAGCAGTATGTTTTGAGGGCCATTCTCAATAATAGAATGTGAATATTATAACCTCACCCTAACTGTCTATTATTTAATTAATATTTAATTAATTTGCTGTCCAATTTCAGAATTTTTGGAAGTTTTTGACTGCCTTCACTCACCAAGATGTGATTTCCCAGTTGAACCACTTGGGGCAGATAACTACAGAGATTGGAATGTGCCGGGTGAGCTGTCTCAACTAACACAATCATATGTTTGTATTATATGTATGTAATGCATGGCTGTCGAAACTACCACAGTGGTATTCCTGTCACATCTGGTACAATCTTGTTAATCACTATCACAATGAATGTAATGATACTCCTGTCACACCTAACAAAATTTTATATTATTTATTACTATCACAGACAAATTATTGAGCATGCCATTGTTTAAGAATAAGTTTTTGAATGCAAGGATAGACAGAAAACTTTGTGCTAGTGTATTTTGACCAGCCTACTTTTGACATTTATTTTAGTCTTGGATCAGAATTGCTCTAAATGATGGGATACTGGAGAGTTACCTTGAGGCTATGATCAATGAACAGAGCACAGTCAAGTAAGTATCAAACATGCTGAAAACTATGAGAAAAAAGCCAGACATGTTGTCTGGCAGTGATGAAAGATTTGCCAGACTAAAGGACATTTTGCCAGACTGACATTAATTTAAAAAATGGCAGCTACATGTACCAACTTTGTTGCTGGTTTCTTTGTCTGACTATACCTCTGAGTCCTTGAAAACTGATTCATAACCTGTAGGATTAACTTAGCCTTAGGTCTTTTTCTTGTTGGGATACCTGTTCTTTTTGCTTTGGATTCTAATAATATTGCAGCATCTAAAGTTAAAGATATTAGTCCTGTTTTTCTTACCCAGATACTGGTACAGAAGGACGGCCTTCCTGAGAGACCCTGAACAGCCAGGGATACTGAAGACATACTTACAAGGTATTCTATGTTTATTTTACTCAGTATTGACGTTTATGCATAGAAACAGGTGGAGCAGATCAGTCTAGTAGGGCAGACAGAATGTAGCAAACCCAGCCCCCTCCATAAAGAAAAAAAATAGATGTCATGTGAAACAGATGAAGCATTGTGCCTACCCCTTTAATACAATCCTAGATTTGTTATTGCTTGTAATATCATGAGCTCTCCAGAAATCAATATTCCTGCATATAGTTTTTTTCAGGTGATCCAAAAGTTCCAAGACTTATCCTCAGTTTTGATGTACTGTTCCAGGTCTGGCATCTTTCAAGTTCCAGCTGTCGTATAATTCCAGTGTGCTCAACGTATGGACAATCACACCCTTGATTCTCGTGGGAATATGGACGCCGCCAGAGACGCCAGCACCAGTGGTGCCTGAAGCTATCAAGAGTAAGATATATGGTGTTATATGGTGTATATGGTGTTATAATTACATTATCATTTTTGCCTGTGAGGGGATTATTATGTTTTTATCGGTTTTGGTTTGTCTTTTTATTTGTCTGTTTATAGATTAGATAACTGAATAAGTTTTTAACAAATTTGGATGAAAGTTTCAGGAAAGGTTGTTATTCAGGAGGAGAAGGGGTGCAGATAACACTTCTAACTGAATACAAGTCTGATGCTTTAAAGACTATATGATTTTTTTTTCTTAGGAGGGGGGGGTCTGTGGTCTTGAAGTGCTCTCAAATTATTTCATGTTTTCATTTTCTAGGAAAGTCTTCACAGATCAAGCCAACGTCCACCTCAAAGGCACTGACCACAGAAAACTCACAGCCACCAGGTGGCAGTCCTGTCCAAGTACATTCAAAAAGACGCTCCAGATCCAGAGTTGACAGCACAGGTAAGTTCTTGTTTTAAGAGTACCCTCTCCTGACATTTGCCATTACTGTGTAACAACAGTTTCAGGGAAAATCATGAAGTCCTTAACTGCCATCACATAAGCACTAACTTCTGAGTTGTGCGAGTTTCAGCAATGTGTCAAGATGGTTGACAGGTGGCGAAGTTGGTCAGCGGGTGATAAAAAAAGGTTATTTATGGCATCATTAATTCTTGCCATTTTTTGTTAAAAAGTGGTCAAAAAGTACCACTTGTTCTGAGATAATATTCGTAAGAAATGGTTTATGTATTTTTTAGTAAAAATGTGTTTCAAATCGTAATCTCTTTTAGTTGGTTTGATGGATCTTAGTCTTACTTCTGATAGTTTTAAGATATATTCTATACTAAGACATCAGGGATATTCATGGAGATCAGTGTATTGTTTTCTATTGATAGGATCCTCTTCCCAAACCGGTGAGCCTAGCCAAAGTAGTGAGGGCAAACTACCTCTCAGCAGCTCATGGGATGACATAGAAATAGATGGCAGCACTCCACAAGACAAGACTGGGACCATTAACACCAACATCTCCCAAGGTGGCAGTGCTCATCAAGATGGGCTTCAGATCACCAACAGAGATCTAGATGATATCAGAAGACAAGGAAGGCGAGGACCTGGGAGTGATGTGGGTTCCGAGTGTTCCACTGCTGACAGCCATTCTTCCTGCCCAGACCCTAATGGCCTCAGAGGAAGCTACAGGTACTGGTCACGCTCAGTGATTTGGGACAGGGGTCATCCTGTAGTACAGAACCTCATCAGCTGTCAAGAATTAAGGTTTTGGCAATTTGAGTGACTTTTGATACCTTTAAAAGTGTCAGTTATATGATCCTTTTAGGTGGCCTTGAGCAAGTTTGCTTTTTAAAAAACATTTGACTATTGGCTGTTGATAAAATCTTTTTCGTTATTAATACTACAGTAACTGTAACGTTTTCCTTCAGTATGTTTCTTGATACTATATTTAAGTTGATGCAGAATAATAATTTTGGTTTCAGGTCAGAGGGATCATTCCTTCAGGCTGGCAGTTTGCCAGAAGCTGGAGGTCAAGGTCACATGAAGCAGTTTGTAGATGAACTGAGGAGAGAATCCGTAGAGGAAAGGATCCTGAGGGCAAGTGAAGAGGTACGAGTGGCCAGTCATTATGGCTGGCTGATTGAGGTGATAGGAGGGTGGGGAGGCACATAATTAGAAAATACATATACACATCACTTGTTAGAAATTTGTGGAAGAAATTGTCATCATTTGTAGTTTCCATTTTACACTTGTCAAAATGGGTAGCTCCTGTCAACACCAAAGTTAGAATTAATTAAATTGTGTCTTCATATGTTACAGTAACTAAAGTTTAAAAGTTTAACTAAAATGGAAGATTAGATCAATTTTAACCAAGATATTGTTTTTGCTCTATCTAGGTGGTAAAGGCTAAAATTAATGAGGTAAGAATGTCTCAAGATGATGAGGGACAGATTTTTCCAAGTAAACCATCCGAAGAAAATTTTCCAAAACCAACAGAACCCCATCTGGCACAATCTCCTGGAGGTACAACCGCCCTAGAAGGCTCCGATTTAGTTGCCAAGCAACCTGTACCCATAGCAGCCAATGACCAAGATGAGACCAAACCTATATCTATAGCTGCACCATTTGGCCACAAGAGGCAGAAATCTGGTCCTCTAGAACCTGTGATAACTACAGCAGAGGCTGTAACTATTGACACATACTCCCATGAAGAGGAAGACATAGTCACGCTGAGGGGGAGACTGGGAACTTCCATATATGAGAGTGACACTCTTCGGGCCAGGGCAGACACCATTGATTTTGCCACAGAAACTGATCAAACTGAGGTATCAGATTTACTTTTTTTTTTTTTCATTTTTTTTTTTTTTTTTTTTTTTTTGTGTGTATGTTATGTGTGAAATTTTAGATGGGATAGTTATGAATATTATGATTAGAGTTATTATAAAACGACATCAGATTCTTCAGATTGGAAAGATGTGAAAAGAAACGTCAATAAATGTTGAAAAATACCACTGTCTTCCACCAAAAATATAATGACACCTTTTTGAATGAAAAACTGAGATTAGAAGATTTGAGATCGGCATTACAGTAGACCTTGTCATTTTTCAGGACCAAACTCCCTCAAGTGGCCTCCCCAAGCATCACAGTGTTGGCAACAGTCTGGGTAAGATGACTGGATGGTCCACCTCTTTTGAAGACAATTACTTGAACAAAGACTTCATTCAAGACTCTGCCCCTTGTGAGGGGAGTGGCCAAGTTACCACGGAGACTGATAGAATGATTGGCGGCTCTGGTGAGAAGGTGAAGGACACTGGTGAGGAACAATCTGGGATCCCCATCAGAAAGGAAATACGTAAGTAGAGCCTGGTAGCAGACATTTAATTATTTTATTTTGATTATTAATTATTCATTTATTGTTTAAAATTTTGTATATTTGTAGAAAACATTCAAATAAATTACCTAGATGAGGATGATCTTGAAGTTTGAGTAGACATAGGTAGACTTTCAGCCTCGATTGCGGGGAGCCAATTTTATTGTCTAAAATTTTTCTAAAAAGCAAAGCAAAGTAACACAAAGTAATGCAAAGAACTGCACAAAGTACCAATGCAAATAGCCCCAAGTTTGTGAAATGTTTTCTTTTTTGTTTCACAGACAGCTACCAGAGTGTGGTTGGAGACTACACGCCCTCTGGTGGCCACGGAATGCCAGGCTCCAGTCTTAACGATGTTCTGGAAAATTTGAACCTTGGCTCACAAGTTCTAAGGGAAAGTGCAATTAAGGTATTCTAAGCTGGAATATCACTGATTATTACAAGATATTTTCTTTTTCTATTAATTTTTTTTCCAAGAAATCGAGGACAAAGTGGCGAATTAAAAAGATCCTCTTTTGAATCATTCTTAGTTGGTGTTTTCCATACCCATAATAATCAACCAGTACCCCAGGGTAACTCGATAGTCTTTATTCTTTCCAGTGGAAGAACACCAACATTAAAACTCTTAATAACTTTTTGGTATCCATTTTACATCCTGTATAGTTTGTAAATTTCTCTGTCAGGGTCCGTCTTCCTGCTCAAGTTCTACTGAGCCATTTCCGCAGGACTTTGAAGTGCTCACCAAAAGTGGGTCATTTGGCGAGGAAGGGCAGAGACCAGTAAGTCCTGATAGGAAATAAATTTATTTTGGTGATTACTAAACTCTGAATTGCAACCAGTAAGCCTAGAATTTTTTTTATGTTTGAAAAAGATGCTTTCAGTGCTTATTTGCTTTAAAAAGAAATATCTTCATACATAGCTCATTTTATTGTTCCATTTTACTACACAGTTTAACAATTTTCTTGTCAGAAACAGATTATAGTTTTTGTAGACATTGGTTAAAGCTAACTTCCTGGGTAAAAAAAAAACATCTGATATATGATTGCATTTCAAACCATTTTCTACATAGGTAACTTGTTGATTATATCAGTGGTACATGAATGTGTTATTGCCATAAGACGCATTCTGTCACCTATTTGGAGACTAATATTTCAATTGTTCCTGTTCCTCAGAAAACACAACAACTGATATCAGTGATAGGAAAACTGCGCACAGAGAAGGGGTTGGATCATCAGAATTACCAGTGTAAGGGTTGTGCCAGACCACTGGGCATGTGTAAGTACCCCCCCCCCCCCCCAATCTACTCTCCCTCTCTCTCAAAGACACCTGACATCAAAACCATTAATAATTCTCCAATACTTTATTTAACATTCAGAAATACACTGAAGATGAATATATATGCATCAGCATTGTTGTATGTTAGGATATATTCATTTTATTTCGTTTTTATTTAAGTCTATGTTTTCTTCCAGTCTATGGCAAAGCCAGGGTGTGTACATACGATGCCTGCTACTATTGCTATGAGTGCCATGAAAATGAGGAGACAACCATTCCTGCCAAGATAGTGCACAGCTGGGACTTCAGAAAGCACAAGGGTGAATATTTTGTCTTGATTTAATCGTGAATAAACAACCTTAACTTAGTTGAAAGAAACAATCATGAAGGTTTTATGTAGAATTTACCCAATTTATGTATAAAGTGAATAGAATAAACAACAGCTATTTGCATTTCAAACTTAAGCAGCATTGAATAAGGGATGGTGAGTAATTTAGCCAAAAAGAAGGAAGACATAGTGACTAGCATGTGAGTTTCAAAATAATGTTAATATGGAAACTTCTTCACAAAGCAAAAATAAGTTTCTGTCAAAATCACTTTTACTTTCTGCATAATTATGCAGTTAAGCATGAACAACTTTGATGAAAGACATTTCTTGAATTATGGAATATAAATGATTATAGAAAAGGTTTATTTTTAGTGTGCAAGTTCAACAAGGACTTTCTGGAGCAAATGGAGGATGAACCCTTGATCAACATGAAGGAGTCAAACCCCAGAATATATGAACATATTAATGAGATGAATGATGTGAAAGTAAGCAACTTTGCTGTGTATATTTTATCCTTCTTTCTCCTATCTTCAAAGCTTTAATCTCCATCCAGCACACCTTTATTCTCCAACCTATAGCTCTTAATCTCTATCCAGCAGTACTTTCAAACCAACACTGCCCAAGTCTTCATCCATTGGTGTATTGCCATAGGAAATTTATACCTCTTCTTCAGTTTGAATTACACAAAAACTTTCAGCCAGTTGATAAAAGCAAAATATGTGGCTCAATATTCTTTTAAAGGAAAGCATGGTTATCTCTACAGATTATGTCTTACAAAACTTCAGTATCTATTTAATTCTGTATGCCGTATTTTAAATATGCCATTAGGCTGGCCTAAAGAAAGTAAAAAAGTATAGTAAACATATATAGTATTATATAGTATTGCAACATGTTTGAATTCTAGCTTCTCCGTATGCAGTTACGTTACTTGAAGACATATCTGTTTACCTGTAACCAGAACATAGCTGAGGAGTTCAAGAGGATGGTCTGGCCCAAGGAGTACCTGTTTGATCACATACACCTGTACTCATTAAATGTAAGGACTGCCTTTACATCTATTAGCTGATCAACTCAAGTGGAAGATGTGCAATAGTTATCTGTGGCATAAATATAATTCAGTAGGAGACTTTGTGACTTTGATATGTATTTTACCAAAGGTGGCCTTATAGTAATTCCTTTGGTAATTTTTCACCTAGAACGTTATTTCACCATGGGGTCTTCCAGAATGAGTTAGGCAGACCTAACTTTTCCTCAATGGCATCAGTGGACCAAAGTTATTCTGAATGTCCCCTTAATTTTCCCTTCATTATTATGTGGCATTATTTAAATTCTCATAACTAACGAAAGATGCCCACATTTTGTTTAAAGTATGAAGAATTGAAAACTAATTTTAATGATATAATTGCTTTATAATATAATATAATATAATATGCTTGTGATGGGAGAAAATCTTTGCATTACAGGATCTTTACCAAGTGCAATCAGGACAGTTAAGTCAGAGTTTGAAGAAAGTTGTCAAATGGGCAGCTAAACATGTGTACGAGTGCCGACTCTGCAGCCAGAAAGGCTTTATATGTGAAATCTGTGATAACCCAAAAGTGATATTTCCATTTGAAATTGACAGCACAATCAGGGTGAGATATTTTGAATTGTTGTTTTTCAAAAATAAAAGAACTTCTTGGATACTTTATGTAGATTTATTTTATGAAGATTTTAACTAGTTTAAAAATGCTTTCTATTGGTGTGTTGAAAAGAAAATATTAATGAGGTGCTAAAATATTATCTTTAAAATTAATTTTTCTTTCTTTTCCAGTGTCATAGCTGTAAAGTGGTATTCCACAAGAGCTGCAAGACGGAAGGAGTGCCATGCCCAAAGTGTGAAAGGAAAAAGATGAGAGAAATGAAACTAGGCATCAACATTTCAAACCATGACTATGCACATTTTCCAGATGATTTATGACCAAATTGTGTCTGCTGTGACAGGGTTGCTCACCTAACACATTAAGTCACAACCAGATCGACATCTTTTTTGACCTGATTGTGATGATTGCATCAGGTGTTCCACCAGACGCAATCTGCCTTAACTCTGTGCCCAAAATGTGCCTAAACTAGGTGGATGTAATTTGGGATTGCGATAGGTGTGCTGGTTGTCTCAACTCACACATTGTGCATTGCTGAGCTTTGATTGTCAACATTGTATTGAATTTTCAATTTAGAAATAGTCCTTTGTGTGCAATTAACTGTTTTCCTCTGCCACACATGGACAAATTATTTTGACTTCACAATTAGTGATGGAACTATAAATGGGTTGTGACAGATGTGCCAAGGATCTCGCCTAACACAATTCCACAGGGAAAGCTACTTAATCAGAGCATTGAGAAGCATTGTGTGACTTACTGGAAGCGCATTAATAAATGATAACTGTTATTGTTTTACACTATGATGGGTAGATTGCCAACGAATGCAGATGAAAGAGATTCATAAGTTTGACCTTTTAATTGAAACATGACGTCAGGGTTGAAACTTGATCGACAATCGCTCAGAGGTTAATTTTTGATACACATGACAATTTTTCTGAAATATTTTATTTATTCATTCAGATTAACAGTATAATATAATGTAGCCAGGCTCTGATCAAACATATACAATTTGGTGCTGTTTTGAATGTAATTAACAGAGGGATAAAGTTTCACAATAAAAGTCCTCTTTTGTTCATTCCAATTTTTATCCATCTTTCATGAGTTGCAGGATTTGGCAGTGTTCAGATTGATCCTAGTGTTGCAAACCCCCTAGCAAGCAAGGAGGAGGGGGAAGGTTAAGGGGATAAAGAGAACTGAAGGCTTGGCCAGAAAAGATCCACTCTCGAATCTGTGGCATTTTTCAAGTTGGATTGAGTAAAGGGAGGGGGGGAGGTCCACTCCTTTATAAGAGAAAGACACCCCCACAATAATTTTGGATAAAAAACAGGCAGACATATCCCTTGCATCAGAGGACCAAGAGTCATTGACTTGTAGTCGTTACAATGCCCATTCAATTTTCGCACAAAAGTGGCCCCAAAGTGACGAACGAATGCTCGTTCCTGTCTCCGGTGTCGCCGATACGGAGTCCTGTTATTGGGAGCAACTCCTTGTCGGTGACGTCACCGCTGTCCTCGCGCAGTGCTGGGTCGTTCCTGTTGCAATTACACTTATTACCTGAAATATACGGTAAATGGTTATAGAAATCATCCAAAGATGTTATATTAGGCCTAAAGCAATTATAGTGAATTGAATTTGTGGTCCAGGGTTTATGTTGACGTCATGGTTTTCTTTTTCCTAATCTTTACTTCATTTTTAATGACAGCAGCAATTTCAAATTAAAACTCAATCGCCAATATCTTTCGATATAATTGGATTTTTAATGCACGCCAGCAACACGCCCAATCCCCATTTAATCTATTTCTATATACGGTCAGCACAGCAGACACTCTTAATACTGAACCCGCCCCTCAGAAAATTACTTAATTAAAATTGTCAGGTGTTACTCCTATGTCATCAGATCTTCATGTCCATCTCTTAAAACACCAAAAGTTAAAGCTCTCCATCCTAAAACGTCTCGTTTTTTCTTCTCTCCCCCCCCCCACCCCCATTCGCCCATGATCCAAAAGATGAAGAAGGAAAACACTGCCCCACTGTTAATCCTCCACAAGAGGCACCCAGTCTCAGCCCAATACCCAAACGCCCACACCCCGTTCGCTGTTTTAATGCCCCTTGTCAAGTAGGCCTACACACCTCCGGCGCAACTCTTCGTCTTGTAGCACTCACACCCTCCCATGTGGGGGTTACCGCCGGGCCAGTAGGTCTTGATCTCCTTGCCGTTCCCTTCCCACCAGGAGTAGGGGTCGGTGCGCGAGGTCTCGCTGTAGATGATGGACCCCTGACACTCGTATCTCAACCGTTGCCGGCAGGGACCCGACCTCTCCATGAGGGCAGAGATGTGCTGACTACTGGTAGCGTATACTATGTCCACTGCAATAGATCAAGTATAATACGATACAGAACAGAAAATTATTCTTTTCCTTGGTATGCCTCTCTCCGCTCGTGGCCGCTCCCCGAACCCCCCCCCCCCAAATAAATAAATAAATAAATAAATAAATAAATAAATAAAAGTAAAAATGCCTCATTCAGATATTTTTCTTCAAATCTAGGTGTTGGTCTTCTTTGAAGTTCAAATAAAACACAACATTTACCTCTCTTATTTTGATTTTCTTTAAATGTGAAACACCTACTTTACGTAGAAATTACATTCCAACGATCTTTACTACATTACACACTCTGAATGATTCATTTTTCATGGGCTGACGAAATGTGTCCATCCAAAGACTTTTCTATTCTTTGTCTTTTTAACACAATCTTTAAATCTTGACCCTCATTTAGCGTTTCCACATTCAAGCATTGTGTTGGTGTTGTGAGCCCGAGTTTTCCAATGCAGCCACCCTCCACCCCCCCCCACCCCCCCCCACCCCACACACACACTTCAGGACATTTACTACCCTTTGACAAGACAGAGAACCAAAATTTGAAGCAAGCAACAAAAAGTCATCCCGCCTCTATACTTACTTTTATATTCACCCTTTCCCTCAAAACCATCTATACGCATTCTGTCTTCTTTGTCGTGGTGAATTACGGCGACAGGGGGTGTCTTGGACATGTCGCACCACACCAGGAACTCGGAGACGCCGCGAAGGCCATCAGGGTCTACTAGGTAGTGACCGTTAAGTGTGAACCCGTCTCTCAGCCAGTCAGAGCACGAACGCCGCGCTGAGAAATAGGTACAAACATGAGTGATATTGAATTAACTACTAATTATAAGGGCTCATTCCCATTAAAGCTATAATATTGGTCTGCGTAGATGGATCCAACTCCACGGGGACTATCGCTGTATGCTATCAGTGTAAAAGATTAACACACCTCCTCTTGTTTCCAACATACTCGTATTGTATTATCACCAGCTTTTCTGTGTTTTACTCAACGTCGGAAGGAGGCATGTTAATCTGTAAATCTGACTGCATTCAGCGACAGTCTCCGCAGAGTTTGGTAGATCTACGTAGACCGATTGTTTCATTGGGAATGAGCCCTAAATGTTTGAAATGCACTCTGGGTGTTAGATGTCCACAGGTAGCTGCTTGCCTCTCGGTTACTGCATGGACAGTGACTGGAAACGGCAGGGACATGCTGATAGGATGAAGGCGAGTTTCCACGCTCAGATCTAACTCTGAAGTCCAGGGTGCTTTCAAGAACGGGACTGATTATCTCAGATCATTCAGGGGCACAGTGGCTCGGCTTCCTGTAAACTAATTGTGTATTTCAAAGTCCCACGAACTGGTAGGCCTACTGTTACCAGAGAGGACAAAAACGTTTTCTTACTTCATAAATGAATAATTTGTCTGCTTCCCACGAATTCACGTGTTGCGTCCTCATCACGAAGTCAGAGAAGTGTGCATCGCCCCCAGAGTCGTCGCTGGGAATTGCTCGTAATATTACAACATACAACAGCTGTTGGGATTTTAAGTGATTTTTCATGTTCCATAAATCACATTTTGCAAAATAGATGGCCATTAAAATTGTGAAAATGAGCAAAAACATGTTCGATCTCGTGCCAATGCCAACTACGCATTTCAGTGGAGTAATTTTTAAGTGCATTCAAGCGTATAAATGTGAAAACTACCACGTAGCACATGTCTGAAAGCCGACATCACTCAACGTTAAATTAACCATAAATTGACCCATATATTTTTTAAAAAATTGTCTCTACCTAGCGAGGCACGGTATCGCTGCAAAATATAATCTAATCGTGACAGTCGATGATATCACATTTTCGGTAAATCGTAGCGGTTGCAAATTTTTTTATGTGAACTATTTTTTTAACTGTGCGGTGTTCAACTTAATAGGCCTATATGGAAACTGATGTGACATTAACTTTACTTTGCTTTATTGTGCGCATATTTTACTAGCAGTACCGTTAAAACGGTAGTTTATGTGTACCTCGGTACATAGGCTACTTTATAGCTTTCAGTAAACTGATTTACTTAAATACACCTCTGTTCATCTTTTCAGATCAACCCGTACAAAAGTGCAAACATTACAAAACTATCAGAATATTTACAATAATTAAATTAAGAAACTTATCTCTTCCCAACACAAGAAAACGAAGTTCCTTACAGAGATCTCAATTTGATTTCAATTAAAATGGACCTACCTTGTGCTAAATTGCCGCCAAGAAGTTGCCCAACCTGGAACTCCAGCGCTCCCAGCCGGTCTTTGAGCTCTTTTTCTTCTTTTCCCTCCTTCTTTCTGTCCTGCTTGTCGTCACAACGGATATGCTGTAGAGAGAGAATTAACGCGAGCAACAGCAATGCATTTGGTTTGAAAGCCATCGCTTTTTTTTCAGATTAAATATATAAATATTTTTATCGCCAATCAAAATGAAATCTCAGCAGAATATACTCAGCACAAAATAGTTTTTTTTGCCATATTATTATGCACGTTTTCTATATCGGCTTCAACTTCTGCAGAACTTGAACTTCAAAATCTAAAATCCAGCAGAAACTGCTGGGCGCGGCTTTCGGCAAGTCAGCAAGGAACTAAAATCCAACCAAAAGCCTACACCTTTTAAATATTTTTGAGACCTGACCTAGCTCTGGTTTCACATATGTCATCTATCTTGCACGTTATGATAAACTACGGCCTATTCAATACTTGATTTATTTTTCGCAAATATCCTGTTTTTCATAGCTACTCCTGGCACCCACTGGACATATATCACAGTTTTACAGACTAACTTTTGTGTGTGTGAGATTTGATAGTAGGTACGTGGCTTGGCAACAGCTACGTCGTCAAATAAATAATAAAATAATAGGCGCAGTCTGTAGGTATTAACTTGATTTATCTTAATAAGGTGTTCGAATTTTACAATTCCAGAATTTTCTCTCTACTGCCACGTTTGCGGAGTCATGACAGAAAAGTTTATTTACGCATTAAAAAATACGCCTTAAGGGAAACCAGGCTTAATGTAAGGCCTATATATAAGAATCTGTGTGCAAATATACGAAATGTAGGCCTACTCAAAATATAAAATAAGCAAATTAAATTTGGCTTATGTCGTTTTTCTTTACAAAAATAGATTTCTACCATATTATCGGCGTTTGCTTATTGCAAAAAGATGCAAAATTGAAAAGAACTTTAAAAATCGGCGTGGTCCATTTCTCATTTTTTCAGCTCATTGATGATTTCATGGCAGCGTAATATTAATTCATAAAGACAAGGTAAGACGCTCTCTCAGTTTTGTTATTTTGGTGGTAGCCTCCTGTTTAGGGTCATTTTATGAAAATAAAAAATACTGGTGGTGGTGGTGGGTATTTTTCTACGTACGATACATTTTATTTATCGTTTTTAAGCAGTGCGCACATGCTATTTTTGCAGTTAGGCCTAAAGAAAAAGTAAAATCCATGAAAGCATGATGTCAATATACTTTTTCTTGATGTTGTGTTTTATATCAATCTCTGTCCTATTTTCCATTTTAGGCAAACAAAAACATGTGACGAGTGATTGTGTTGGGCAGCTCCTCAACCCCCCCCCCCCCCCTCTCTCCCCCAAGCGTTCTTCCCGATATGACCCGAAATGACCTATTTCCATCAAAAACAAAGATGGCCGCGTCCATGTGGTGAATCTCGGTGAATCTCTCATTTGAATGTGGTAAATTTCTCTTCTAATTATGATCTGGCAGAACATTTAAATGTCGCAGAATCATGATTTATTGCTCTAAGCAACAATAGACGCACCAGTGCGGAGCGATCGCGAGCGAACTAATGAGAAATTCGTCTGATCCGTGGAAATTTCGTTCAGCAGATTCACATCAGCATTATCAACGCAGTAAATTGAGGAACAGCACATTCCATTTTTACCATCAGTTTGCCACCAAGGCAAAAGATCTGACATGGAGGAAGTATTTCTCGGGGGCGTGGCAGCCTGCGGGGCTGGATTTTTCACCAACCCTCTGGAGGTGGTGAAGACCCGCATGCAACTGCAGGGAGAGCTAAAAGCGAGAGGGCACTACGCCGTCCACTACCGCGGCGTCTTTCACGCCTTTATAACGATAGCCACCAAAGACGGGTTATTCGCCATACAGAAGGGCCTCGTGCCCGCTCTTTGGTATCAGTTTTTCATGAACGGTGCCCGCCTGGGGACGTACCAGACTCTCTGCAATAAGAAGATAAATACAAACGCTGACGGGAGCGTTAGTGTAGTGAAGAGCATTCTTTGCGGGGCCTTTTCGGGTACCCTTGGAGCCGTGGTGGGAAGCCCGCTGTATATGGTAAGACACGGGTTTAAATGATGGAACGGGGTGGCAATCACTTAAATTCTATGTAGATTAATATTTAATTAAATTAATTCCTTTTTTTAGCAATGTAGTTCAATTATTTTGCCACGTTGAATTAAATTGTTTAAATGAAGTAAATAAGAAAACTTTTTAGCAGCAGTCTTGCCTGAAGCCATTTTGTGGTAATTATGATAAATAATAAAGGATAACATGTTTCCAGGTGAAAACCCACCTTCAGGCCAAGTCAGTGGAGGAGATAGCAGTTGGGCACCAGCATAAACACGAGTCCATGTGGACAGCCTTCCGCCAGATCTACAACCAGTATGGTATCAAGGGGCTCTGGAGGGGGGTCACGGGAGCAGTCCCGAGGGTCACTGTAGGGTCAGGGGCACAGCTGGCAACCTTTTCTAAGGCTTGTCATTTTGTGGAAGGAACGCAGGTATGCATGTATTTATGGCATTAGGCTGGTATCAAAGTTCGGATGAAATATTATAAACTAAGGTGAAGAAATGAATATAAGTCTTTATTGAATGAATTATGAAATAAGAATATGAAACACTTATCATGTGCTAATCATTTATGATGTTCTTGACACTTCATTCTAGATATTCATTAATTTGAATGCTTACAAATTTATTTCAGATATTATCTAACATGTTTACAAATTAGTTTCAGGTGCTTATTATTTCTCGTGTTTCCATCTTAATTCCAGATATTCAAGAAAGATAGCATACTTAATGCTCTCATAGCCAGCATGATGAGTGGAGTCGTTGTCGTTATCTGCATGACGCCCTTCGATGTGATCTCAACGCGCCTCTACAATCAAGGCATAGACAAACATGGAAAAGGACTTTTTTACGATGGCTTTCTAGACTGTTTCACCAAGATGTTCAAATCGGAAGGACTGTGGGGTTTTTACAAGGGCTGGGCTCCCTCCCTCTTTAGATTAGGTCCACACACGGTACTGAGTCTGGTCCTCTGGCGAATGACAAGGAACTTTTATGCCAGCTTTAAAGAAGAGAAGGCTTGATATTTTTGACATGATGATCCTGTTAGGAAGTGTGTTTCTAGCTGAAATGAGTCCAAACTATTCATCTCAGTTAGCTCTAGTTTTAAAGGAGAAAAGTTCTTATGTTGTTGATGTTCATAAAATCCAGTGATATACAACTTACTGTATGATTAGGGTTCAGTTTAACAGAAGAACTCTCAAGTAATAGTCTAAAGTAATAGATTGAAATCTTAGTCTACTTTAACCCAGGATAAATCAGTAGTCCACTAACATGAAATATTCAATCTGTGTAATAACAGTAGACATTTTAGAACAATGATAACTTTATTTTAGTGGACTTAAGTGGGTCTAATTTGAATTGAAGTAGACATCTCTAATTTTGGCTGTAAAGAATAGACTCAGCCTTTGGTCTAAAAATTTAATGAAACAACCCCTGTTACAGCTCAAGCTTCCATTGCTCAGGGATCAGGGGAATAAAGCTCCCAAAAATACTGTAAAAATATTTAGTGAGGATAGATCTGTTCATTATTTTTTTAGTATATGGGAAAGGTCTGACTGTACTGCATAGAGCTGAATTTATATATTGAAACCCATTATTGGGACCAAGTGCCTTTAGACAATTATTATACAAAGGACTTTCATGTGTATTAGTTGAAAATAGTATCTCAGTACTATCATTCAATAGCTTTTAGTAAGGTAGTGGAAAATTTGCACATTATTATTCACTGTGAGATTTTTTATAAAGATACTCTTGTGATTCATTCACGCCTGATATATGATATTATTCTTTCAATTATAGACTGTAGATTATAAAAATTATAAGTTACGACATAAACTTGATATGGTTAACTTAATAGTTTATAGGCTGGACTATATATTTGATTTCATTTGTAATTGCTCAGTAAATTAAAACAGTGCGCATTGTTATTTTTATAATAAACCTTGAAAAGGTAGTCTAAGGAAATGAGAAAAGGTTTCAAAACTTTATGAGATTTTTAAAGCCCCTAGATAAGGGGTCACTACAACAAAAGAATGAACAGATAGCAAGTTTGTTCTGAAATTGATTCAGCTCTTTCTGTTTTAGAGCCTACAGTAAGGTTAGCTATTGAAATGTACACATACAAATTGTAAACATTACAATATGTTGTATCTGCTGCACCAAGCTCAATCTTCTTGCAATCTTCTTTTGTACATAAACTGATTCAGAAATGATATTCAATTTTCAGAAATGCTCAAAGGTCATGTTGGTGATATTTAGAGTCTTTATATAAGATTGTTTACACTTTGTGTTTATAATTACAGTACAAGTTAAAGTATTTCCAGTAATTCTTTTAAATTAAAAACTATGTTTCATGTGTTGCATTTGGTCAGTGGGAGGTAAAAATTTGGGGTAGTAATTGTTTTGGGGGATGAAAGGATGTAACTGAAAGTCTCCCCATGGCATATTACTTGTATATATACTGTATACAGGGCCATTTACAAGAGTACATGTACATTGTATGACAAAACATTGTTAGTGCATTTTAAAGATGAAAAAAATGTGAAACAGTGGCAATATATCCAGGACATTGCAAAAAAATAATCAGGGACAATACTGTGGTAAATAGCATGTGGTTCTAAACAATGTTTTATGGAACATTTTATATAGCAAGGGTATATAGATTTTATAATTAGACATACAGACTAACATATGTATTCATGGGTCATGTATAATAATATGATAAAAATAATGGGATGGCATAAGTATAACAAGGCAAAATATTTTTTTCATGTATTATTGTTAATGAAATCCAACTATTTTGAGAAAAAAAGTTGTTTGTTTTAGTCTTAATATTTCTTAATTTCAGTTTTAATGTCTTGATTTTAAAGATATTTTAAAATCTCAATTGAGCATTTATCTAACTAAAGAAACATTGAATCTAAATCTATAAATTTTTAATTTGAACTGGAAGTAAAACTAAAAATCCAAGTCCCATCATTGGTGAAAAAATTCAATAATGGAAATTTTGTGTGGCTTTTCTTGTTTTTTTGCATCACGCGTGCGCAAGTGGGGCGGAAGTTGCAGGTTGCATGGAGGCGAGGGACTTTTTGATGTTATCATTTTCAATCAGATTTGTGGGTCAATTCTGAACATGAAAGTCACAATAACGACACTCTCAGACGACATATTCACATTAGAGGCTGCCGGTGACATAGAGCTTGAAAATTTCAAAGCACTATGTGAATTTGAGACGGGAATTCCGGCTCGAGAAATCTCGATTATGTGGAATGGCCGGCCCCTCCTGGACGAAAAGAAGACGCTGTCTGCTTATGGGATTAACGATGGGGACGTCCTTCTGCTACAACAGCTGCGGGGACCCCAAGGGAGACCAACTGACACCCCGCAACCCCCAGCTGGTGCTCAAGTTGGACCAGGAGGTGAGATTTACAGTGTTGGAAGAAAGTTGAAAGGGGTGGCTATGTAGTGACAAGATGTCAAGTATGTCGACTTCAAAACGACTCACAAGTATTATTAATCAGCCTCTGGCACACCTGGCTAGAGGCCGATTCTATAAATTTTTGCCAAAGATCTATAAGAAAATGACTACTTAGGAGATATGGGTCGAGAATACCGTAGATAAGTGAAATAGCTGGAAATGATTTCTGTGAATGCTTTTCTTCTTACAGGAGGTCAGCTTCCCTTCATAGACTTCTCCAGTGTAGCTATTCCAGGCACCTCAGCAGGTGCTAGCCACCAGTCTGCCCAGGGTGGTGCCAGAGGGGGAGGAGGGGTACCCCCAGGGGGTGTGCCTGAAGACCCTGCAGTTCTCATGGAGATGCTGCTAAGCTCCCCTCATGAGATGTCTCTTCTGAAAGAGAGGAACCCACCACTAGCAGATGCTGTGTTAAGTAGAAATTTAGGTAAGTGTAAATATTACTTCGGAAATTTCTTAAAATTTTTCAGAACCACTTTCTCTCGTCTCCTGATTCTCTGTAGCATTTTACTTTTTTTTCAGGACTCATCATTTTAAAAACTCGCAGAATTTTACTTTTGCCTGGATGTAAACTATCTGATTATATGGAATAAGCAAATGTTTTTATTGATTTTCAGAAAAATTCACAGAGGTTCTCAATAAGCAGAAAGCAGAGCGAGCAGAAAGGGAAAGGGAGAGAATAAGAATGCTGTCCGCTGATCCTTTTGACGCTGATGTCCAACAAAAGATAGCAGAAGAAATTAGGTAATGTAGTGTTTATCTGTTTCCATCATGCTGTAAGAATTATGGCTTGTATAACAGACAATTACATGGATGAGCAATAAAAACTAGTTTATAAGATGTACTGCATGCCTGAAAACACATGCATACACACCTCTACGTGCACATGCCTGCGCACACATTCACACCACAGATGCAAGTGTTCAGACACAAACACGTAGACACAACGACACATACACTACAAGTAAAATGACACTTTATGGACATTGGGGATGAACTCAATAATTCATGTATAATGCTTTCATGTACCGGTATTACTTTCCTCCAGATTACAAAATGTGGAATCCAATATGGAGACGGCCATGGAGTATGCCCCAGAGAGTTTTGGCCAGGTAGCCATGCTGTATATAGACTGTAAAGTCAATGGGCATGATGTCAAGGCCTTCGTGGACTCAGGTAAGACAGTAGACTGGAGTATGGCTCTCCTTAGTCCACAGTAAATAGTTTCATAATCAAGGCCTGGCACACCTATTGGTGTTAATCAACATCTTGCTTACAGTCCCACGCAAATTGTTAAGGGATAACACATTAGAATGGACACTGCTGAATTGTGTCGCTGAAAGTTTAGTACGATACATTCAAGGTTCTATATATTCTAGGTGCACAGACGATAAATATTGATCTGTAAAGGTTCATTATTGTCGTGATATTGATTCGTTGATGTTAAAATTTAGTATTTTGGATCTGTGAATTGTCACATTATATTGACTTATTCCATGAGTTCATATCATATCATGAGTCTGAATCAATGGCCATCAATGGTGCTTCAGCTGCAGTATAAATATTATGAACTATTTATTTGTATTATCTGTAGGAGCTCAGATGACAATAATGAGCCAGAAGTGTGCTGAGAGATGTCACATCATGCGGCTAGTGGATACCAGGTGGGCGGGGATTGCTAAAGGTGTGGGCACCCAGAAGATCATAGGAAGAGTACATCTATGTGAGTTCTAAAACGTGGTATATGAGATACTATTCTTATGCAGTATGTACATGGTATCATCATAATTCCTCTTCGTCCCGTGTGGGACATTAGGCCACATGTACGTGGTATACGAATCTTAAAATTGTAGGAAGAGTACATCTGTGTGAGTACTAAAATATGCTGTATAATGAATCTTTCTTCTTGCTGTCTGTTAGTACAAAATATCTTTAATTTCAGGTCAGATACAAATTGGTCCAGATTTTCTTCAATCCTCCTTCTCCATACTAGAAGATCAACCCATGGACATGTTACTAGGTCTAGATATGCTTAAAAGACACCAGGTAGGTTTGATATAGTGGCAATGCAATGTGTTTGGTGTGATCTGGTCAAAATGCAATGTGTTTGGTGTGATCTGGTCACAGTGCATTGTGTAAATATACAGAGAAAGCAAAATGTTTTGCTAGGGGTAACATTAACTCTCTAGGCCACTTGCCCTGGGTATACATGACCAAAGGTGACTTACCCAGATGACCCCTAATTTTTTTTGCTGGATCTGCAGTTTTAGGCATGTCAGGCAAATGATAATGTTAAGCCCTGTAAGTATTTTAAGAAAACAAGTCATTTATGTATATATGTTGTGTACTTTCTGTTTCCAGTGCTGTATAGACCTAAAGCGTGGTACTCTAGTCATAGGGACAACAGGTACGGAGACGCCATTCCTCACCGAGTCTGACCTCCCAGATCACGCTCGTCTCAATCGAACGGCCTCCGAGGTGGACGAGGGACAGCTTCAGGAACACGAGGATCGCGAACTAGCTGAGGCCCTGAATAAGTCCGCCAAAGAAGCAGGTTTGTAGGGATTTTGTGTACTGATCTAATATAGAAATATTTAGAACTGACAATTTTTTTTTCTGGAAAAACTGACCAAAATTGCTTCTATGAACAGTACCCCTTGTACTTGCATATTCTGAGACAGTCCTAGGGCAAAAAGCAGGAAATAGTTCAAGATTTGGTTGTGCTGTTAAGCTACTCAGGAGATGTAAAGATGTACAAAAATTATGTACAAATTGTAACATCTGTGGATTTTTGTTCAAATGAAACTTTCAATTTTTTCTGTAGGATTAAAAGTAAAGAAAAGGAGATGTAAGACTTCTTGGTTTTGTTTTGTTTAGATTCGATTTTTCTCTGATTATTTCTTCTCATTTTTACTCTTTACTAAAATAATATTAACCAAACTAATATCTGATCAAATTTTATCACCCAGTTGATGTTTTCTTGAAGTTGATTTTTTTACTGTTTACAAGTACTAAATCGTGGAGTTTGGATTTTGTTTGATACATATTAAGTTCAGTTTTAATGGCTTTTCCTCTACATGTCATCTTGAATTTCTTCAGTCTAGTTATCTTACTTGTGATCACACAGAGACCAGCAGAAGTTTCTGTGATGAGGATGCAATAATATAGTCACTTTTTCAGTTTTAGTAAAATTTTCCATATTCTTTTTGTAAATAAATAAATTGATTTTTTTTTACTTGTTTTGATTAAGTGCTTTACACAATTCAATATATAACCAGTCAAATTTTGATATTTTAAATTGATCGTTTCCAGGAGGCTCCCATTCCAAAGACAGCAAGACAAGCCAACCACAGCGCCCCCTATCACAGTCTACAAGCTCAGCATCATCATCATCATCATCCACCCCCTCTTCTCAGTCAGGCACAGCCACCTTTCCAGAAACTGTTATCAAAAGAATCATGGATTATGGCTTTCCCAGGCAACAGGCAATTGAAGCATTAAGGAACGCTAATGGTAATGCAGAGACGGCACTCGCAATATTACTTGCCTCTTCGTTGCAAATTCCAAAATGACAGCCATTAATTTTGTGTCTGAGATTCCAATTTTCAGTTATATTCTTTTTCTAACTGTGAAATGTCTCCAGTTTCTCAGTGCTTGATTAAAATGGAAAGGAAGCAACAGAAGAAGAAACTGTTAATCAAACATCACCGGTGACCCTTTCCATAAATCGCCTGATCCATTGGCCTTAGCATAGCCTGCTAAACTTATATAGCTAAACACTTAAAGCCAGTTCAGAGATTTCAAACGAAGTTTTACAAACAAACAACCGACATACATGTTCCAAATATTGAGTTGAAATCGGTATCAAAACAATGATGTAAAGGCAAGTGGCCTTAAGGATACTTCATGAAAAGCAAGTATAGACAGCTAAGAGTTTTAGAAGGCTAAGCTAAGGCTGGTTATTGACATAGGGCTATGCATGGACTTTTTTATGGGGGGGGGGGGGGGTACATAGGAGTGTTAACCAATTTCTTATTTGGAAGTGCCAATAAGTCAAGTAGTTTTTGGTTAGTGGGTAATGTAGGGTCACTTTTTTCACCAATACTAATATGTAATCAGAATTACTTCTGTAAAATTCATGAAGAGGAAAATGGCGAACAGTGTGCACTCTCAGGAAGAAAAAAAAATTTGTTCCAGAATCACAATTTTTCATATCACATTCATTTTGTTAAAACATGCAGGATTTTATTTAGTTTGGGCTTTCATATTTTGATATTGAATTTTCAAGTTGAAGTGCAACCTACAGCTGTCAAATCACCAAACATCTTTTAGAACTTGACCAACACAATCTTAAGCTGACATTACCTTTTATTAGTAAACATACTTGTGTTGTTCTTTATGTGAGTCAAGACAAAAACAAAAGAAGGCACCGATATTGTCCAGGGAGGGGGGGGGGGGGGGGGGGCAGGTGAAATCTTTAGGGTTCAAATGTCCTGTTTTTTTAATGCAGAGTCTTCTACTGAAGTAAAGTTGCATTTTCAAAATGTGTTGGTTGTTGGTTTTATTGGTTAATATTGTATAGTTGATACTTCAGTATCTTAAAACTGGAGAACTCGGTCTGACTAGTGCACAATGTTAAACAATGTTTGCAAGAAGATCATGATGATGATAAAAATTATAATAGATAAATAATATTTAAGAAAATCTAAACACCATAAAATTCTGTTCATTACACTTCACAAGGTTTCTCAAAATAAATGTATCTTTTATACCAAGATAGAAATGCTGGCCCAGAAGTTTTTGGTGGATTGAAGGATAAAAACTTTTATGTTCCAAATTTTATATGTGTAAGGAAAGAACATACCAGGTACAAAAGAAAGGATAATATTCTAGTTAAAAAAATTGAGCATCAGGTGTTCCAAGTTTTATATTTGATAAACAGAATAAAAAATTCCTATTCATGGGCCATGTTCTGTAAATGTTCTTTAATGCATGGTTGTACATGATGCATAATGATTATTTAAATTTATCCTATGTATTGAAACAACCAGTCTACAATATCGAAATGTCAAAAAATCTTAAAAACCTAAAGTAATAGATGTTAGTGTACATTCTCTATATGCAAAAGTAGAAATGATAAGTTATACAAGGAAAAAAGTTGAAACTCATGAAGTATTTTTATATGAACACATGGCCTCTGATGTAGTTGGCAAAACGCAATTATGGTCTGTGTTGATTTTTTATTCCAACGTCCACAGCAAAAACAATGTTCAGTAAAGCATACATATTGAAAATTTTAAAATATAAATCTGTTGCTTCAAGCTTCCTGTAATAGATTACATAAGTTATTGCACATGAAGTAGTAAGGCTACCAGTCTCTTTGGTGTGTGTGTGTGTGTGTGTGTGTGTGTCAATACGTGTTTTGCACTCCTCTACTCGATAATATCAAATATAAGCACACAAAGACCAGGCCAGAAGCCAGCATTTTCATACGGGGTTACCTACACTTACACTAGTGGGCCTAATTTGGTCTTAAAGTGCAATTTAAGACTAAAACTTTTTACTGTTTAAGACCTTAACCATGTACAAAGCCACCATGTACTTAACTCAAAATTTCTCCCAGAGTGGATCTTTTCCAAGCAAAAAGTAGTTTGTTCCAACCCCTCCCCCTTCCCCACTGGCTACAGGCCTGCACATACAGTAATGTTGTCATAAAACCTTCCTTCTTACTTGATTTCTTCTTGCCTACATCAGCACCACTTAGTGGTCACATCTTTTGAAAGTGACAAAATGCTAATATATTGAGTAAAAATTCTTTCTCCATGTTGATATTAGCTATCATATGATAATTGCAGCAGCATGTAGTGACAACAAAAATAGCTCTAGCATTATGCTGTTGCCTATATACATGTATCATAATTAATAGTGAGCAATCGAGGAATTGCAATCCCATTCTTACTGTAATGATTATACAATCAGAAAGAAAATTATTCCACAATTTTTTGCAACCACATAAATTTTTGCATTTTCTTCATTTAGCTAACCTTAAACTCATCATGACACTTCAAGAGCTAGTTAACCATTCAACCATGCTGTAGTAAAGAATTTGCAGCGTACTACCTGTAATATTATGTAACTTGTTCTGTCAAAATGATGTTTCTGAAAATATGTTTAATTAAGTAAACTTTGTTTGAATAAAGTGATGATTTACCAAATCCGCAGGCTGGTCATGTGACCACTCCTATAGAGTTAATATCTGTAAAAACTATTTTTTATGAAACAAAATTTAAGCAGTTCTTGTTAAAATATCAGTTTTTCTCTTGGTTGTCAGTCTAGTAGTTTAATTTTTATAACTGTCCTGTGTTTCTTTTGGCTGTTACTGACATCTGTCCACTAGTGCATCTGACTGCTTTAGGCACTTTTGGCTTCTGGGCTGTTTGAAAAGAAACAAGGAAAAAAATTGAGATCATTAAATGCACATTAAAAGTGCATTGCCAAAGTCCTAATAAGGAATTGTGTATCAATTATAAAATATAATATATACTTGGAAGTTTAGAGTGATTGTGAACCACCGATTAAATGTGTGTGTTTAAAAATTCGGGTGTTATCATGTTACAAATCCTTGGAAATTCAGATCAAAACGAGCACTCCTCGATATGGCATCCGTTGTGTACACTCCGCACTTGCCCCTTGAAACTTCAAATCCCGCACAATCTTGTGTTCTCACGGAGAATTTAGCGGAAGTCACGTGACCGTGGAAAACACTGTATTGGCAAACATTTATGTGCATTGTAATGGTGGGCTATTTACGTTAAGCTTTAAAACAACATACAATACAATACATACAGTCCTGTCAAGGGGTAACATTCTTAAACTACTGTTAGAATCCCTGGATCAGGAAAACAAGGAAAATGACCAAATCAATGGAAACCAAGATATGTCATCTCTTCACATCCACTTACCAAACCACTAGATCAAAGAATCCTTCAAATCCAAACCTACAGTCCAGTAGGTTACCATTGTCCCAGCGGACCTAAAATAGAGTAATTATTCACAATTGTCACCAACAATGCACAAAAATCTCTTGTAAAGTTCAATTTGTTCAACTTATTACATGATCAAGTAAAGTTGCAGAAAACTGCATTCTTATTATGCTCAAACTGTAAAAAACTGTGCTCTAAGTTTGTTCTTTCTCTCAAGTTATTCAATACGTACCCTCACGGCGCCATTCTCTGCCAGATTATAGACCACGCCCTTGCTGCCTGGTCCTCCGTCAATGTCTTTGTACATCCAGTCTGGGCCTGCATTCAGTAAAGGGTAATCATTTAATACTGTGTAGATTAGTTGTATGTTTTGTGTTTGAAAAGAATAAAGCTTTTAAAAGTTTCATTTGACCATTTGGAGTCTCCTCAAGGGGCACACCATGAATGTCCCCAATGAAAGTCTAGTAACAGATTTTAAAATCCTTAAATTAATTTTGGGATGAAAAGCAAGTGATCATATCCATAACTTAAATATCTTCAAAAATATATTGATTTGGGTCTAAAGATTCCTAGAATAACTATACATGTAGGGTCAAACTATAATAAGATGTAATCTTATATCATAATATCTGTTTTATGATTTGTCATGTCTTCTGGATATAAAGTAATAGATAAAAAAAAACTTCAACGCAATTTCTTTAAATAAATCATACATTAGTCTTATTATATTAAAATTTTTTGAAGGCTCAATGTAGCAGTTAGAGTATTATTTAATTTACCTCTTTGAACTCTGACCCCAATTTTAATGATGTCGCCAGGTGCCAGTTTACGCGGCTCATCCACAGCAAGGACATCATAGCAACCTCCGTGGCCATAGCGATATTTTAAGATGATGTTTGAACTGTCCCAGCTCACTCCTACTGAACCTGTGAAAAGATGTCTATCTTTAGGACTCACGTGTCAATTAAATAAGCCAACAGTGGTGAAAGCATTGCCATCTTTGTTGACAGATGCAATTGAAAAGGCACAAAGAATATATGCTGTATAAAAACTTCTAGTATAACTAATTAAGAATAAGAAGTAAGAACTGTTTGACTGGGATGTGACTTCATATCTCTCCCATTAATAAATCCCTAAAGAAAAAATTAAGGAAAAAGAAAGAAAATCCAAGAGCTGAAAAAAAGATATCATGGTAACTATACGTTTTTTACATCTAGGTACCTTCAAGTTGGTGATAAAGTGAAAAGTGTTGATATCTCTATAAAGTAATTTTTCCTAATGAACATAAAGGCCTATGGTGCTAATTATGTGCCTGTAGCTTCATAACACTCACCCTTCTCGTCATAGCCTATCACAGTTCCCACTCCGTATCCATCCTCATCTCCATAGCAATAGTCTGCTCCTCGCCTCACACGTGTGCCGAGCGGCAATCTACCCTCCACCTCCGAAGTGTCCTTGGTGCCTCGACTGTGGGAACACAGCAGGTGCCCTTCCTTGTGAAGCTGGCAGTACAACTTGTACATAGTTTTCTACATAGATAGAGAAGAGGGATTTGATAATGTTGTGAAATTCATCTCAATATTTCATTTTTTTACAATAATTACAATTATTACTACTGTTACATGCAGTGAAGACCCCCCTGAGGCTTATTCATGTCTTGGTTTTCTAATGATCATGGCAATTTCAGATAAATTATTATAGGTTTAAGGTGCATTCACAATGAACCTAGGTAGTTCCAACTAACTCTGTAGGGACTCTCATTAACATGCATTGAGTAGAATAGAGAAAATTTAGCTGGTGATTATATGAGTACATTGGAAATAAGAGGAGGCATGTTAATCTGTTAACCTGACTGTATTCAGCAAGACTCCCATGGAGAGTTAGGTTCAACTACCCAGTACAATAGTTTCATGGTGAATTAACACATCTTAAGTAAGCTAAATCCCCTACCAATCCCCACCCCCAAACACCAAACTCACCAGTTCCATATCTTCTAGCTGGTGCTCTCCCAGACCATCATTTTTCCTTCTGTTAGTGGTCATTAAAGTAGATCCGAAAACCACCTCATCAGCCTTAGCGTCACATTTCCCAGTCATGTCTGAATGTAACAACCAATTCAAAGCTACATACAACAAATACTTGAACATCAATCTTATTATCAATCAATCAGTCTTTTATAATAATTTGTAACCTGTAAATGGTTCACGGGTGATTTAAAAAGACAGCTGGTGAAACTTATCAAGTAAATTACTTAGGTTTATACGTTTAATTATACAAGTTTCAACAAATGAGATACATTTTCTAAGCGGCAAATTTCACAGTTGTACTTACTGTGGTAAGAGGCTTGAAAGTTGCATATTTTCACCTGAAATAAATAAGTTTATTATTTACCAAATACAACTCAAAAACAATTGCAATTAAAAAATATAAAAAAATTACAAGACACTCATAACAAACTGTTCAGGTCAATCATCTTATTAACTATTTAATCTGGAAACTGTAAAATTCACCGATTTTGACTTATGAACCCATATTGCTTTCGTTGAAAGTAGAAAAGGGAGTTTGGAAATTACTTTATTGCTTTTAGTTGAAAAGCAATTAAAGGGATAATAACTCTTCCTTTTGGCCAAAAAATGAATAACAACAATTTTCCCATACTTACCAATGGTTAATGAATCCATTTTTACATTCAAAGTTAGTCCCTGTTTTTTTTTCTAAAAAGTTCTTTTTTTCATTATAATCTCTTAAGAGATTATAACAGAGTATAGCCATCAATGGAGGTCACGTGGTCTAAAGACAAGCTCAGATATCAGAATAATAGCTATAACTGCCATTTTTGTGGTACAACAGAATATATTATATTTCTATGCGTTGTTCACAATGTTTTTATTGTGAAATATAGATCTCATACGAAGAGTTATTATCCCTTTAAGTGTAGTTGCCATGGTAACCTACCAGTCGTCGGTAGTAGAGACCAATAGAATCCATGGCTTCCTCATCATCAATGTCAAAGTAGTTACCATTGACTGTCTTAGCAGCTGACGTCAGTATGTCCTAAAGTGAACAATAATATATTAATCATAAAATGATTACATTAGTTTATAATTATTATACTATAACAATATACTGTAATTAAAGACATTTGATTTATTGCAATCCAAAACACCCCAGGGGTAGGTCAAGGACACCTAGCTTATTAAGGAAAAGTACATCCAATAGGGGATAAAATATGGGGGTGTGAAATATAAATATATGCTTGGACTAATTTTGCACCAACATAGCATCATTTTGAGTTTGGAAAGTAACTGTTACATTTTTCATAAAGTGACTCTCACTCAATACATATTATAATTAATACATATTATACTACATGTAAATTCTAGTTAGTTACTAAGAAAAATTAAGCAGTTCTTACAGTGTTTATCACTTTTAATGAAGCAGCTGGCACATGTGCAATAAAAACTAAGGTGTTTGGACATAAATTGCTATCATGTACCTTGTTTTTGTTGCCACAACCAATAAAGACGATCTTGGCTTTCAAATTATTTTTGTCTGTGGTCAATGCATAGGATTGAAGGGACTCCATGAACTGGTACAGTGGCTGGAATGAGACAAGGGATGTTATTGGCTTGAACATTAATCTTTGCTGTTACAGTGGTAGAGAGTCGTATCATAATTAGACAAAAAGTGTAAATTCATGACTTGACAGATTCTTTTTTTTTTTGACATTTCTGTCATAAATTCCAAATTCAATTTTTAAGGTTTCAGCAACTTTTATATATTGAAACAAAATCCAATTTTTTTTTTTTACCACTTTTGATATAAAAAATATCTCTGAAAAAGTAGTGGACTATTGTATATTTATTGAATAATTGTGAAGAGAAACAGTATATATATATATGTATAACATACAATATCCTGGGGCTTTGTGACATCCTCATCATCATCATCTTGTCCCCCGTCTCCTGCCTGTGCTGCACTTAAATTTCCATCACTAAAGATGAGGATGCGAGGTGGAATTTTAAAGCCATAAAGATTGACACTGGCATCTGAAATTAATGGACATTATGTTTAATTGCAAATAATTATGATAACAAGTTTTGTTAAAATAACTTACTGAAAACAATTATTATTTTGAAATTCAAATTAAGAAAAAAGGGCCAAAAGTTAAATGATTTAAATAAATGTTTTAACAATAAATTGTACATTGCATGTGCACATGTAAGCATATAAATTAACAGATAACCTCGATAAAACATACATCATGTAATATACTCTAGCTACGATGATAGAATAGTTATGCTTTTATGATACTTATTATGATTTTATATAACTTATTGTAATATTGTATTAAAAAGCATTACAATATATTACAATAAGTTATATAAAATCATAAAAAGCTTGCTGTTACTTGTGTCTTTCAGCTCTTTGGTGGCCGCCTCAAAGGCTTGGCCGAGGGGTGACAGGCCACGGGGAGACAAAGACTCTGGAAATATTGAATATTACAATTTGATAAATATACATTTATTTATTCTAGAGCAGTCAGAGCACATTGACCAAATTAAATTACAATGAGATAACTAATTTTTAAATAACATTTCAAGAAATAAAAAATATAGATAAAAAGATCAAATCCAATGTTGCATTAAAAAAATTCATCATGCAATAATTTAACTTAAAAATAAATACAGTTTTAAAATTATGACAGAAATGAAAAGTTATCAATTTAATATTGTCTAAAAAGTGATATGCAGTGTAAGTGAATTAAGATCCAAACATATATTTTAAATACACTTTTTAATAATAAATAATCATTATTTATGATTACCAAGGCATTTTTCCAGTTGATCCGTGTTATTGGTCAGTGGAACCTTAACTGCTGTCTCTCGCCCAAATACCACAATAGATATCCTTTCTTGATATCCAGTCTTATAGGCAAAAGTATCAGCATCTGCAATACATCAGAGCCATGTGAATACAAATTTAACTTAATTCAGCGAGACACTTTGCAAAATATTTGCCTTTTTTTTTAAAGATGTCATATTTCATTATGTGCCCAAGGATTTCAAAATTAAAGCGCTTGGAACCATTGGCCACCTCTGTACTTTAAGGACTGTATATCAGAAACAATATCTCAGAAACACATGCTCCAGCACTTAAAGTAAACTTAAAATAAGTTTGAATTTATGTACATGTGCATGTATGCAAGTGAGAATGCCTACAACAAATTTGCAAACTTTTTATTGCAACCTTCTGGTTGAAGGCACCTGCATGTACCATATACATCCCAGTATCCCACACATTACATGTGCGTGCATGCCCATGAGTTAACGTGTGTACTTACTGTTGAGCAAGCTCCTAATGGCTCCCTTCACCTGATTAAAGGGGTCCCCAGCCATACTTCCAGACAGGTCTAGACACAGTACTGTAGCCAGACCCAGGGGTGCTGAAATATAAGTTCCAAATTATATACAATTTTATCATATGGGGTGACAAGTTGCAAGTTTAACAAGCTATAGACTGGGTACTGTTGCAATAAAAGCTCTACTGATTTGAAAACAAAGGTAAAAAGTAACAATGATTGTATTCATATTTCAATATACAGCCAGGACTTGGAAAAATTTAAAGGACTGAGCAAAGAAAAATTAATTTAAAAATTATGAAAATTGCAATAAAAATAAACTAATATAAAACCCACCTGTGTAGTAAGCAGTATTCCCACCTGCTGTAGTTGTGTAGTAAGCAGTATTAGTAGCCCCTCCATAAGTCTCATACACATCATCTCCATAGCCGATATCGTTTTCCAGGCTGTCGTTGTACATGTTGTCTGCAGATGTCTGATAATCTTCCACTATATTGTTGTACTGTGCTGATCTTTGCATTGTGTCCAGCAAAACAGTAGCGCCATCTGATGACTGGTTATTGCTGTCTCCAGAGCCAATATTATTGGGAGACTGGTGCGGGGACGTAATTGTTCCACGCCCAGTGCCACGCCCCCTGGTGTACATAATATTGCCCCTCCCAAGACCCCCTCTTAACCCTCCTCGTGGAGTTGTTCCCCCCGGCATCCTCATCACGGAAACGAGGCGTTGCTGGCACATTGCGCGTAACTGCGTGATGGTGGCAGTTGCCTGAACAGAAGATTCCTGGTACTCCTTTTGGAGTTTTGAAAGCTCTGCTTCCTTATCTCTCAAGTCTTGCAAGACCTGATCTAACTCCATATCCTTTGCTTGTTTTAATTCCTCACATTTTTCATTCAGTTGACTAATTTCACTGTCCTTCGTCTTTAGTTGATCCTCCAACTCTGTTTTAACTTTCTCAATCTCTGAACTCTTGGCTTCCCTTTCCTGGTCTATGGTATCTTGAAGGTTTTCATTCTCCTCCTCAAGGTCTTTGATTGTGGTGTCTTGCAGTTTTTTTACTTTCTGTTTAAGAGCCATGAACTCTCGCTCAAGGTAGCTATTGGTGCTGCCGAGGCAAATACGTGAGCTCTTCATCTCCTGCCATCTTGGAAACAAGGCCACAAAAGGAGAGCTTGGAACTTCATCTTGGATGTTTCTAGCTGAAGTGGTGTTTTTTGGCACCTCTGGATGTCCAGGGGGAACCGCACTTTGGGGGTTATCTTGTCTTCTTGATCGGGAAATAGCATCATCTCTGCCAGCACTGTTAATGTTGGGTTCTGAAAAAGTACAAATTAAAATACAAACATTTGATTGCATGTTATCCAAAGACATATGAGATGTGCTTTTCATGTAGCACACTAGCTGGTATCAGTGCAATTGCCATGTCTGTAGTGAGGTTAGTGCGTACAACACTTGAAATCTCAAATTTTCTCAGATTTGTTTTGCTGATAAGGCCATCCCTTGGATAGTGAAAACCATAATCGTCATGAAAGCACAGGTTAATTTGAGGAACAACTACCACATAATTAATGATCAAGACAACAAGTGGATTGCAATCAATTTGTAGAATTCAAATTTGAATTTATTTGTAAGTACATGTATAACCTAAATATAGTGCTTTTATTGTATTAATAGCATCTACTCTACACATATTATTATACACAATATGTACATTTTCATACATACCTTTCTGCAGCGTCAACAATGTCCTCATCTTCAACGATGTCTGAGTATCCATATTGGTCGAACACTTAACCACCAGGTCAAGGTCACCAACATTTTCTTGGACATCTTCTGTCAAAACCACTTGGCCAATCGCCTGGGACAAGTTTGAGGAGCCCGTGCTACGAGTTTCCTGAAGGAGCGAATCCACTGCTTGAGTGCTGTAGATGGCAACCTCTACTGATCTGACACTTTGATTCAGGCTGAGGACTGGGTAACCGCACCTGGAGATGGCACTAGTGAGGGCCTGCTGCCAAGAGGAGCTAGACCAGTGACTGTTCATGTGTTGTTCTGCTGTGGTAAGTTTGTGGATAGAAGCAGGGTTGAATGATTTACCTTGCTTTGGTGCAAAGTCAAGCCTGAACTTCAGGGTGGTGCTTGGGGGATCTACAAAAAATAGCCCTTAATTACTAAATACAAATATTTCTTTTTCTACATTGGGGGGTGTCTAGAAGTGATTAAAAATGTACACACAGATAATACCAACTACCTTATTAAAGAATCATGTTAAGGTAATGTTTTTTCTTAATTTTTCTAAAAGTTAAGTTTCTGGACAAATCAAATTGGTACCATTAATATTATCATGAAATCAGAATAATTTAAGATACTGTATATACACATATCAGGTCTTACCTTTGCACTTGGCTAGGAGTGCCGCCAGCCCCTGCTGGTTTAATGCAATCAAAGCCATTATCAGTCCATCAAAACCAACATCGCCCAAGTTGTTCAAAACATCAAGTGTCTTCTCAACCTTTTGTTGGTTTCCTTCAGTACCAATTATGGATTTGAAATCTTCAGCTTTCATGTAGCCTCTCTCCTGCAATATGGCCGCCAGCCAGTCGCCATCCACCAGGTCCACTAAAGCCGACTTGTGTTTCTCTAAAGATGTTTTGTTTTTTGATGATAAAGGACCATTTCCTTTCACCAGAGCCACTGGTCTTCCTAGATAAACAAAACACTTGTAATTGTAAAATATGCAGAGATTGATTTTTTTAAATAAATTAAGTATTTAGTTTTATCAATTTTATTCTTGGTAAATGATTGCTCACATAATAATAATAATAATAATAATAATAATAATAATAATAATACATATATAAATAAATGTACAGAGATGCAATTTTTTTAAAACAGATTTTTTTAAACATTTTATTTTTATCAAATTTATATATTCTAGGTAAATGATCACTCACAAAAATGGTGGGATAATTTTGAATTCAAAATTCAACATAGAACATTCAAGTTCTTCTAGAAGATTCAAAACTCTGAGTAACATACACAATATTCTTGGATTTAAACATATATATATTAATATTCTAGGGCATGGTTTAATTACCATTAAATGTTTCCCCACTGGCCTGTTCAACCCCATTCAACAGCGAGGCGCCTGTCAAATCTGTCTGTGTCGAAGATGGAATGAGGATTTGCGAAGCTCCTGTTAAATCTGTCTGTGTAGAAGATGGAGTAAGGACCCGTGGAGATCCTGCTTTATCAGTTTGGACAGTGGCAGCAGACATTATGATACTTTGTGTCTGGTTCCCTACACTGGATACACTGATCCTTGACCTCTGTGGCTCTTGATCTTTGACCTCTGTTCTGGGCTCTCCCTCTGTTTGAACGCCCATGGTGCTAAATGTGAGTGTGGCCTCTCTTGGATTGCCTTCATTACTGGAGTAAGGTAGAATTGAATTTAATGCCATAATGTGAGTTAAATTAGAAAAGATCCTTTTGAGAATCACCTAAGAAGTAAAAATGCTGTAACAGCAATGAAGATCATAGATCGAAAAACATTTAGACTAAGACTAAAGTTTTTTTAAAGTGTTAATTTAAAATATTTAAAAATTCATGCTACAATTTGAATATATTGCAATGATTCGAAATCATAAACATTTTAGGAATTTCAAAATAAAATTTTTAATAAATGCCTAAAATTCCATGAGATTTTAACTTTTCTTAGTTTTGGCACATCAAAAAATTAACAGCTGAAGTAAACAAATGCCTAAGACCGCATTCACAATGAGTTGAGCCATGGCTTTACAAATCCTGGAACTAAATATGGGGGACGTACATGAAAGAAAAACTGCCTAATCATTTAATAGTCTCTCCGCTTCTCACACGCCTCCCCACACGTCGTCCCTGTGGGCGTACAGTCATTAAATCTTGGCTCCATTGGGATGACGCATGGGGAGGCGTGTGAGAGGCAGAGAGACTATTAAAAGATTAGGCGTTTTTTCTTTCATGTACGTACGCCATATTTAGTTCCAGGATTTGTAAAGCCTGGCTCAACTCATTGTGAATGCGATCTAAGCAACTTCTTGCAGGTGCCAGTGCCTGACAACTGTCAGTCATATGTGATAATATCTATGATACCATCAAAACTGTTAAAAAGAGCTGTTACTTGATATTTCAGGGTTGCTCAATAATGTTGTTCCAGAAATCTGTTCAAAATTTCAATTCAAAAGCTTGTGAACTGTTGATGTTACTGAAGTTTGAAATTAGTCATTTTTTTAATTAAGCCACCCAATATTATAGTAATCTTAAGCTGCAATTATAACACTGCACTGGCAGTTTAACCAAATTGTCATTTTTAACTTCAAATATTAAAATGAAAATCTTAAACAGCAGTCCAGGGTTTCTTTATCTAGATATAATTAATATAATACTTACCCACATTCCATCCCAATTGTGTCAAACTCCTTGGTCCACTCATAGACATTGACAGGGGTGTGGCCAGGGGGGAGAGAGTCCAAGAGGCACACCTGGGGGGCTATACCCTGGGGAAAATTTTATGAGAAAAAATTGTTTTGACACTGTGTTATCAATACCTTAATTTTAAGTCCAAATTTAGTGGAAAATTGGTTTATTGGTTTCCTTTTATGCCTGTTTTTATTTCAAAATTATAATTTTAGCCTAAATTACAAGTCAGAATATGGACACACCGTTCTACCAAACTTACCATGGGAACCTGTTCTTCATCAGAGAAGTCAATGAGTTCAGCCAGAGGAGGCGCGGGGATGGTGGTGGGATTAATGCACCCTGGGCCAAAGTCGTTGAAAACATCAGGCACTGAAAATAGGTCGTCCAGTCCCATTGGCTGCACTGATTCTGTGTGGGGACGGTCATCCGCTTTTTTAGCCAGGTTTATAAGGCTATCTTCTGGGGACAAACTCTCTGAAAAATTTGTAGAAATAAATGATAAAATGTGTATGTGATACATGGTGCAGCACGTTTCTCATGTATAGTCTATTGTCGACGTCTATTCACCATAAAAACAGGAAACTTTTTCTTAAGAGACAAGATGTTTCAAACCTTCATAAATGACTTCATCACATGTACGTATGACTAATTGTGCTAGTTTTTAGTAACTATTTCCTTTTCTGTCAAAGGAGAGGATGTTGATCCATGAAAATAATGAAATGGAAAGATAAATCTGTGGTTTAAAATTTTTCCAGTCCATATCATATTTGGATGTCTTAGTCACTGATGTAAATTTTACAAAGAAAAAAAATCATCAAAGATAAATATCAATGTACTGTATAATAATGTCTATAATATAATACGTTTAAAAGAAAATGAATAAATTTAAAGGTGAAATTTAATGAATTTTGCAGATTAAGATAATTATTTACTACAGGTAATATGTACGTATTGCATCCTATATTTACTAGTATGTAAAAAAGCTGACATTTAATGAATATTTTTGCAGGCCCATAGCAAGCAATTTCAAGGGGGAGGGGGATCTAAATTTTCCAATTAAAAGTGAACCTTTTACCAATTTATATCAGAGTCATGTGCCTAGATAATAATTTTTTCCAGATCAGGCCTTTTCTCTGCAAAAAGAATTGGTTTGAACCCCCAAACACCATTGGCTTCAGCTAGGCCTGGTTACAAGTAGTCTCATTGAATTTCTGATCTGGGAAGAACCATATCACATGCACCATACTATAGCAAAGTACTTACCAGCCACTGGCACAGGTGGCGATGATGTCCGAACGCTCTCTATAGACTGATGTCGTTCTGATTGTAAACGCTCCTCAAGGGCTTCCTGTCGGTCATGCAACTCATTCTGTCTCTGCTTAATGGACTCTAAATGCATTTTAATCTCCTCAAGGGCTTGGGTGGTTGCCTGTGAGGCAGACACAGTGCTGGTTTGTTGGTGCTCCAGCGCTACCATTCTTGAGACAAACTGTTGCTGCTGTGACTCGGATGCAGCAGTAAGATTTGCCTGACGCTGATTCAAAGCCTGCAATGTATCTTGGGTTTTCTTTAACTCTTTTTCCAAATTCTCTGCAACCACTGGTGGCAAGGCAGGTGGAGGTGTGTGTGGCAATACTTGGGAGTTTTGTGAGGATTTCACTTCTTGGGAGAGACAATGAATCTGCCCTAGCAGTTGACCTTGTCCTTTTTTCAGACTGCTGATTTCTGCCTTAACCCATGCCAACTAATAAAGAAGAGAGTTATAAATAGTTTATTTTCTGATTAATTCCCTGTGCTGCACCTTACAATTAACTGACCTTCCACTACCCAACATGTTTGCCTAAAACGAAAAATTCCTATAGAATTCTAAAAGATCCTTTATAGGAAATTGGGCGAATTTCCTACAGAATCCTATAAGATCCTATAAGAATTTTTTGTAAGGGCATGTTTTCAATTAATAATACATATATAAATTATCAAGTAAATAAATTAGTTGCTTGATCAATAAACAGAAGATAACAACGGTAAAATTTATAATTATGAAATTAATTCACCAACTTAACTGACCGGTTTTGCCCAAGGTGCACTGATACTCCCACGTTCTTTTGGGTCTCTCTTGTTTGTACTGCCATCTGGTGCCATTTTTTTACTGCCCTCACTGCTCATTTCACTCAGTGAGGGTGGTTCTGTGAAATGAAAGTAAAATGACTATGAACGTTAATGTGACTTTCACAATCAGGTCACAAGACAATGTATTACCTGAATAGAAAGGTGGGGGCGTGCAATAAAAATGTTCAAAGTGAAACTGATCTACACATGTATGTCAAGTTGTAATTTTAATTTATTATAAATTACAATTATAATTATAAAGAGCACATATTTTATTTGTGTACTTTTTACGAATGGATTGATTCCTTTTTATTGATCTGAAACCATTTAAAAACCATAATTACTACAATTGATCATGATGGAATGCTCACATAAAATTCCATATGCATTCCTAAATTCTAAACACTCACACACACACACACACACACACACACACACACACACACACACAAAAAAAAAAGAATTAATTTTACAGTTCTTTTAATGTTCCAAATGTGTCTCTGCACTTAAATTCATTAGCTTGGAAAATATTGATATATATATCCAAAATAGCTACCTGCATCCTATCGTAATTGGACAAAGAGAGAGAAAAAATTAAGGGAAAGAGAGAATTTCGACTGGTTGACAGCCTGAATACGTGTTCAGAGGGTAAATTTAATTAATATTTTGATTGCACATAATTAATTGATGCTATTGAAAGAAGAGTAAATCCCCTGTTACATAGCACAATTGCGTTTTGGATCAGTCGAACTGTTGCGCGAGGTAAAAAAAAAAAAAAAAAAAGAGAGAGAGAGAGGGAGATAGGAGGATTAAAACCATACAGTATATGCTCATTTAACGAAGAAGGTGACAGCTGAGCGAAGGTCAAGAAGCGCACAAAGCACTGGTCAGTCACCGTCAATACTTGGAAACTTGCTCCCTCTCAAGTGCTCCAAAGGATATATATCCGTTTTGATTTTCACAACCGACTTAATTTATCCTATTTCTAAAACAAAGTTATTCAAAATACGGATACTTGAATTACCACATGGAAATAGACTAAATATATTACACAGCAGTGAGCTTGATAATTGTCTTACCTTCTTATCCGCTGATAATGATGTATCTGATCAGGCTTTCACTTTGTGTAATTCTGCTCTCCAGCCAATAAACAACAAAAATTCCCGGTTGCTATAAATAGCACCATGCACGTACGGCGATATGACGCTGGGAAAACCCAATCGCAAAGTGAAAGAAACATGGCGCACTCACTACTTTACAGAAGAGATACTCTTGGTAAGATTCGTACAAATTGAGCTAACTGATTGTTTTCGGATAGAGCCCAAACGTGTCATCAGTGATGTAAATTCTAAGTCATAACTTTATCGTAATCTAATAATAGGCCTACGTTAAAAAAAGATTTTGCGTGGTACACCTCATTGCACACTGTACATGTATCTGAGGTTCGTGTCGATAGTCCGAATGTTCATTGGTTCGAAGGTTCATTGGTCCGAAAATCGTAACATTTTCATCAGTTTTTTAATCAAGTGTTCGTTGTTCCAAAGGTTTCATAGGGAACATTCGGGCCAATGAACCTTCGGACTATTAATGTAATGCCCCCACCTCGAGATGCGAGGAGATCGATACAGCTAGGTCTTGGTCGTCACATCGACACATAACCTGTAAATAAACTGCGCTTTGTGAATGCATCCCGTAGAAAATATAACCTAGATGTGTATAAAATCCTGTTTAATACTGAAAAAAGTTTCCATATTAATTTGTATCATTTCAGCCACGTGAGCTAATTTCGAAGAAAACCGAAAGAAGGAAATGTCAGGACGTGTAGGAAGATTCTCTCTCTCTCTCTCTCTCTCTCTCTCTCTCTCTCTCATACTCACACACACGTACTAAACACAAACAAAGACAGCTATTTAATTATATGCTTTATAATGAAAATCAAAAATGATTTCATGATTTCAGTAACATTCCAGTTTACCTCATCAAGTATCTCTAATTGTCTCGTTATACGTACTGTACTTAATTCAGAAAGAATCTCTTATCCTTATTCTTAAAGGGATAACAACTGTTTATTTATTCCCCCCCCCCCCTTTACCCAAGGATTTTCCTTGGGTAAAGGACAATTTTCCCAAATTTACCAAATGTGGGTAATGAATCCATTCTCCTATTCTAATTAAGTTCCTTTTTTTTTTTTTGTTCTTAAAAGTTTTTTTTTTTAATATTCTCCAAAGAGATTATTACAGAGTGTAGCCATCTACATGTATGCAGGTCATGTGATGGCAGGCATAAATTCCAGAATAATTGTGTAAATTACCAGTTATGTGGAAAAATAGAATTTATTATACATTTCTATCATATGAATTGTTTACGATGTATTTGTGAAATATAGATTTCATACAGACATTTGTTATCCCTTTAACTTGTCTGTCAGTTTAAAAGTGATCGTTGGATTTCCCAAAAACTTTAAATAATTAACAGAATAAGGTGAATTTGCTGAATTGAAAGCACTATAAAAGAATTGTGTTATCAATGATTTATTACAGCACACGCCTCCTCTGATGCTGGCCCAGAGACTGGCCAATGCTCACAGGGATGGAGACTCGAGTTTTTTTGCACAGCTTCTGGCGGCCAGAGACGGTGGAGGGGGAGAGGTATAGACTGGCTTTCATAAACAGTACATACGAGTGAGGTCACACATAGAATGTTATTATGCAATAGGTTTAATTGTACCACCAGCGTTAGCGCTGGCGGTACACATGGTTTTAGTCCCGTCCGTCTCTAATTCGGGAACCGCTAATGCTAGAGACCCATTGCATTTTGTAGAGCATGTAAAGTCCAACACTGGAGGTGGTCTCCGTTTTTTTGTATTCCATACGGTTTTCGAGTTACGCTGTATCAAAAAGTACATATTGGTGGTGAAAGCAAAATGTGCAGTACGGTAATGGATAATAAATTTTGAACTCCGGAAAAATAAAACATAAGGCTTGGCAAAGCAGACAACTTGTGGTCAAAAATGACATTATTTCATCAAATTTGAACATCTGGAACTTCAGAGAACCTCCCATTTCAAGAATTTTGACCAAAATGACCTTTTCTTTATTTTAATTAATTTTTTCTGTAGGAAATTTATGGCACATTATGGTAACTCCAAAATTATAACATTTAGTCCCTTATATCTCCAAAACTGGCAGAGATAGGTCCATAGTTACTATTGAACTTGAATAGGAAGTCATATCCTGGCTTGACCTTTGACCTACTTATTATCATGAACTGAACTCTGCTTATTTCTTTCTCTTTTAACTCCAAACCTGGCAGAGATAGGTCCATAGTTACTATTGAAGTTGAATAGGAAGTCATATACTGGCAATTTACTGTGACCTTGAAATTGACCTTTGACCTACCTTATGATGAACTAAGCTTTGATTGTACCATTTTTAGTTATATATATTTTTTGCATATTTTGAAAATTCTTGTTGATTGCATTTTTACAGCTTGTCAAGCACAAGACTGGTGGCTGTGTCCCTTATTTTGTGTATGTGGGGGTCTATACGAATGTGCTTACTCCAGCTGGTGGTACAATATTCGGAGGCGGTATCGCCTCTCTGATCCTCTAGTTTATTTCTTGAAATTTCCAAAATTGTTTTTATTAATAATCACCTATATATAAAATAATGGGTGGATGCACTGTCATAGAATTAAGTTCCATTAACCAATTTTTGGGTTTTTCTCTAGTACATGTATTTGAGTCTCTTTCGTTAAGGTAATACTAGTAGAGACTGTTGAATTTCACTTTAAACATGGTAAAAATTTCATTTTGATGGATTTAGAATTCCTACATGGATTTTCATGTTTTTGATATTAAATTGGTCTGTACAGTTTGATGTAAACTGTATAAAGTCATGAAATTTACAGCCAGCAGTTCAGTAACTTTTTATTTGGAATGAAAAATGTGACCTGAAGATTGAAGCATTTTGATATAATTTTTCTTTTTAAAAAATTTACTATAAAAAATGAAAACATTAGTGTTTTTTGCTGAAATATGCAAGGCAAACATGGTCTGCATTGTAAGTTTCTTTCAAATTGGTTAGTTGCTGTAAATACAATTTTTAATTATTCTAAATTAAAAGCCTATTTAGATAATTGCACCCATAAATAATTTATCATTAAAGTAATTTCATATATTTTTAATTCCTTTGATGTTTCTCTCAATAATTTTATATATAAATTTTGTTGGCCTAATCTCCTATTCACAATAATTTATTTTTTGATCCCAAAAACAGGCAACCTCTGAAAAACTAAACCAGCTTGAAGGGTCAGTAGACAGCCTACGGACTTATGTTGAAACACTGGATGGTCAAATAATTAATATAAAAGAAGATTGTTTAAATGTGAAGGAAGAAGTGCAAGGTGTTAGGGACGAAGTAGAGGGTGAGTCATCATAATTTAGAAAGCACTTTCAAATGTCACTTTCTGTAAAGGCAAAAAGGCCCGTTTTTGGTATCACAATGAATCAAACAAGTTTATTAGGTGATAAGCTAACATTCGTTTGTAGAAACTGGTGAATTGCAATGATTAAAAACAGACTGACAAACAAATGAGTAAAAAAATGAAAGTGAAAGCTCACTTGTACACGTAGAAACCCAAAATGGTGAGAAGTGACAGTTAATTTCATTTTTGAATTAAACATTTCTTGTCTGTGATACCATAGTAATCAAAAACAAAAGGTTAAATTAAATATTTTATTTTGAATCTCCTATTTACTGACAAGTGTTAATATTTTTATATTTGCTGACAGGTATATCTCAGAACATGAAAAGAGAATCACAGGAAAATGAAATTTTGAAGCTAAAACAAGATTACCAGGAATTAAGAAAGGACATGGTTGAAATGAAGGTTTTGTTGGAAGAGTGGAAGGCATATGGAGATGAAAGCTTCTTCAGTGAGACATCTTCTCAGCAAGGTAATGCTCAATAGATACCAAAATAAAAATAATTTATAAAATAATAATAATAATAATAATAATAATAATAATTCCCAAACTACAAAACTACAGTATAGTTCACTTATGTAGCAGTAAAAAATAAATGTTAGATTTTTTCTTTGCTTTTTCTTATAGAGAATGAGCAGCTGAAATACAATTTTAGTTAATGTACCTGATTGAAACCAATAAGGAATAAATGGTGCATCTTTCGGTTATATATATTATGCCAGTTTGGGATATATAAGACTCCTACAATATATTACAGATGGTGAAAGAAAGGTGATCAGATATTACAGCAAAATTTAATTGAAAATGTTCTGTTTTAGAAATGTTGGCCAGTGGTGGTGTGCCTTGGCTTGCTACTGGAGGTTGTCCAGTACCTGATCTACTGACCAGCAAGGTAAAGGACAAAACTGATTTAGCCCTCCCCCCCCCCCCCCCCCCCCCCCCCACCCCCCCACTCTTCACAAACATTTTCCTTACCNCCCCCAAGGTAAAAGACAAAAACTAATTTTCCCCCCCCCCCCCCCCCCCCCACACACACACACACAAGATAATATTTAGAAAAATTGCCACATATTTTGTTGAATTTTTCCAGAGGGAAACAAGTGATGACAGTTTGAGTTGAATGTGGTCTTTTGATTTTTTTTTAAATTATTACTTCAATTGTCCTTAACAGGACCCTGCACTCTTGGAGAGTACTGTAAACTTTGATACAATTCTTTAATTCCAGACAATAACTGGGTTGCCAGGTGAAGCGAGCTGGGATGTCTCTTCTCAACAAGAATTGCCTCTCTGCATTCCCAGGTCAGCTGAAAGACGGTTTGATCCCAGAGAGGATAAATATATACCGGAGACAACTGATCAACAGCTTCGTCCAGAAAGGTAAATAAGGGTTTCCCATTAGAGTAGAGGATAGTCAAATGGCAATCCAGGATGACATAAGGATAAAGTTTTTTTGTCTTGCTTTGCTAAGCATTTTATATAGATGATAGATAATGATGATGATATTGTCAGGGGGGACTCTGTTGACAATGACAATATGTTACAGGGATGGAAAAATTACTTTATTCTGTCTTGTTTTGCTTTTAATGCTTTTTTGGAGAGGAAGATGGGAAGAACAGGGTACCTCCTAGCTAAGGGAAGGGAGGCATTTGGCCCACTGTCCCCCCCCCTGCAAATGGATGGCCTTTGGTAGTGTTACATGTGCTTTTTGATAGTTGTGATAAGTGTTTGTGTTTTATCTTGAGGTACATGTATTAATTATCAAGCTTTAGCTTATGGATGTGATGAATTTCATAGTTTCAATGTAATGCACATATTTGAAAATCAAGATATTTTTTCCAGAACCCGTGCCACTGATGATCCTACACGTAATAAGAAGGACATACTCAACCATGGTGAGCTCTTTTTTCCCTGTTAGCATCATAACTTGCTCTTCCTGTAATACATGTACTTTCAGCAGTTTAATTGAGACGAGAAAATTGAACATCATGAGCTTATGTGAGACGAATGCTTTGTCTTCGAATAAATGCAAGGATGTTTCGTATATTTGTGGGAAAAAGAGTGATTGTATTAATCTGTTGTTGTGAGCAGCAGTTTCACAGTCAAATTTGTAATTATTGTAAGTTACAACCAGCTGTGCTGTGAATTAAATTTATCACAATCACATTTGATTTAATGCTGATTTTTAAATTTTAGGTCCTATGACGGAGAGGTCTAAGAATATTTTGGTAAACTGTAGACTCGTATTGATTAAAGATTTGGAACTTGACCCTCTCATACCTTACTTGTTTGAAGACTGTGTTCTAACTGATTTGGATGTGGAATATCTGGACTCCCTCTCAACCCATCACGAGAAGATTTGCTACTTTTTAGAGAAAATACTACCAAGAAAAAAAGAAAAAGCATTTTGGGACTTTCGGAGGGCTCTTTTGATATCTGAGCCCCCCAAAAAATTTTTAGCAGATGCACTTGACAAAAAGCTGAGTGAGTATATACTCTTGATCCAAGTCTACAGCTACAATGTATGTAATTGTTGTATTCTATAGAAATAATATTTGATTCATCAAGACTATTGCATATCACTATTACAGATAATTGGATCTGAATACAGAGATTATAAAAAAACACATGTACGTATTATATTTCTTATGTTATGTGTAAATGCAGAAACATTGTTGATTATTTCTAGCATATGCACTTCAGAATACAATGTATCATGTTTAAAGACATTATAAAAATAATTTTTTAAAATTAATGTTAATAAATATTTTTTATTTCAGGTATTATTTGCTCTGAATTGGAAACAGAAATTGCACAGCAAATAGCTGAAGACATGGCAGAAGCAAGACCTTTGCGTCATGTGCAAGATGAGATCCATCAGAAGCTACCCCAAATGCGCAATGCCTTGCAGGAAAAACTGTGCTACTTGGACTTACATGCTGAGAACATTCGCCAGGGCAGTATAATAATGGATCTAAAATTCTGGAATGTTGAACATCTGGACAACTTCTGGGCATGGTGTCAAAGCAGCCACCCATCCCCTCTCTCTGCAGCGCTCTCTGATGTCATACTGACAGATGAAGTGAGAGCAATGGTGCCCAGTGAAGATTTGAGGCTAAGTTTGAGGACATCCATGGATTGGCCTACTTATATGGATGCCAGGCGCCGCCTGCTTCGAGGTAAAAGAAATCTGTTACAACAGTCTTTCAATTCTGTCTCAAAATTAAATTTGAATGTTTATATTTATTTAATAGAATGAAGATAATGATCATAAAAATAAATATTATTTATATTATGTACCTCCAAAGACTGTTTATCCTATTTTTAAATCTTTATCATCATTCTCATTAACAGATGCTGCCCCTACTGTCTCTAAGTATGATGATGTTATCTATGATGGCAGACGACAAGCTCAGGGGATCCTCACCCATGCGCCATACCATTTTCTGCTCACTGATAAAGAGCTCTCAGACGCCACACCACGGGACCTGGTGAGAATGGCCTTTGAGGAGGGCTACCTTGACAAAATCCCAATTCTGAAAGAGAAATTTCCTACAGAACTTCGGGATTTTTCAGACAAAGATATTCGGTTGGAGAGACTGAGAGATTTGATAAAAATTATGAGGAACAATACGCAGATGATGCTTTCGACTGCTGTGAGTGATCAGACTGAAGTGACCAATCAACTTCAAGATAAAACTAGGGAAGTAGAGACATTAAGCCAACGGGTGGGAAATCTAGAAATGGAGCTTTTGCAGAAAAATGAAGAGATTGCTCGCATGATGCAAGCTGCAAATTTACAAGGTGCTTCAAGAGTGCAGGTGTTTGAAGATGGAGATGAAATTTCAAAGGAAAATGAGCAGTTACAACATGCACTCCAAGAGAAGTGTAACACTATAAACATTGTAAAATCAGAGTGTCAAGACTTGAGAGATCAATTGAAAATAAAGGATCAAGAAATTAATAACCTAAGAAGGAAAAAAGAGGAAAGAACTGAGAAGATTAAGATATTAGAGGATTCTGTTAGGGTAGCAGATGTCCAAATCAAAGACCAAAATGCAAAACTGCAGTTTCAAGATGATTTGATTTCTAAGCTGAGGAAAGAGAAAGAGGACAAAGAATATATAGCACTGGCCTTTGAAACAGCAGTAGAAGATAGTTGCAATGGTCGCGAACCACTGACCCAAAAACAAGAACTTGAATTCTTGTCTTGTGGAAAAACAATAACAAGACTACAAAATGAGGTAGATTATTTTAAAGGTGTCATAGAAAGGATTTGGCAAGGACTTGCAAAGGAAAATTTGAAAGCAGATACTTATTTGGTAACAGAAATACAACAGATTTTGAGCAAAAATAATGGTGTAGCAAGTGGATATATATCCACTGATAAGCCAGGTGCAGCTATGACAACTAATGGGAAAAAAGGAGGGTCTGCCATGCCATCTTGTGGTTGGCAACATAGAGTAGATATGCCACCTGGTGAGCAGGGAGCAGTAGCTATGCCACCTGGTGGTGAGCAGGGAGCAGTAGCTATGCCACCTGGTGGTGAGCAGGGAGCAGTAGCTATGCCACCTGGTGGTGAGCAGGGAGCAGTAGCTATGCCATCTGGTGATGAACAAGCAGGGAGCAGTTTAATGGATTGTGAACAAGAGGAAGACAAGACAGATAGAAAGGCTGTCATTTTACCTAAACAGCACAATCCAAGGGGTGCGTATATACAGTTTGTATACCATACTTTGAACTGTAGGTATCCTATCCGGGATTTTCCCACAAAAACCAAGGAATAAATTGTGTTTTATTTGTTAATTAAACTTTCAAAAATTGATATACCATTTAAAACTGTTTTATATTGGCCAGATTTATTATAGGTTTACCTTTTTCATATTTAAGAATGATTAATTGGAAGCTTGATTACATTTTTGCACAGCCAACAGAAATCATCAGAGATTGCGTAAAAAGAGGCTGGTGGCACTGCCTGACATCATACATTTAAAAATTCTTCACATATTTTGATGAAATTGTCATAATTGACATTGTTATTCAGATGAGAAAGATTTGGTTACATTTTAAACTGAATCAAACTCTCATAATATTTTTAATTTTAATAATTTCTATTGCCTTTTTTCTATTACATGGGTCTTTGATTTCAGATTGCTGTCTAGTTCTGTTATAAATCGATGCTTCATGGTTACTTTACAGGTGGTTTATTCAAGAGAAAGTCCAGTGGCTTGGACACAGTCTTCTGTATTGATACATCTGGGAGTATGACAGGGGAGGCATTTACACAGATGAAAGCTGCTATCATCATGATATTAGATGGTATGTATACCATTTAGCTTTAAAGGACAGGTTGATGGATGAATGAGAAAACTGTATCAAATTTTGTTGGCATCATTAGGAAAGCCAGACAGTGCTTCATAAAGTTTTTGAAGGTAAAAAAGTTTTGAGGAATATATTTATGGTTGTCATATTCATATGTGTGCTATACATGTATATATATATACAGTGAGATGTTTATTATTGTTTCTTTTCAATGATAATGTTAAAAATGTAAATTGCAACGTTTTAAGAGAGGTTTCCAAGCCCCTAAATTTGATGATGGGTCAAACTATGATGCATCATTGGTCGCAAAAACATGTTAAACTTCACTTTCTTCAGAAACTGTTCACCCTTTTTTATCATGTAATATAAAATTACCAATTGTTACAATCTTTTAAAGAAATGAAACGGTCCCACTTGATGTATGAGGAGCTGGAAGAAGATGTGGCCATTGTGACATTTGGGAAACATGGTGATAACACAGTTTTAACTCTGACCAATGATTATGAGGCTGTTCGCAGGGTGTTGGGTAAGTTAGATACAAGCACAGTATTGTTTAATAATAGTCTTAGATACAATTACCAAATTTTAAATAATATTGAAATTGGGCTAAGAACATGTTGAAAATTTGTTCAGTTTCTAGCCAGTTATTTTACGTACTTTGGGCCAGTGATGAAAGTGGTTGACAACTGCAGAAGTATTGGATGCAATACCATGCAATTTCTCATGGCTATTAATAAGATTGAATTATATTTATAATCATGTTTTACTGGGTTTGAATAGTATAGTGGTAGACAGTATAAAAAGTCATGTACATGAAAAATACAAAGGTCTATGATTTACTATCAGACACAATAGACAACTTCAGCAAGTAAAACAAATTAGTCATATTCCTGTATTTTAAAATATTTGGTATGTGACAATATTGTATAGTTTTAAACATTTTGCTTGTCTGATACTTCAGAGGTTCTGAAGCCTGAGGGTATGACACCTATGACGCGGGGGCTGGTAGAGGCACAGAATGAACTACAACGACATTGTGAGTGTTCAGGCACAATTTGGGAGTTAGGAATTTCAAAGTGGAAATGTGAACAGAGAATTGTTATTTTAAAAGAATTTGTGTGCATTAATAGATTTGTATTTAAATATGAATCTCTCCCTTCCCTATCTCTCTCAACTATCTTTTGTTTTGTGTGCATGTGTGTGTATGTGTGTATGTGTTTGTGTGCATTAGTGTGTGCATGTGGGTGAGTGCACACACTTACATTTAATGGACCTGTGCACTTGAAATCTATTCTCCTTGATTTTCTATAAAAGAAAAATTGTTTGCATTTCCCTACAATTCTCACTGGAAAAAATGCATACCTGCATAGGCTGTGGTTGATTGTTGATTTAATAATTTTTATGTAGCTGGGAGCCTCAGAGTGGCAGGGCGCAGAGTGAGGCCGAGAATCCTTGTATTCACCGATGGAATCCCCAGTGATAGTGATACTGATTTTGGGTCAACTGATTCAACAACACCATCAGTGTCGGTAAAGATGGCTGAAAGTTTTCAAATCTTTTAAATCAATTAAGAAATTATTAAATATTGTAAGCTGTGTTGGCAAATACCTGTAGATGTCAAAGAGCCCACTGAATTAATTATAACTTGACTGCACTTTTAAAATTTGACATAAACTAAATAAGACAAGAATTGAGAGCATAATGATTGAAATACTTCAGTTAAAAATGTGATGTTTTAAATTTAAGAAAAACTTGTTTTGAGCAGATATACTTAATAGCACAGTATATAAAATCCACAATCCTTGTTCAATTTCAGGGTACTTACAAAGTAATGAGTGCTCTTCAGCTGTACTCAAAAAATGAAAATGTATCAAACAAAGCCAGGATATCTTTCATAGCATGTGGAACCAATGCAAACAAGGTGGGTCACATAAGAGATGTGTGAATTCAGACTGTGATACTTTAGACCAGATATAGTAGGTCTAACTTGCACCATTTGAGGCATAAGGTGGCAATTTCAAAAGAGTGAGAGGACGGTATCATTTTCTAAATAAGTGGGCTTTCTTAGCCTGTAAAGGAATAGATCTAAAATTGAAATTGATTCAGAGCAGGGGTTTTCTGTCCAACAGAAGTTATTACTATATTTGAGTTATTGTTTGCAGAAATTATTTTTTTACAATTTTAAGTTCACAAACGAGCTGATGAAATACCGATACTTTGCTGCATGACAAACAGCTACGAATGCCTAAATGGAAAATCATTTTACTGGTAGCTGTCAGGGAAAAAATTTGTTTTTTAGACTTTCATGGAGTCGGCATCCCAGGTAGTAGACGGTCTATGTCTGGACGCCGGCAGTACAGAAGACATGAGGGGTCTGGGGGCTTACTACAGGAGGATGGTCCTGGCCTGCAGGTTTGCTGCCCCTTTCAAAAGTAAGTTATACTGCATATTGGTAAAACTGCAATGTTTTTATTCAAAATTTTTACATGTTTGTGCATTGCATCAATAACCATAAGGTTAATTGACAATGTGTAAACTGAAATTTGATTTTTTATATGGCACGTATTTCATCAATGGCGTTTTTAGAAACTAGTAGAGTATGGACCATTTTTTCTTTGTACTCTTGCAGTATTTTTATATATAGTATGTGTCATATTTCAGCCACGGAGAGCATGCGTGAGCTGTGTCTTACAAGTTTTGACACATTCAAGCCATGGTTTCAAGCCACCAACACATTTCCACTCATGGAGGAGGACAAAACTGACCATGAACTGGTAAGTATTAAAATGTAGAAACATCAACAATGATACAATGGCTATTTACTTGTGCCGAGGAGGTTATGTTTTTTGTAATAATCCTATGGAATTGAATGTTTTTCTTTTTTTGAAAGTATCATATGGAATTGATTGTTTTTGCAATTAACCTCTGGAATTGAAGCTCAATTTAGACATTTGAGGTATAATTTAAGATAATTTAGGTATACATTTGAAAATTTAAATATGTTACCTCTGAAACCAATAATTGTCTCTTCATAAAACACCCGAGAGAGACTTACTTTAGCTGTTCTTCAAGATGAAATAATTACATCAGTCTGCTATGGTGGTTACGTATGTTTTTGCCTTTGTTGATTTGTTAGTTATCAGCCTTACTCAAAAAGTTACGCACTGATTTTGATTAAAGTTTTAGGATAGGCCAGAAGTGGCATCACTTAAAATCAGTTAAATTTTGATGATGACAAATTGATTAATAAATGAAATAGAAATGAGAACTAACATGCCTTGTCAGAGGTCTGGGCTCTCTCAGGAGTGCTTTTCTAGTCTCAGACTGTTTTTATTTTTGTCCACAGAGAGAGATCTACCAATTACTTCTGGATATGAAAGAAGAGGACAGAAGACACCGTGATGTAGAGGGGGAGGTGGACCCTACCTTACAGGTTTCCATGCCTATAGGCACCCGTGTGGTGAGGGGGCCAGACTGGAAGTGGGAGAATCAAGATGGCGATGGCCCGGGGACAGTCGTGGGTTATGGCAAAGGAAGTATGTTATTTATTTTGTAATAAGAACTGTTTGTTGTGTTAATTTACACTGCTTTTAGGAGAAGATCATTTTTCTGTCCTTGTATTTCTACCTCCCAGCCCATCTCACCTCAATCACCCTTCACCCCCTCCATCCCATTCTTCCAGCCATCAACCCTCCCTATTATAATACCTCCATTGTTTTAATGGACTCAGACTGAAAATTGAGAGCATCAAAATAATTTGAACTTTGATGTTGTTATTTTCTGTGGAGATGTTATTTTTTTTTCTGATAAATTAACAAGCTTAATTAAATTAGAATTGACCCATCCCAGGTTTTTTTTTTTTTTTTTTTTGAAAAATTAACCCCCCCCCCCCCCCCTCGCACACGCTTGTTGACCGCAGCCAGTCGAGGTCAATTTTTACTGCGTACGCTTAACAAAAATGTTACATCGCTTGCATACATCAGTTAGAAGTGATAATAACAGAGAAAATCCTGATTGTGATGAGTTTGTTGGGAATCATGGTGAAATGCACTAAAAAGTTAAAGCCTGAGTGGACTTTGACAAGCTACTTTGACATAATTATTTAACTCTGAGCAGGTGTTTTCATCCGTTTTGCGGCATCAATACATTGAATAATCCTGACTCNCCCCCCTCCCAGGTTTTTTTTTTTTTTTTTTTTGAAAAATTAACCCCCCCCCCCCCACCTCTGACATGCAGTCTAATGTGTTGTCTCTTTTTGCAGGCTGGGTGTGGGTACACTGGGATTATACAGACCATGAAAATATCTACAGATATGGTGGCCCCGAATGTGCATACGATGTATGGATTTTTGAGGAAGCAAAGAAAATGGATGAGGGCAAGCTGATAGATGTTGGGGTTAGAGTGAAGAGAGGTAGGTAGCCATTAATGCTGATATTAATGCACATTCTGCTAGTAAGATGAAACTTGTTCAGTGAACTCAGTTTTTGAAATGAAGAAATGTTTTTCCTTTGGGTCTTTGGTATAATAGATGTGGAAGTCATTATGGTAGTCATCAGATGCAGGGTTTTCCTTCTTTTCTTTCTAAAGTTTTTTCTTTCTTTATTTACTTTTGATTCATTGTGATTTTTTCATGGTGAATTATCCTTGTTTTTTTTTTAGTAGGCATGATAATTAAATTCAAACTAATGATATCCAATGATGATAATAATTTTTGATTTTCACTAATAATAATATGATTATTTTCAGTTTTGATGTTAAGACTGAAATTTTAACTGAACTGTTATATTCTTATTAAGGTCCTGATTGGAGATACGGTGACCAAGATGGGGGGAACGGAACTATTGGTATTGTGGTTAAAGTTGAAGAAAATGGAAAAGTTAAGGTACTTCAATATAACTACTTCAGTTTATTGATATCATAATATCTGCAGAAAGGGAACCCGTCTCACTTGTCCGTGATAATTATCCCATTGTGGCCATTTATTATTTATTTTATCTTTAAAAATACTTGTTTAATTAGCAGAAATATTATAACTTTATTTGGATTTAATTGGATTTCAGGTGCGGTGGCCTAATCGCAAAAATTGTATCTACAGGTTTGGATATGATGGAAAATTTGACCTAACAATTGTGTAAGTCAAGATGATTTTTACATGTACCAAGTGGAATTTAGCTCCAACAGAAAAAAGCTATTATTAAATTATTATATAAAAGAAGACTTATAGCAAAAACATTCTTGCTGTCACTTGTGCACCTACGCACACATGCATGGACGCATCTACACATACACACACACACACACACACACACACTTTGAAAAGATATAGCACTTACTTTATGGTAGACTTATGGTAAATAAATTAGAAGCAATACAACAAGTATTAACAAAAGACATGTTAATAATATACACTGTGATCATTTAGTGCATTATACATTTTCATAATCTACCAGTAATATGATGGTATTTGAATAGGTTTCCTTTTCAAGTTTATTTATTTATCTATTTATTTTTTAGTGAAGATGAAGTAGCTGCTGGTATGGCATCAGGAGGAGCACCTCAAATGGATGAAGATAGTAATTGTTTTCTACAGTCTTATAATTTTTTAAAAGAAGATGGTTTCTTAAAAGTGACACTTCTGTATATCAATTTGATGCTGTCTTTTACTTGTCTTTTAATTATAATAACCAGTTTATACACTTGTTAATGAAACAGTGATATATTACATATTATTTTTGATATTTAAAACAAGTACTTTTGTAATTATTTGAGTCAGTTAAAAAGAATAGTAACAGGGTGCGATGCTAACAGTTTATCCCATTGTCTATGCAATGAATAAGTATATAATTTAAAAGTACTTATAAGCAAATGAGCAAACAAACAGGAAGAGAAAACAGCAAGTGAATGATCTAGATATCATGCCTATACTGCAAGTAGCAGGTTTTCCTTTTTTAATATTAAAAAAGTTCATATTATATTTATAATATAATATTTATTTCATCTTGGTCCATATATATAAAGTATACAATACTGGTAGCATATATATAAGATAGTGGCTATAACATATGCTGTAAACCATTTCAGGTGGAATGACAGTGGTCTGGCAATGGAAAAGTAATGGTGTGTGGTTAATGTACCCTGAGTACGTGTCCAGGCAGTTAGAGCAGGCCTACAAGAGGGACAGGACAGGAAGTTGTAGTGTGGAGGTCCAGTCACTAAGGTCAGTGTAAGACCCCATTCCCATATCCAGAACGATGAAGCAGGACCGACCCCCCTCGCTGGATGGGGGTGGGGGTGGGGGGTTCTCGCTAATTTACATTCAGCTTAAGTGGCTTAAATGTCTGGCATGCCTACAGAAGCTGCTAAACAATAGTTAATTACCCCCTAAAGCTTAAGTGGGTGTGTCAGACATCAGAGCTGCTTAAGCTGAATGCAAATTAGCGTTGGAAACAAAAGGAGGCGTATTAATCTATTAGTTGAACTGATTGCATTCAGTGAGAGTCACCAAAGAGTTGGATCATTATACATAGAATGAAATTTTTTATTGGGAATGAGCCCCAAGGTCCTCTTCACATCATCTGGTGCACTGCTTATGTAACGCACTGTGCTGAAACTTGATAATTTGGCTTTCACTTGAGACAGTCACCTAAGCAGAGCCTTCCCCCCCCCCCCCATCCCCCCCCCTCAGGTACTGGGATAAATTTTGATTGATTCATTGGGACTTGTAATGGAAAATAACCCCTCCCCCATTTTTTAGACCAGATAATCTGTTTTGATACAGAAAACTGTACTGTATGATTAAGAAAGAATGAAGGAAAATTAAATAATATGTTGTATATGTGCTTTCTCCAGACGACGCATAAACTTCTCAAGCATGACAGACCATTGCAGTGACATTGATGAAACATTTGAAGTCCAGAGATTGGGTAAGAAATTAGTATGAAGCTTTTGGAAATTATGAAAAACTAATTGTGTCAGCTTTCAATTATTTATTTATTTATTTATTTATTTATTTTAGTGTGAGTGTAATATAATATATATATGAAGTTCTCACAAGTATTCTTGACTTGTGATGTACATTTGAAGATTATTATATATAATAGATATATTATAATATAACAGTAAAGTTTTAATACATAAAAAAATTAATTTGATTTTTTACAGTTATGACACAGGAAGAATACGAAGCATCAAAGGAATGAACATTGGTCGTTTCAGTATAAAATCTTAAGTTAAACATAAGCATGGAAATTCATTCAATAAGACTTTGATATTCTCAATCATATGGAGTGAGTCTCTCGGCAGTTGGAATGTGCCACAAAAATGGCATAAAACATCTACGTTGTATATGCACATGTACAGAGTAGAAACTCTTCTTTAATCTAGGCTCACAAACCTTAAGGGCATATTCCAATTTCAATTACAAATAGGAGAGGAATGCTTTTGTCAAACCTTTGCTTGATGTTTGCTTAGAAGTTTGAAAGGGATAACAACTCATCTTATGAGAATCATATTTCATGATACATAAATGTAGGAATGGATTCATTTACCATTTGTAACTTTGGGAAATCGTTGTTTACCCCAGGAAAATTCATTTTTTGACCAAAACATGCAGTTGTTATCCCTTTTATGTTTTTGCTGTTTCATTTTTTATTTACAAATGTGGTGAACTATATGACTTTGCAGTGATGTTATAACCACTTAAGTTAACTGGTAATAAATATTACACATCTCAAAACACAGTTCATTTTAACAAATGAATTACGGAGTAATTACTCTTTTGTATTCATTACGAATGTTACTTACATTATAGTTGGTTTCTGCACACAATATTGCTTTATTTATTTGAAAAGACAATGCAGAAGTAGTGCAATATATCTTTTTTACTGTCAAATATAATTTCCAGGTTGTGATATGATGTGAATAAAACCCTTTATGCATTCATGTCCTCTTATTTGTTTTATGTTTTATAACAATACATGGCGTTAGCAGTCCGCTAGCAATGCGTTGTCTTGGCAATTATTACTGTATCTGTATACTGGTCAAGTTTGGAAATGTTTTCCGACCTTTCCAGCTGACGACGGAACGTCCGTATGTTGTCAAGTGTAGACGACAAAAAAGTGCCAAAGAAGTGTGTAACTCCATGATGAAGTTCGATTGCTATTTATAGGCCCTATAAATGTATTTAAAAATAGCAATTGTGCAAATACTTAGCTTACGTTTATATACGGAGTATATATCTCCATCCAAAGTGAAATCTCAACAACAAAAGACAATTTTATTGATACTAAATCAATTAAGACTACTATATTTTGAAACTCGTGGGTTTTTTTTATCATTTTGAATGAACTAATTGACAAGGAAAACAAAAAATGGTATGCGACAGAGTTGATTACAGTAATAAAGGATAAATAGGTTTTTGTCTTGTAATCTTGTGAAATGCAGCAGCAGCCCACAGGGGTCAAAGGTCATCGCAACTAGCGCACTGGGTTTTAAGGGGATTTTTCTTACCTCTAAATAACTTGTCACATGACTGAAATTCCCAAGTTCCTCGATACGCTGTCTTATTGCCCTAAAACTGAAACATAAAGTAATAGAGAAAAAGGATACGTTTTAACGATTGGTTGTCATTGCAAAGTGAAACTCGTTCTATTCAGGATGTTGGAATGTCATATATTGTATTTAAGACGCACTGGGTTGGATTAAGCACTGTGTAAATACAGGGACTGCATCAAAACACTATGAAGGGGAAAATATTGAACAAGTTGTGCTTTAAGTAGGGTATACAGGTATGTATGCCACAGGGCAACAATGGGTGCCATTTTTTGACTAGTGACTGAGTGGAATCCACCTTCTGGTACCAATTTTTACATCTGGAAATTTTAAGTCAATGTGACAATAATGATATTCAGTTAATCTGTATAACTAGTGTACCAAAGTCCGAAGTACGTACCTAGCCAACAACGTTCAAAGGTATATTTATAATAATTGCAAATATCAGCGTATCAACTGTTTATATATCTATTCTTTAAGTATATTTAATAGCATTCTTGTATTATACTATTTTACATATTATTTCTCTTTATACACATCAGTATACCGGTACACTTTTAACATAAAAAGTACCTCATTGTCATTGTAAAATATGCTTGTGCTTATAATACCAGTATCTTATGTCAGGTGGCAATTGCAGGTTTCTTTGTTTGGGTTCAGTCCGCTCTAGCTAGGAAACCGATTTTTGAATAAAAATAAACAACGTACGTATGTTCGTCCGCGATAGGTCTACATGTGTTTTATTAATATAGACTTTTCATTTATTTCTAACTTTGTTTACTGAGGTTGTGGAGGATATACAACTAGTTGAAGAAAATGAGTCGTTCCGGAAGAGTAAGCAAATCTCTCTCTCTCTCTCTCTCTCTCTCTCCGCACGAAAATGCAGTAGTGTCGAAGTAGCAAAGAACCATTAACGCAGTAGTGGTGTGGAGCATATTTGCAGTAGAAATGCAGCATAGCCTACTGCAATTCTACTCCAAAAAGTACATAAGTTTGTACAGAGAGGAGCATTAATACAGTAGATTAGCAGCATGATAGAAGCATGTTTCAAATATGCTAATTAGCTCCCAAATCGAAGCAGATTTGAGGCATGTTTGCAGTGTGATTGCAGTAGTCTACTGCGATGGAGTAGGCCTATCTACTGCGTTTTCGTGATCATCTCTCTCTCTGTGAAATGAGTGCTCGCCACTTTTAGCAACATCGATTGGTTTAACTGTTCTTTATTAGATCAATAGGTGTTGCGCGCCAACAAAGAGCGCGGCGACGGTTTCACTTGCCATTGCAATGTATTAATGCTATCAACCGAGAGGGAAGATGATGAATATTTCAAATGTAGTACGGATTTTGAATATTTTGGAGTACCGGTAGCAAGGAGATTTTTACCAACTTCAGGATTTTTCTTTTTAAAATACGATCGATTCAAAGCTCAAAGGTCATTAATCCAATATTGTTATCAATATTGCTGAGTGCATGACAAGTATTACGCACGAAGTACATGTATATGGTTAAACTATATGTATCTCTAGGGTATATAATAATCACACATTAACAATGTTTATTTTCCCTTTAATAATTACAATATATACCAAAATATCGTAATACCAGTATAATTTAATCCGTCACGGGGTTTGTTAAATAAAAAGCATGGATTATCCTTTTGATTGATTTTAACTGACCACATTTCAGAGAACGCCGCCTCTGATGCAAGCCCAAAGGATGGCCAATGCGAACGCCGAGGGCGACGCCAGCTTTCTCGCACAGTTACTAGCTGTGCAGCAGTCAGGGGGAGGAGCTGTAGGGGTAGGTATCTTACTTGGTCAAGTTAAAAAAATTTAATTTAAAGGGAACTGTAAAGATATTATTCTTTTTTAATCCAAAACAAAATTGTTACCTTAATTAATTGATAACCATGTGCATGACTGAACTGAGTAATATAAGCTAAGCAGATGATCCAAAAGAATCAGTAAAAACTCATGTTTCTGCAAAATATAATGATTGAACATTTTATATGCCTAACACAGCTTTAAAATTGGACACTTTTTCTCTTTACTTTTAATGCCATTACTTTTTAATAAAAATAACCCTTTTACTGTGTATTTATTATTATTATTATTATTAAATAACATAAAAGTAGCGACAGAGAAGCATTATAACTTTCATCACAACAGTGAAAGTAGAATAGAAGCTATAGGAAGGAATGTGCCATTAAATATTTTTTTTCATGATTTCAGGGAGTACTTAAGAAAATTAACGAAGTCGAAGAAGCAGTCACGATCCTTCAGTCAGATATGGTAGATGCTAAAAAACAGTTACTGGATTTTGATCAGAAGTTTTCAGGTGTGCATGCGCAGATTATGAGTTTTTTTAAATAATGCATCATTTCTCAATAATTGAAAGTGAAAGTCATAAGCAAGGCATTGATAAATAAAGAGAGCGCCTTGTATGGAAACAGTACATTTTAATTTTCAAAAGAATATTTTGGCTATAGGGGGCAGTGCCATCTTCCAACCAGGAGAAACCTTAAGGCATTTACAGACATCATAAATTTACCACGAACTTTTTTATATTGACGTTTGTGCATATACATACCGTTTTTATTATTTATTTTATTAATTTATTTTTTAATTTTTGTGTATGTGTGTGAAAGAGGGAGAGAGAGAAAGAGAGAGAAAGAGAAAGCTAGGGAGCATGTTATTTTTCAGCTATTCGCAAAAAAAAAAAAAAAAAAAAATTAAGAGACAATAACTCACAGAAGAATCCTTTCAGAGATGACTTTGTCCCTAGAGAATATTAAGCGTGACAAAGATAACCCCAAATTGGATCTTAAAATGCAAGAATTACGACAAAGAGTTCACGGACTGGAAACCCAGCTCGACGCTTGGGGGCATTTTGAAGACGAATCCATTCGAAGCATATCGGATCAATTGGAGGGCCTTGGTGACTGTGACATTAACGATGGAGATAGGATTGCCAGTACAGAAGGTGGGGATTTATACTACAATTAAGTTTCACATCTATTATTTCCTTCCTGGGTTATTTCATTCAGTCTTATCCGGCCATCGTGGTCAAGTTGTTAAGCATGACAATGTTATTGTCGAACATTTTTCTTGAATCTTAACAGTCATTCAGGCTTTCTGCACGTAGGTGGATGGTACATGCGTAAGTACGTTCAAATGTTTCTCAAAACGACGACCAATTCATCTTATTTAACTCTAAACCAGCTGCACAAGCTAAAATGTTTTATTGTGAAATTGTTTCGTTTTCTTTTTATCGCAGATATCTACACAGCTGAGATGGGAAGTGAGGCCAAAAAGGATGGCACGGAGGTGACAGGAGCAAACAAGGGGGAACCTGACACTGAGGAGAAGTTTTCTGCCATATTAAAACGTACATATTTATATACATAACAAAAGAATGTTTCATTCCTTTAAATAAAACTGGTGCAATACATTTATAATTTTTAACAGATTTCACGTCAGGTCCATGTAAATTTTTATCACTTTCTATCAAATCTTACATTATATTGTGAATGACTGTCTAGAATAGCTAAATATCGTCATATGCTAGTGTTATGTGCTTTTAATTTTTAGGACCAATGACAGAAAAGTCGAAGAAAGTTCTTGTTGATTGCATCGGCCTTCTTGGAAACCATCCAGACCTGAATAGCGTAATTGGAGTACTGTTTGAAAACAGCATCCTCTCCTCGTCTGAGTTGATGCGTTTAGAATCCGTACAGACGACAGCTGAACAGAGTAAAATATTACTAACGAAGATATTGCCCGCGAAGGCAGAAGGAGCATTCTGGGGTTTTCGAAAAGCTTTGGCTTCATTACCCCATACAGAATTTTTGATTGGTATCTTGGACGATAAATTACGTACGTATGTTATATTTCTTTTTAGCTCACATAAGTCCATTTTAATCGATATCGGCTTATGCGTTAAATAGCATATGAGTTACAAAAACATAACGAGCATGGAAAATATGTAGAAATATGCTATATATTAAAATCAACCTCAGCACAGTAATAAATAATGCACGCAAGAACCAACACAAAAACTGAATAATTCTAATAATTTTGAAGTTACGTGTACATCCGTTATGTCTCGAACATTGCCATACATCAATGTTTCAAAAAAGAATGCTGCTGTTAAAACAACTTTAATTTAACGTAGACAGTTACTTGATTTAACGATTTAACAAAATATTTGACCAAATATCTGTATGCCAAGTACCGGACACTTTCATTCCCCTCAGGTTGTATCTTCCTGGAACTAACAGCTGAGGTCAAGAGAGCATTTGGGAGGTCAGTAAGGAACGCCCCTGCGGCCAGTCAGGAAATCCATCAACAATTGCAAAAGTTAACCCCCGAATTGGTGCAGGTCATGGAGCACTTGGGCCTCATTGTATCCCGAATAAGACCCGGAAGTATCAAAATCGATCTCGTATTTTGGAATATTGAACAGCTGGACAGGTTTTGGACATGGCTTCACAGCAGACAGAGGTCGCCACTGTCTGATGCCTTGTCTTGCGTGATTTTGACGGATGAGGTTCGTGGTTTAGTGCCAGACGATGAGCTAGTGGTCATGCTTAGTTCTTCTCTGGATTGGAATGGCTATATGGCAGCAAGAAAACGTCTTCTAGCAGGTAATAGCTTTAAAATTACAGGGAATTATACCATTACCATCATGCCATGAGTATATGGTAGTGTTTTACCTGGTGGTGGTTTGTGTCGTTTTTACATGTATTTACTTCTGCCTTAATTATTAATATGGACCAAACTGTATATCTGGATGTACAATCATACATACATACATAATTTTATCCAATTTAAAAACTGCCTCTTTATGTTGTTGAAAAATAGCTTTCATTACATTTAATATAGAAAGTGTTTTTTTATTTTTGTTAAAGATACCTTGTCCAAAGTGGCCAGGGACGACTTATACTTTGAATGCCAAAAACTGCACACAGAGGTAAAGATCAGTCCATATCTGACCGTCTTTGGTGACGTCACCCGATACTCTGACGGTTCTCCAAAGGACCTGGTGCGCCTGGCCTGCGCCAACGGGTACCCGGATCTCATTCCTAGACTTCAGTTTAATTTCCCGCTGGAGTTGTCCGATTTCACAGCGAAAGACGTCAGATTGGAGCGTGCTCGCGAGTTGGCCAGAATACGAGAGAAAATGCACCGTGTTAAAGTATCCAAATTGGTTGACAGAATCGAAAAGAAAGATGCTGAAATCAGTTCACTTGTAGGGGAATTAAAAGAAGTGCGGTTGAAGTGTATTTCCCTTGAAGTTGCCTTGGAAGATCAAAGTGACAGGGGTTTGCGGACTGTTTTAGAGAATAAAAATGCTGAAATCGCACGTATTCAAAAGATGTACGATGACGAAAAAATAAAGGCGACGAAGTTACAGACTGATCTTGTCCTGGCAAACAAAGAAAAAGCTCGCTTGATGAAGCAACTTCATTCGAGATCTATTGAATTTCAAACTGATCGAGCAAAACAGCCAAACGTTCAGGTTGGTAAAGCACATTTACAGGACGAAGATCAAATACTTGTCAGTTTTAACGAAGAAGCCCCACAGGATCTTGATAGATCACAGGAAAGTTTGGGTAGCAAGAAGTCGCGGGAACAATTGACAAATATTGCAAAAGGAGAAGTTACCAGTGAATATCCACATGCGCTGTCTAATATTGATGAACCTCGTGAAGATTCCAAGAGCCCCCAAGCTGAGGCGAGCCTGTCCCAAAGTGAGCAACCATTGGCTGCCCAGGCAGAGCAAACTACCGCTCCATTTACAGCAACTCAAAGTAAGATCCTGATATACCACATTCTGGGTACAGCATCTTAGTTCTTGTTCACCCTACGTGGACAAGATATGGTTGTATGCAACAGTGGCGGATTAAGGGGGGTCAGGAGGTCCGGATCCTCCTTTCAACTCCCGAAAAAAAATCACACTATTATTTCCTTGTTGAAATTAAAATTCTGACTAGTTGAATTAATAGTTGTAAACCGTAAATGGCATCGTTTGTCCAGAACCCCAGGCTAAGGGGGCGGGAGTTGGTTTCGTATCCGAGGCCTATCACGCTTAAGATAACGGACCCATTCAAATAATCCTGGATCCGCCCCTGTGTAACGAGGAATTTTGGTGGTCATGATTTTAGTATTTTAAATCTATTTCTTAACCATTTTGACTGAGGCTAGGAGATGGGTATGGTAAAAATGTTTGCTTCGTCGCTTTTTGACTACTTACCCAACTCTTAGCAATAACAAAATGAGTAATTCTCCAAATTATTCTTTTCAGTTGTGAGTAATATCTCATGTTGTGAGTAATACCTCATGTACTGTTGTTCCTTTTCCTTATAGATAGAGGAAGAAACGTTGTACGTCCAGACGGAAGGTCTAACGGTCTGGACACTGTTCTCCTGTTGGACACCTCTGGCAGCATGTCCGGAGAGGCCTTTGACCAGATGATACAGGCCGTGAAAAGTATCCTGGACAGTAGGTGGCCCTTTTAAACATATTCTGTCATATTATAGCGAATATGTGTTTTTTAACTCGCATAATAACTTGACCTTTGAAGACTCTCCTTGTTCAAGGTGTCCTATCCTAGATTTTAACCGCCAAATCGGATTATTTTATCTGGAAAAAAGAAATTTCTCATACGAATGATTGCATGCTTATGTTCAAAATGTCATTCGTGACGTGCATTTTCACTTTTCCTTTCCAGATATGGAGTACAGTGCTGACATCTATGGTTTCACAGAGAATGTCTCTCTCATTACTGTTGGCGGATATAAACAGTCACGTGTCCTAGTATCCCTGTCATGTGACTACCAAAGAGCCAGGAGGATTCTGGGTACGTGTGATGATATTTTAATTATAAATCAAAACAATGTGGTGATCTTGATACCTAAGCGTCACTGCAGCTCTAGACATTTAACCTCAGTTCTCTTACACGTAAATCATTTTTTTTTATTCCTATGGATTCTACTTTATTGGTGCGTGCAATTCCAGCTACGGTGCACCTACCATTATTGGGCATTTTGTTACGCTTAATAATCTTAATTAGTATTTCAGTCTTTTAACATTTATACTTTCGTATTTCGATACGCCATGTACTTCCAAGACGGGATGAGATAAACACAACATGGAAATACAACATGAAAATACAACGTTATCATTAAATCTTCCAGAAACATTAAAACCTGAGGGAATGTCACCATTAGCACCTGCCATTCGGGAAGCGCAGAGGGAGATACAAAGGAACGGTAGGTAGCGGAATACGCTTGCTGGCCAGTGTTTGCTTTTTAATTTAGGCAATTATGGATTTTCATAATAATTAGTTCTATACTTGTTTAATCATTTCGTAAAACGTGTAGGGTTAAATCTTTTAGGGAATTCTATGTAAAGTTGCATGATTATTTGTAAATTGGAAACACAGTTGTTCAAGTCATAACATATTTCAATCAGTTTTTATTCTAATTTCATATGAACTATCGTCTTCATAAATAATGGAGTCATTGAACGTATGTCCACATACAATGCCACGTCCATATTTCAATATGTTGTACGTTCTGCAGGTGCTTCTCTCCACGTATCCGGCCGTAAGGTGGCGCCACGTATCTACGTATTTACAGACGGCATACCAAGTGACGAAGATGAATATCGTACCTCTGATCTTACGGAGGGGAATATGGCCGTGAGTCGCACCTGTTGTGTTTTAAGATAGAGCATTTAGTTGTCTTAAACATGCATACAAAGTTAAATTTTTGTTACAAAGTAGTATAATTAAGAGAATTACCAAAAGGCATTGTTTAATTTTACCCGAAAATGATGTATGAACAGATTTTTCTGCTAGCATTCTTTGCTGTATGTCAATGGGGCAGAAAAGTAGGTCACGAAAGTAGGTTAAATTTCCGACCAAAAATTTAAGGGGAGCAGTCTACAGCTCTTTTAAGGATGATTGAGTGATCTATTCAGTTAATCCCATGGTATGTCGAATTTATTTGAGTCTTATAAGAAAGTAGTAGAAGTGGTTGACATGTGTTACTGGGAATCCACGCTCCACCTATGCTCGGTTCGTATGTACCTTTAAAGATTGAAACAAGATATTGGTTTTGTTAAATTGGCTTTCAGAACATGGGCATGTATTAAACTTTTTGATTTACCCGTATATATATTAATTAGTCATGAAAAAATATGCTATATTATAATAATTTTTTTTTTTTTTTGATATTTCATCAAATGACCATGCATATGGCAGAAAGTGATTTTTAGTGAAAAAAATCTATTTTAAATGCTGCACTTTTTGTTACTTTCGGCAACAATCTATATATAGAACGCCGACAGAAGACTAAGCGATGGTATTTTTCTGTAGGCTAAATACAAAACGATGACAGCAGTGCAGGTGTACCAAGATGAAGACCGCAGGAATAAAGCCGACATCAGTTTTGTTGGTTGTGGATCTAAAGTTGATATGGTGAGTGACATATGAGACCGAAAAATTCTACATCTTTAACGTAATTGACAAGTAAGAATATATCATGCAGCGTGTGTGGCTGTGTGTGTGCGTGCTATGTGTGTGTGTGCACATGTTTATGCTAGTGATGCTTATTATTTGTGAATAAAAGAGATGTACAGCGTAATTCACATTCTTTTGTTCACCTCCACTTGAAGATATTTTTGGAGTCCGCCTCCAAGATAGGGAAAGGAAAGTATGTGAGAGCAGACGATCCAGAGGCTGTGGACAGAATTGGAGGATACTACCGAAGAGTAGTAAGTCAATATATATATATTTTTAAATATTTACCCATATTTACCCAAAGAATCAATCTATTAGACATCATTGTCGAATATGTTAGTATTTAAGATAGTTGTTTAAGGTTACCAATCAGAAATTCCTTGCACGGCCATTTTTAAATACACTTAAAAGATTTCATTAGGATCGCTGAAAACCATGAAAAAGAATAGGCTAAACGACATTTGACAAATTCCGGCTGGCGAAAAAAGATTCTTTACTTTATTATTTATATGATATAAAGAGTGTAAGTTTTTAAACTACATGTTAGTCGACATTTCGTAATGAAATATATGATGATACCGGTTTTAAAATGCAATGTAGGTACATGGAAATTAGTTAAACATGTTGAATAAATGTTTCAGGTATGGGTTTACCGATTTGCTGCTCCTTTTCGAGGTATGGGAATAAACGGTCCTATTCTTTTTGAGAAATTATGCCCGTAACAAATGTACTTTTGCAAAATGTCTGAAAATATTTAAGCATGAAAAAGTATAATTTTTAAAGGACAAAATTATCGACAGTAAAACGTGTAAAGAAACATGTATACATGTTGAATAGGATATTATTTGATGTCTCTCTTCGTTTCGAGAAATGCTTCCCGCTACAAATACAGTTTTTGTAAAGCCTCTAAAAATATTACAAGCATGAAAATAGTGTAATTATTGACTGTCAGTTTTATCGTACAGATACGTCCACAATGAAGCAGTTGGCAGCCCAGGATAAGGAAACGTTCCGCAACTGGCTGACGGCCACGAAGTCCGGGGAGATCAACCAGAAAGACCTAAGCGAATTTGATGTGGTAATGTTATATGTTTTTCCTTCAGATTATTGAATAAAAGGTTTCGATTTGATTATTCTTTTCCAAAACACTGCAAGATTATGAAAATAATGCAGAGTAATGGTGCTGTGTAGGTCTTTGAAAGGTGTGAACTTAAACAGGAATTTCAAGCATTCGTATGTAAAAAGTGCGATTTTACAGCCGATGCGTATATTATTATTATTATTATTATTATTATTATTATTATTATTATTATTAAAGAACGAAATGTACAGCATGCTGGTTGCGCTGGCTACGGAGAAAAGAGAGACCGAGAGATACAGTTCGTCGGACACTGACTCAGACCCAGCCCTTAAAGTGGAACTGCCCCTGGGGAGTAGGGTTAGGCGAGGGCCGGACTGGGCGGGGCAGTCCGAAGACGCCGATGGACCTGGAACAGTGGTCGAACATCAGAAAGGAAGTATGTGACACAGCCTTAAGAGCAAATAATACGCGTTGGGAACCTATATTGCAAAATATATTTTTTCAAATCGCCATTGTTTTACATATACTCAGATACAATTTGAGTTTTACTGATTGTAAGTGAACTTGTGGTCAAACTTTAAATGGCTATCTGACCCCATTTAACTCTCAACGTGACTTCGTGATAAATACAAGGGAATTAAGATATAATGACCAACTCCCTTTCATTTTAATTGTAGGAAAAGTACTAGTGAAATGGGATTATACAGACGCCATAGGGGTCTACAGATTTGGTGAAAACAACTGCTATGACGTCATGCCTACAGACGAACCCAGAATCCTCCGCGCAGATCAGTTGATCGACGTTGGTGTGAAAGTTGTGAGAGGTACATTTTGTTGTCATATTTAGAATGCATGTGCATCTGTTATTAGATATACATGTAGATCGGTGCAGTGGTTTAGAAAAGATAATTTATTATTCATATAATTAAGCATGGTGCAGGATGAGGATGGACCCATGGCATGGAAGATGACAAGCTACATTGCACCAATTGCTTGTTAAGATATACCTGTTCGTACCTTTTTTGGGTGTTAAGACAGTGGTAATAAAACTGTAATAACAGTCTATTCACTCAAGGGTGTTAGTTCTACGTTGTATGCTTAATAGCCATTTTGTCGCCAGTCATTTTTCAAAATTCTCTGAACTATATTTTGTTTCCTAAAGGCCCAGATTGGGAATGGGGAGACCAAGATGGCGGCGAGGGGAACGTTGGAACCGTGTATAAGGTTGAACAGAGAGGAGCTGTTTGGGTATGACAAATATCTTTATGTGGCCTATGTTTTTAAATTTTTTGATTATATTCCTTCTGTATAACAAAAAAAAGGAACATTAGACAAAAAATGAAAGATTAACGGAATGTCGTCTACATTTTTGTCTTGGCATTTTCAATCACCTTTTTTAAGTGTTTTTAAAATATATCTTTTATTATTACCGAAAACTATTTGAAATCTTGAACGGCCACTGTTTCAACGGACCAGCAATTTTTCAACGTGTTGCTACTCTATTTCACAGGTCCAGTGGCCGAA